CATAGGCATTAGCAGCAGTTATTTTTCATGACATTTACACGTATATCCAGTATAAAAACAACATTACATACTTTCGCAAGTTGTGCCTCCGTATTCAGCGGGACAAATACAGTGATAACTGGAACCTTCTAAATCCCGTGAAAGAACTCCTCCATTTCTGCAAGGATTTCCTTTAAAAGGAAAGAAATTATAAAATAACATTATGATGAATCAACTTACCTTGTCAAGCTGAAAAGTCTATGAAATCTAGACAGCATGACGGACCGACGTAGTTACGCTTCTACTTAATTAAAACACACATTCGTTTTACTCGCTCAGTGCTTTTTCCTTCTCTCACACTGAAAAATTAGCTCTTTTGCTAAGGAGCTGAAAAACTGGTTAACAAACCAAAAAATGACAATAGATTAAGAACATCTGTTACTTGTATGGTGCTGTTTTACGTTTTTATCCATTTATCATGTTTTTGGCCATTATGCATGGTTAATTGCCCCCGCAGGGATTTCGCCCAGAGGCGAAATCCCGAGGAGGCACCCTAGTAACTCGCGCGTATATTAAGGACAGTACTTACAGTTCAAATACACAGTCAGTATACCAGAAAAAATCTCGATTTGCTCGAACTAGGGCCGCGAGGAATCGGTAGGTAATGACGACGTTTCTATTGTTTGCGTCCGCAAGTACGAAATGGTTGGGATGACGTAAAGACAGAAAATCGCGAAGGGACCGCTCAGGCAGATTTTGTGACATTTATTGAGCAGTCATACTTCGATACTCTTTTGCGTGACGCAGTGACATTCTGTGGAGGAGTTGTTTTGAAAGTTATGGACCAAAAGACACTCGTTAAGCGCAGGGGAGGTTATAAGATACGTTTAACTGTGTATATATAAACACTTGGAAAGTTTGCCAGACACGAGTTCACAAATCTTTGATTTATATTGGAAACCTTGCCAGACACTCTTTCTCTCTCTTTGACCGGAATAAGACTCAGCCCCAAACAAGCAAGACGAGTGAACAACGGCTAGCTTATCACTAGCAGATTGATGGACATTTACAGAAATTCGCCAACAATCAAATTCTGTGCTGACATATTCCCTGCTCACAGATGTTCTTCCGTTCTAAAGTTTCAAATAAGACTAGAATGCGCTAGCGTGAATCGATCAAACGTCCTTTTAATTTCTAAGGCTTACTTTCCGGGCAAATGAAATGAACTGAATGTAAAAAGGGAAAGAGAAATAGCGAAAAATTCAATTTCTAATTAAATATTTTCTTATGGTTTAGAATAAACTATTCTCGAAACTGAGAATGTTTTGATCAAAGCTGTGTAAATCGAGCTGAAACTGTGCATGGAACCTTTCGTTTCCTGTATTTATCTCACCTATTGTATGGAATATGTGTGAAAATCTTCATTATGAATCGGTATATTTCAAAGAGCTACACAACCAAGAAGAATACTATTGACCGACAATATAAAGAACGGGGGAAGCTGTAGTGTCAACTATTACTAGTAATAAACAGTAATAAAGAAGCGCACTTCATTTTCAATGGCAGCTCACTTCATCCCTCTTCAGCTTAATTTTAAGCATTTGAAAGGTTTGTCCTTGATCAGCATATTGAATTTTCTAATTTTCAAATATACCACTGATTTCAAATACCTTTCTTTCTCAACATTTAAACCTGATGTTTGATCGAAGGGATGAACTTCTGACAATCTCATCCAAAACCTTTAGCCACTAAAATGGTTACCTGCACTTTGTTTGACAATGATCAGATGTAGAAACTACGTTTCAGCTGCTCTTAAAAGTATCACATATAGAGTAAACAAACTTAGAAAGAAGAAGTACTTACGATCATGGATGTGCACGTGTAAAACATTTTCACCTACTTCTTTTTTTACTGGAACAGGAACTGGGACGTCCTTAAGATGTTCGATTTGAACAGGAAGAGGAAATTCCTGCAAAGAACTCAAAAAGTCTTTTCGTACGCCATTGTCGAGCCCTTCTCTGTCTGATTTTCCTTTTGATTTTATGTGGGCGTGCGTTGACTTTTCAAGAGTGTATTTCTTATGAGCTGAGCTGTCTTCGACCTTTTTGATATGTTTATGAAAAATCTTTTCATCTGTTGATTTCCCATGGACTAAACAATTCAGGGACATAAAGAAAATCCATGACATGAATGCAAAACATTTTCTTCGATAAAGCATTATTTTAAGGGGTTTTAAGTCCCTTAAGAGATAACAATTTGATTGTTCAAAGTTATCCCAAGGTGTTAACAAGAAAAAAGTTTTGACTCATTTTTAATTAATATTTTAAAAGTTTCTACTGTCCTTTCCATCAAACGACTACACGACCTGTTTATAAACAATTAGTAACATGTTTTAACTGGTAACCTGCGATTGTGCCCCTTTTTTCTTAGTTCTGCGAATTTAAATAAGTTGTCTTCCAGGCGAGTGTTTAATAATAAACGAATTTAACTTCCAGAGGAAAGAACTGCTCCTTACTGTTGGATTCCTTTCCGTCCGTCTAAATAAATACTCTAAGTAGTATAACAAGCAGCTTGCAAGCAGAAGCTTTACAAAAAAAATTTCTTATTTGAAACTGCGGACCCAGGAAGCTTCGCTGTATTTACTATTCTTGATGATTATGTGATTGGCAATGTGTAACAACTGATCGAAGTAATATAAGACTGTTAGTCTTTTGAATAGAAAGATTACCTAGGAATGGGTCCCTATTAGAAATAACAGTTAATTTCTATTTAGCCCTAACGCCTAAAATGTTTCTGCAATTAATCCTAAAGGCATAATGACTAGTGGTCTTTTGGTTGTTTTAGGCTAACAGTCTCTATCACAATTTAGAGACATTATTGAGACATTCTCGGAGACATTATTGCTCTGTCACTTGGTAACCCACATTCTCTCTCGCCTTTAAACCGTTCTCGCGCGCGCTGTCTTCCCCTATATGCAATTGCCTCTAAGACCTTTTAAAGATAATCTGTATCCGCTGTGTCACTTCATCAAGGACATGGGCATGTGGCTACGAGACCGATGTGTCTTTCTGGGGCTTATAAGGTTATTAGTAGAAGTGAGATTTTACCTTAGTTTGAAACTAACATGTACATTGGAAATATAGTGGCCTTAAAATCAGAATATCTCACTATTTACAGCTAAATGAAAGTTTGCATTTGCCAGTGAGATTAATAACATGAGAATCGACAACATCTTATTAAAATTCAATTCCAAATTTGTTACTTTTTATTAATAAAGGGCGATTTAGTTGTTACCTAGACGAATGAAAATATATATTTTGTCGCCCTTAATTCTTTCATAAATGGTTATCATCTCCTCGTGAGATGGGCTGAACAAATAATCATTTGTTCTAATAAGACCACAATGAATTTATCTCAATATACATTGATGGTTACCAGCAGTCTTACTGAAAATTTCAATAATAGAACCAAAAACCATTGAATCAGGGGAGAGGGGAAACTTGACAAGCGGTAACAGTTACCTGTCGTGAGGACAGCAGTGGTTTCAACAGACCTCTGCTCTCGTTTTTTCCAGAAACATTTTTTTAATACCTCTCTGCTCCGCATCCTCTCCGTAGATCAAGTCTCCCGTATGGCCGATAATTCCAGTAAAAATGGCAATAATGAAAATAGCAACCGCGAAGACCTCAGCCTTCTTACGACACAAAGAGGAGAGTAGTGTCTTAAGACTGATGAGTGAATGAGGCATCAACATCTCGTTATGCCTATAGCACATAATCTTGACCGAACTTAAGAAGCTGACAATCTTAACTTAAAGGTGATGTTACACGGGAAGATTCGCAACGAAGATTTGTAGCGCAACACAGTGTTACAAAGCTGGTCGAGGAACATTGTTGTAACGATTCGAAACAATGTCGCAACAACGTTGCAACGCTGTGTTGCGCTAAAAATCCTCGTTGCGAATCGTTTCGTGTAACACCACCTTAAAAAAGGCAGGGCAACGACATTTAGGAGCACTAAAAGCAGTTTCTAAACCGTTCCCATTTCAATATTATAGCCGCTACTAAGTTTATGAAATTGAATGGCCTTATGAGAAGCAGCGGCGAGATTTCGAGAAAGTTGATGTGGCTCGTGATGAGGCGAGCAGAAAATCGGTGATTTCTGTTGGAACAGAATAATTGCATTTCATGGGCGGGTCTAAAGGGGGAAGAGTTCCCTGGTCCCGCTTTGGTCTGAAGTACATCTGGTCATATCAAAGTGTTAAAATTAAGAGGAATTATCAGAAAAAAAAACTTGCCTCAATTTAGAGCAATGATTTTTGAAACACGGATATAGTTTCTATATACAGTCGACTCCCGGTAACTCGAACCCTCCATAACTCGAACCTCCCGTTAACTCGAAGTAATTTTCATTTCCCTTCAGATCATTTTCCATATATTTTACCCTCGATAACTCGAACTCCCGATAACTCGAATTTTTTTCTATTTCCCTTGAGGGTTAGAATTATCGGAAGTCGACTGTAGCTGGCAAGTCTCTCGACAGTCTGTTTCTGAACTTTCTCGATTCCCAGCTATAGACGTTAGAATCAGGGAATTAAATCAATGGTAAATCAAAGCCAGTGTTGAGTCACTGATTTCGAATCATTTTTGGCATCGTTTTTGAAGTGCGTTTTGGTGCTCGTCCCTTCAATTTGAGATCAAGTTTTTTCCCCGATATAAGAAAACAAAACTTATTTTCAAACTGAATGATTACGCATCAAGTCTTGTTTTGGCTTAAAGGCTTGAGCTGTGTCACGAAATTTGGTATATGTCAGTAAAACGCGGGCTAGGGGTCGGGGTTAGTGCCGGGGCCGGGGCCTGGGTCGGAGTCTATCTTTTCCAGCCCCGGCCTTGGCCTCGAACCCGCGTTTTGCTGACACCTCAAAATTTAAAAAGTGGGAACGGCCAACAAACTAAGCAAAACAGAAGTCAAAATAATTGCTCAAAACCATTCAAAGAAGTGACAGATACCGTCGACTCTCGACTGATTTCGAACCTTAAAGGGAAATAGAAAAAAGGTTCGAGTTAGCGGGAGGTTCGAGTTATAGGGGGTTCGAGTTACGGGAAGTCGACTGTAGCACAGCGAATAGGAAAGGAGGCACGGTGGACCAAATTGAAGAAGATAGAAACGGATTGCAATTGTGGTTTTTGAAAACTTAGATTCAGCCTAACAGTTTTTCAAAACTCAGTTTTGTTGTCACTAACGTTTGATATAATACTTAGGAGACATATTTGTATGAGACGAAACTGAGATTTTGTCACTAGCAAATAATTTCTCATGATCCATGGCGAATAAGGACACGTAATTGGTATCGTTACCACAATGAACCATACAGCCGTGATATTATACGGCCCTTTAAGGTAGCTCGACTACGAACTGGTGTTTTTTATTGGTATATCATTAATTAAAACCGGCAGTTTAATGGGAAGGGTAATACTGGGGGAGCAGGCCATAAACAAATAAATTAAATAAATACCACAGTCACTTGTCATTTTCATCAATAACAGTTACTTTATTAGTCTTATATTCATATAATGTTTTATATGGTATGAGAAAGTTATACTGGCTATTTAAAATTTTTCTTAGTTGTACTAAGTCGCTTTACATTCATCGGTATATAAGTCAACGTTTTTTGTAATAATTATCATTTTATAGAACCTTCATTTCTTCGTTCTACTTCTTTCTAACCTGAAACTAAAGCATGCATAAAGGAAACGTCAGCATTGACCAACCCTTTTTATTTATATAATTTTTGTCTTGTTGCAAACATAGCTTTATAATGTTATTTAAATGTGTGCTCTTATTCCAAATAAAAATGAACAGATTCTATAAGCAGATATTTTCCATCTGAAGTTTGATCCTAAGATTTGGAAATGATTCTTGTTTCTATGAATTATTCCATTTTTTTATTACTATTCTAAAATAGTTTTAATAGAACTTTCCCCGCATAATTGGGGTAAATAAACTCAATTTAGCCTGAGATAGTGAGGTCTTTGGTTATATTTTCTTATGTTTGGTTTGAGCGGGTCGCTTACGATTGCCATCATGAAAGTGCTGCTCAGAAGTGTTATCCGCCTTCTTGTTCTGAGTGATAAACGGAGTTTTTCTTGGAATGCTATGTGCATTCAGGTTAGAGCCATTATAGATTTTTTTATTGGGGACGCTCGGATTCCTTTGGTAATAGTTAGTATACATTCTCTGTTTAGAAGTGTTAGAGGTCTTTCTGTTGGATGTGTTAAAGGGTCTTATGTAAAGCCTACTAGAGCCTCCATAGATTGTTTTATTGGGGATGCTCGGATTCCTTTGATAATAGTTAGTATACATTCTCTGTTTGGAACTGTTATAGGTGTTTCTGTTGGATGTGTTAAAGGGTCTTATGTAAAGCCTACTAGAAGAACTCCGAGCAGGTACATTATAGCTTCCTCTGTATGGTCTATTGTATTGTCCCATATAAGGTTTGATGTAAGTCCTTTGAAAAGGGGAGTAATACGCTGAGTTATAGCTGATGTAGGGTCTTTTGTAAGGTCTAATATAGGCCCTACTGGGTGGCTGACTATACGTCGATCTTTGATATGGCCGTTCAAAGTAGCCTCTATAAGGTTGGTTAGAATACGTCTGGTAAGGTTGATTGTAGTAGTTTTGATAACTCTGGGTGTTTGCAGACGTCTGATATAATCGATTATAAAGGGTCTCAGGTGGCTTAGAATAACTATTGTAATTAGGCTGATATCCAATATTAGCAGGATTGGCTGGGTAGTCAGAATAGCGATAGTCAAAAGATGGAGGCCCATATGATCCAGGAGAAGACGTCACCGAAGAGGGAGGAGCAGCGGCAGGTGGGCTTCCAGCGAGAAGTGGAGGAGCAGGGGGAGCCGGAAGTCCTGCAACAGGAGGAGGAGGTTGGGGGACAGGAGGGGGTGGTGATGCAACAGGAGGGGGAGGTGCTGCCACAGGAGGTGGAGGCTGGGGGACGGGTGGAGGGGACGGCGGCGGAGATGAGGGGGAAGGGGATGGAACTGGTACAGGAGGGGGTGCTGAAGGTACTGGGACGGGAGGAGGTGCTGAAGGTACAGGTACAGGAGGAGGTGGTGAGGGTACAGGTACAGGTGGTGGTGGTGAGGGTACAGGGATCGGAGGCGGTGGTGAAGGAGTCGCGGGTGTGGCAAGAGGCGGGGGAGTTGTTAGTGGTGGTGGGGGAGATGGCTCAGGAGGTGGACCGCCCGTAGCGTGCGTAGGTACAGGAGATATAGGTGGTTCTGTCGGTTTGGTCGGGTGTATCGTGCTGGGAATAGGAGGAGATGGACGAGTTTCTTCTTCCTCCTCCTCTTCCTCTTCCTCTTCTTCGTCTTCACCGTTATGTATGGCGTAAACCGTCAAACCTGTAAGTCCAGTTTGTAAACGCAAATGTTACACGTCGAATGTTTCCGTTAGTTAAAATAGTTTCACAAAAATGATAACGCTATCGTTGCCACTGGACAGGTTAAGTTTTAAGCTGAAGTTAAAGCCTTGAAGAAATTTGATGGGTTCTTCTATGATTCCGAACCAATGAAAAAAAATTAAATTGAAACTGCTAAGTAGTGTAGGTAGGTACCGTCTGATAGTTTCAGTCGCATGGCATTGAATTAATCCACCTTCCAACCATCTCCACCACCACGTGTGTGACCTGAGTTTGTAGTATTATTCATGCAGCTCTACAGTAACGTCACGAAATTTTAACTTACACTTAGCCTTCATTTAAGTAAGCATTTAGTCTTGTTTGTTAGTTCAACTAGACTTAAATTGACTCTGTACATGACTTCGCTTGCCGTAAGGATAATAGTACACCACTGCAGGATACCCAGACGTCGCTGATGATGGCGGTGGCGGTGGTAGAGGCATTGGTGGTGGTGGTGGTGGTGGCGGCGGCGGTGGTGGTGGCGTTGGAGGAGGAGTGTGTGGTTGAGTAGGCAAGGGCTTGTGTGCGATGGGTAAAGGAGCTGTCATGATAACCGGCAACAACAGTCTTTAGTAACCATCCTTATAACTTGCTATTATTTTTATCATACTGTATGCCTGTAAAGTTTATTTCTTTACGTAACATTTTTCGCCATTATCAAGAAAGAGAAATAAATCGATGCAACTTCAAAAACAGTTATAGTACTGTATATTTGCATAAATGAAAATTACAGCTGCACAGAGACCAGGAAGCTGTAGATGCTGTTCCTAATGACCTCCTCAGTTGTTTTAGGTGCTGAAGAAATGCAAGAAAAAATTTGACTTTTTTGTTAAAGAAATGCTGTACATCAAACTACAAAAAAGACCGCCTTTGAACTCGCAAATGGATTTAATCCATTCTCAAGTCTTTGTCTTGACTAGTTGTATTTTTCTTCATGCAAATTTTAAGTACTTTAAGTCTTTTTAACTCGCATTAATTTATTTCCTTTTTTGATAATGGCATCATGAGGTTACAGAGACGTCGGAACATTATTTTGTTAGTTTTTGCATGTTTAGGTCCAATAGCAATCATGTGAATCGCTACTCAGAGAGAAGCCTGGGAGCTCTAGAAAGAAGTTATTTTCAGGACGTAGCATATATTCCAAATGTGGTAGAAGGAAAGCAGGATTTTCCCTTAAGAATGCATCCACTAAAAATTAGAAAAAATTCTTTATTTAAAAAATGTCCTACTTACGTATACAGTTGTTTCCCTGCATCTGATATCCCGGTAGGCACTGGCAAGCGCCATGTATACATGTCGAGTAGATAGGACACACCATCGGGCAGTGCTTTTTCCGAGCTAAAAAAACATTTATCAACATTTTAAAAGTACAGTGAAACCTCTATTAAGCGGATACCTTCGGGACCTTCCCAAGTGTCCGCTTATTAGAGGGTGTAAAAATTGCGCAATTAATGTTAGTTAACGATCCACATTCAACGGTTACTCTGTACTGTGATAAAGTTTCATATTGTTAAAGAAGCTATCCAGAGTTGAAGTTCATTACCTTTCATTGCCAACTTTAATTTGTTTGTTACTGGAAAAACATTAACTGACTTCAGTACGTATTTCGAGGACGCAATCCAGTACTACTATTGTCAATTCAGTCCGTCGTCCGCTTAATAGAGTTTTTTAACAATAGAAATTAGCCAAATACAACTTATTTTAGCGTCCGCGTCCGCTTAACAGAGGTGTCCGCTGAATAGGGGATCGTTACAAAAGGAAATATAAGACGTCAATTTCGGGACCCGGCTTAGTGTCCGCTTAATAGAGGGTGTCCGCTTAATTGGGGGTCCGCTTAATAGAGGTTTCACTGTAAATTTAATTTTACGGGTACTTAAGTTCATTTGTAATTCAGTAATAGCGAAAAAAACTCTAGAGATTGGCTGAGCAAGGGAAACGTTTCACAGAAGTAGCAGTCCAAAAATAATTCCGTCATGCTAAATTAGCCGTTCGAGTGTCTTTGTATTAACCCTCGAAATTGACATTCAGTTGCACCGCGAATTGCTCAAATATTGAGGAGGGAAACAAATTAAAATAATGAACTAGAGAGGAAAGGTCTGACCGTGACCTATTTACATAGGGTCAGTCTGAGATTTCAACGGAAAGTTGCACTCTTACAGATCTATCTCAGTGAACCTTCTGTTTGCAAGCATAACCATTCCCAAACTTCCTATTGGCAAGCAAGGATCACATGCACCTGGTTTAGTTTCAACGGGTCTCGAGAAGCTCAGTGGTAGAGTATCTGTACTATTACCAAAAGGGCATTGGTTTCGCCCCATATAAGGCAATCCGGATTCCGGAATCCGAAAAATTGTTTCTTGTGGAATTCGAATCCTGGAAACTTTGGCTAATAAAATCCGAAATCTTGGGCTTTGGAATCCGGAATTCCACTAACGTTTGAAACCCAGAATCCTCGTTCCACTGACAAAGACCTGGAATCCAGTAACTGGAATCCGAATCTACGGCGTAGAATCCAGAATCCAAGACTGTCTTGCAATTTCCCTTTCATCATTACATGGGGCGACAGGTTCGACTCATGTTGGGAAGTACTCGGAGTTTTTCTTCCGAGCCGCCGTGTCACTGATTACAAGAAATTTAATCATCTTCCTCCTGAATAAACATTTTACCTTTGATACATTCATAGCCTGTTCCTATGTAACCTGGTATGCATTTGCAGCGTCCCCGAACACAGATGGCGTGGACATCACACTTGGCACACTTGTCGACTAGGAATTATAAAAGAAATGTTTGGCCTAATAAAGATGCGATTTTTCATCAGAACAAAGCAAAGGATGACAACGGTGTGTTTAGTTTAAAACGAAACACCTTGTAAATCCTCTGAGAATCAAAACCGTAAACGAAGTTTTGGTTTGGATATAAAGGACTTATAAACATGAAAATGACACGGGCAGTGCCTTTGTCAGAACTTTGTCTATCGTTTTTTTTTTCTTTTCATTCATCACCGCATGGCTATTAGTTGCCTTACTAGAAGTCTTTAATTTGTTTATTATTATTATGTTGGGTTTTATTGTTGCTGTTCTTGTTTTTCTAATTTTCTTACGGAATGACCTCCTATAGAGGTTCAGACTACAAGGACAACTCACAGACCGTTAAGATCAATTGCAGGTAGTTCACAAATCTGGTGGTTCACCGCAAATCGGCTAAATTTCTATCCGCAACTAGCTTAATTGTGGTCTATCTGCGGAGTAACTAGTGACTTATCTGGAAGATAAATAGGACACTCCAACTTTGACCAAAGGCAGTTCTACATGAATTCTGGAAAGAACCTTATGTGTTTTCCTCAAGATAAGTGTATCTTCGATGACCACGGGTTTGTTCTTGTTACCTTCACAATGAGCTCCAGTGTATTGTTCATCGCAATGGCAGTCATATCCACCCAATACTTGGACACATGTACCGCTATTTAGACATGGGTTGGGATGGCAATAGTCTTTGGTCCCTACAATTAAAGTTAGTAGTGGAAAAAGCAAAAAGGTGATAAAAAGTACGTTACACTCCATTGGGTTGTACACTGGAAAATGACACCAGTCAGTTTAACACCTGCTCCAGAGTTAAGAGGATCAGATAATGGTGAAGACGTTTATTTGACGAGATTTTTAGAACTACTGGTTAAAGAAAAAAGCTGGTAAAATAGCTTTTCAGAAGAGCATTTTAGTCTGCATTGGATGTTTAAAGTACGATGAGATCAGGTCGTTATATGGCTTTTGAAAGTTCATATACCGTTAGTGCTTTACATAATCCCAGACAGAAGAAAACGCATTTTTTTTTTTGGAATTTGTTCTGTTGAAGAGCTTTTTATGCACCAGTATTAAATATATATTTATAGAAGGTAATGTTGATTGGCTATACAATTCGAAGTGTAGAGAATAATGAAACATTTCTTTCTAGATTTTTTCTAATTTTATCTCGTTTCTATACCCAGAATGAGACTGTTACTTTGGCAATTACTGCATTAAAATGTTTGATCTACAGTTATCGCTATATTACCTTCAAAAGGACAATTCAGTCATTTACATTTGATAATTCATCAACTCAGGAAATAACAAAACGTAAATTCAGTGGAGTTGATACCTACTCAGCATCATGATAAACTTTATATAGACTTCTTTTTTCCGGTGGGACCACCCTTCAAGCAGAGATTCCTTTTGTGTTCTTGAGTGAAGAGGTGATCAGATTGGTGTGCACACAAATGACATGTCAAAATCAAATCAACATGCGCACAGTTTTTTTTTATTTGCAAGAAATTTGCATTCGATGAACGCGATTTTATTGGCCAATCAGAGATTTTTTTACGGATTCTTCTAGAGGCAAGTGATCCTTAGTGTTGACCAAAAGGATCGCAGGCTCTCGGTACGAGATATACGATTCATGCAGAGTCTTTCTCGATTAATTCAAAATCGAGCAAGCGAAAGGAAGACTCTGCCGGAAGGGTGCAGTCGGACAAGCTGTGGGATGAATAACAACCAAGGGCTTGTTTACCTGGTTTGTTTTCACATCTTGCTCCAGTGTATCCAGGTTGACAAATACATGTCGGCTGGTTGCCAACAGGTTTACAGATGCCACCATTTGTACAGATCTCTATCATAAATACAGGTGTTAACCGTTGGAGACCTCTATTCACAGGATGTACTTTAATTCAGTTGACAATCGTTGGAAAAATATAAAATTTTAAGTCTGCCTGCTGCTTATTCAGCTTTCTAATTTTGTTGTCTCATGAAATTGGATTTAGTTGCGGTTTTTCAAAGAAAATAGATCAAAATAAAAATCGCCCGTAGATAAAGTCAGAATCTCGGAAATGAAAGGATGTAAATGTAAAAAGACCCTCTTAATTCAGTTGAAAATTTATAGAGCCTTGTATGGAGACTTTACCAAAAATACGGAGACCAACAAAACATTAAGTTTTGCTGCCTGAATTTATTCATTGAAGTTTCTAATACTTGAAATGTTTAGATTTTCTCGATTATTTTTCATGAAATGAAATTCAAGAGTACTCTATTACAAAACCAAGAAACCTTTTGAAGCGAGAATTTGTTTGACAATTAGTTTTCAGCTGCTCTAATACACCATGAAAATAACGTCTCAGTAGGATCGATAGTTTTGTAGTTTGAATTTATAGTGAGGTCATGTGAAAACCAACAATAGAGGCCATTTCCATGTCTGAAGGTAAGAGTGCAATTTAGTTGAGTGTCGTTTAAGATTTTCCACATTAAGCTAACGTATAATATATACAGAGTTCCGTGCACGTTCCTGTTGCTGAGTTGTTACTTTTGGGAACTCAACGAAAAGATGGGCGTCCCGGTAGACGTTCCGCTTTAATTTCTTTTCACAGTCATTTCAAGGCCATTCAGTTTCCATAGCTCTTGTTTACTGATAGAATAGAATTATTCGAAATTGTAGAAATTGAAACGTTTTGTCCTGAAAATCTTGGAATACCTGTTTTTAGAACTTTTTTATTAGTTAGAAGTCCAAGTTATATTATTTTTCAATTTGCAATCCATCAGACATTCCTGATTTTGAGAATGAATTGCAAGCAACCACAATGATTCTTACGTTTTTCACAATTGGTTCCCGTGAATCCTTCAGCACAGATACATTGATAGATATTATTATTTTCATTTTGAAGATTCACGCATGTTCCTCCGTTTTGACAAGGGTTAGATTCGCAAGGAAGGTTTTTCCCTAAGGTAGAGAGAAAAAAATAAAAATGGAACTATTTAGTTTTATCTAACTTTCTGCACTGCATGGAACGCATTAAATGCTAGCCTGTGAAAACAGATGACATTTTGGGACGCCAATTTCTGCGCTCGTTTCTCAGACGTCATTTCGCGGGGAAACCCATTAGTGGCGTCGCAAAATGTCGTCTGTTTTCTCTGGCTCATGCTTTTCAATGCAATGCATTATGTATTGATTGATTATGAACAATAGAATAACCTTAAAGAAACTAAGGAAAAAACCCCAGAATTGGGATGTTACTAAGAAGAGAAACAGGAAAAGAGCACGAGAAACGGGAAATTGAAAAAAGGGAAAGAAATGAAAGAATTGGTGATGACGTTACTGATAGGGTCAGCCACGGTTTAAGTTAGGTTTTTGTCATGAATTGGCTTTCTTTTACCCCCTCCCTGTGCTCATTCCACGTTCTACGTTCCTTCGTTTTAGTAACAACCCCGGAATTGTCGAAGGCTAGACGTTGTGTACAGATATCTCTCTATTCTGTCACTAGCTACCCTAAGGTATAGTCATACTTACGCTTCCGCGCGCATCCGGTTTCCGTTAGATCCATGTCTCCTGCACAATAACAGCTCCCCTCCAGATCACATTTTTGCGCATAAATAGGTGGCACTGCCAATGGATTGCCCTTAGGACAACTACAATCTAAAAAAAAAAAATAGTTATGTCAGTCTGTGTTGTGAATAACCTAAGCAAAGTAAGATGCTTGTTGAGGGCTAATTCTACTGCAAACTGTCAACATCAAAGATGTTTCTGGAATGATATACAGGCCAATATTCACCTGAATATTAAGCTATGTCTATGTGCAAACGGACACGACAAATCCCAACAATGGTGGGCCGAAAAATATTGGGACTTATATCATAATAAGATAAATCTGAATAATTCAAGCAACAACATTGTGACACACGTTAATGATCACTAAGAAGACCATGTGTAATGCGTGAGCGTAGCACTAAAATGTTGGAAAGCTTTGCAAATGGATCAAACATTAGGGCCATTTATACGAGGAAAAATAAGACGCGTCTTACATAGGACGCGCCTTAAATAAGACGCGAACTTTCCGTATAAACGGCACATTTAATTCGTCTAAAATAAGACGCGGCTTAGCTAAGACGCGTCTTAACTAAGACGCGAAAAACGTCGTATAAATGACCTTCGCGTCCTACATAAGACGCGCACGCATAGTACACATGCGTTAATTTTTGGCGCGCCACGTTGGATTGCCTTTGCTACGGGCAACATTCACATGAAAACGAGTCAAGAACAGAAACAAGACGCGAACCATTTATACGAGCTGTTCTCGTCTTAGATTAGACATGCTCGTATAAATGGTACAGTTAGCGTCTTATTCAAGACGCGTGTTATGTTTCTTCGTATAATTGGCCCTATTGTTGCGTTACGCTTTGGCGATCACAGAACAAATGAAATGTTGGGAGTTGTTGGTTCAAAAGTTTGACCGGTCTCGAACTTTGTGCAACAACTTCCAACAACATGAAAGAGGGTGTGCAAACGGACGTGACGCAACATGTAACATCCAACAATGTTGGGAGTTGTTGACCAGCAATGTTGCGTCCGTTTGCACCGGGCTTTCTTTAGGTATGAGAACAGTATCCGCAAGCGTAACGGTAATCCATTGATGGTCTCGTGGTCTGTTTGAGTGTCCTAGGTTGTAATTGGTTAGTGTCTGTTTAATTATTACATAAGAGAGAAGCACGTTCAAGGGAAGCAGCGAGGGGAGACCGCTTCTCTCGTTCGGAGACGTCGTGGGATGAATCAGGGTTAGTAGTCTACGCTGTCAATATTAATGAAATATTTCCGGTGCTCATGCTTTTTGGAGTAAGATTACTCGTAACTAAAACAAAAGTTTACCTGCGCAAGTTGGTCCACTAAATTTTCCCTTACACTTGCAAACCACCTTGCCGTTTTCAAACAGGCAAGTTCCTCCATTTTGGCAAGGATTGCTTTCGCATCCATTAATAGCTAAGAAAGACAATCAAGCAATCTTAATCCAGTCTTTGACTGACCCAACAATGAAGTCTGGTACAACAGAGTTACATTCTGTTATGTTAGGCAGCGTCACATTAAACAATGATTGAACGTTATAAAACAACAAAAGATATCGTAAAACTTTCCCTCACGCGTAGTCACGTTACTATAGGTTTCAAGTTCACGGTATTTTACCTTGAAATCGAAACAGGACAAAACACTGAACATTAAAAATGAGCAAACATATATTAAGCATTCGTCAGATTTTCTTGGCGAACTGTTCAGACTTACGAAGCTCGCAGTTTTCACCAGTGTATCCTTTTTCGCAAACACATCTGAATCCACCTTCAGGAGTTTGTAAGCATTTTCCTTCGTTCTTACAAGGATTGGGGACACAAGCGTCTTTCTCTAAAGTTAGAAAAAAATCAAATGTGAATAAATGAATCGATCAGTTTAACCCTTTATGTCCCAAGAGTGTCCAACATCAATTTTCTCCTAACAACATCAGCAGATCAACAAGAGTAAAGGTTATGAGAATTACTAAATTGATGACCAAGGGGGGAATACTTTGATCTTAAACCAAATTCTCTCAACTATTCTTAAAAGAAATGTATGGAGATCGGTCGGGAGAATTTGTATTTGGATCTTGGGGCTTAAAGGGTTAAGACCTGATTGTCCCTCACTCCTTAATTCAAGTTACTGGTGTGAAGCAAAAAGGGCTATATTGTGTAAGATTCAGCCTCGGTGTATTACAGCCTCCGAAATCTGCTTAATTCGTCATATCATAAGCAAGCCGAATCAGTCAATAATAGTTAAATATTAACAGAAAAAAGTTTGTTTTGGCTACCGTCTTTTACCGAGGGCTCATTTTCCTAGTCCCTTTTAAAAGAACACTATTTAGTTAAAACGTCCACAGCCATAACGTATTCATGAACTTTTGAGGTGAGTGGGAGATACTTGATTTGAATCCATGTCGCTATCATCAACAGTTTATATCTGGTAATATCAAACTTGGCTGCCTGTGTTTGTAGGTAACTATATGATCGTTCACATATAAGCCATTTCCAAGTTGTTCCAAGCGTCTGTTTTGAAGCGAGATTAAGTGTGAAACCATTGATATGAAAATGATATTCTATTATCATGCAAATAAAACTTATTTTCAAAGATTGAACTTAGGGCTTGTTTACATGGAGTGGGGGACCCCGGTCTAGTGGGGTTGGTTTCTTTTGTTTTCACGCTCTGGGGGACACAAAACAAAAGAAACCTACCCCGCTAGACCGGGGTCCCCCACTCCATGTAAAAAGGGTCTTAGCTTCGTTTTGTAAGTGGGGGTTTTGGAACTCGGAAATGGCCTATTTAGTTCTCATGACTTTCTTTACATAGGGTGAGTTAAATCTAACATCACGCGAGCGGTTCCTTACCTTCACAGTGTTTACCGCTGGTACCTGGCGGGCACTCACAATCGTATTCCCCACCTTGGAGTTCTTTACACTTGGCGCCGTTTTTACAAGGATTTGGATGACAAGGGTGTGGTATTTCTGGATAAAAAAAAACATTGCATACATTCATACATATACTTACATACATACTTTATTTGAGTAGGTTTAGAAAAAGGCAACAGCCGCTGAAGTACAAATAATTAAGAAAGAGAGATAGCAACATAGACAAGAAATAAAACTATTTAAAAAATTCAATTAAGATGAAGCTAAAATACTAAAGATTACAATGCATACATTTAATTAATTTCAAAATGAATCTAAAAATATATTAACAATTGATAAAAATCCTTTGATTTCATCGTAACAACGGATGATTCTTTGTTTAAAGAACTTAAGACCTACATGTCAGCTTTGATTTTTTTCACAGAGTTCTTAAAACTGTTTAGTAACACACTGACCTAAAAATTGATAATTGTGTTTCAAAAGTTTTATATAACAGGTCCTCTGTACAAGGAATGTCCGCCTAGTCTGGACCTGGACCTTGGTATAATCATTTGATTGACTGCACGTGAAGATCTGCTTGCGAGTTTCTTTGAAAACAATTCTTCAGGCAAAAAGGATAAAGAATGAAAATAAAATTTGTGCATAAATATAAGGACAGATCAGACTTCTTGTAAAAATAGGAAATGGAAGGCGAGTGAGTTTTTAAAAGCATAATCGGCATCGGATAAGGATCGGTCAAGGTTGAAAGTAATTTGCGCTGCTCTCGAATGAGCAGAGTCTTGGTGAATGGGTGGACTGAGTCTATTTTTCAAAAGTAAATACTGGTTTCTTATAGTGAAATCCCAATAAATTCCATACCCTTATTCTCACAGGTCTTTGTTGTGAACAGCATACAATTACAATTTTGAACAATTTTAACGGTAACTTGGCTGTGGCCTTCCTCCTCTAAACCCAGGGAAAGGCCCCATGTTCTGTGCTTAGGGAAATCATAAAACGATACAGGATAGTGTACTCACTGTGGCACATGAAACCGTCTCCATAAAAGCCTTCTACACAAACGCAGGTTTCATTTATACATTTGGCATTTATGTCACACTTCTTACATATGTCCACTAAAAGTAAATATTAAGATAGGAAAAAGTTAAATTGAGTATTCAGAAGAATATCTATCTTGGACTTATCCTGCGAGCAGAGGTTTCTCTCTTTAATGGTTTTTAGCGTTTACGAAGTTATTCGCGTCGCCAGTCGCGTAGTTGCTTTGTTCTATACGCCCCGGGAAAAACCTCTGCAGCGAGCCGCTTGAATTTTCCTTTGAGCATGTTTTCCTGCGGCTTATAAGTCGCGAACGACTTCGTAAACGCTAAAATCCATGCATGAAGAGAGAAATCTCTGCTCGCAGGGTATCTTGGGCGTTTACAGGTTTCATAATATAGACATCCTGGGATATTATTTATACAATTATATGGTCAATAATTCTTCGTTAAACTCACGGTTTTCGTTTTAATAATAACCAATAAAAAATAAATAAATATTCCCAACCTCGAGCTATTCGTCGAGCGAAATGCAAGGAGTATGTGCTCAAAGTTTCGGACCGTTTCAGCCATTTTCACTGATGTTTGGTGTATCCAAGAACCACAGGTTGCCAAGTGTTGGTACGGCAACATTGAACAAAGAAAGTGGTGTCGAACGACTGAAATATGGCGTATAGGCAATGTGAGGTAAATCCAAGACAGTCTTGGATGATCTGAATTCCACGTTGTGGATCCCGGATTCCCAGTACAGGTTTCAGGATTCCGTGTTTCCGGATTCCGGCGGATTTCTTGAGCTGAACTCCGAGGATTCCGGATTCCACTAGCAAAGATTTGCCGGTTTCCGGAATCTGGATACCGTACGTTATACCTTATACGGAGCGAAATACCCTTACCTACATGGGGCGAAGTTGTTTTCCATGCCTCCCCTATGTACATTTCTATGTTATCAACACACTCATTGCTTTCATGTAATTAATTAATCAAAGTCAATGACAGTCGCAAAAGTTACATGTTACCTTCACAGTTGGACCCTATAAAACCTGCTTGACAGAGGCACAGATAGTGTAGAGATCCATGATTCCATCTATCAGGATAAGCGCTGTAACCACTGTACGAGTCAATACAGATGCCTCCATTCAGACACGGGTGAGTGTAGCACGGATGAGGGACTGGAAGCGAAAATCACTCTATTTACAGCCGAAAATAGTAAACACCGATGGTCTAAACACGACTGTAGATAAAGAACTTCGGCGCGATGATGAATCTTGAACTTTTGTAGTTTCCTTAACGATCGGGTGGGGGTTACTTTCACAATATATATATAATTTATGGGGGGTCCTAGGATGAAGTAAGACTTCTCGAATTTGCTCGAAGTGGCCTCTTTACAATAAAATGGTCTTTACACTAGACGCGAAAGACATCAATTTATCTCGAGCTCAAATCGTGATAATCGCTGGTTTTTACGAAACAATTTACAGAACTTTATATTTGAAAACTTATGACGTCAATAATGCACATCATGCATCGAGAACAATAAAAGTTTTCAATGAAACTTACTTTCGCATCTGTTGCCTTTATAGAGCGGAGGACAGTAACATTTGTAGTGACCATAGGACACTCGGCAGTGTCCACCGTGAAGGCAGGGGCTTGGGTGACAAACGTGACCTGAAAAGAAACCAAGGTGTTGGGCATATTACAATAACAAAGCATAGTAGTTTTAAAACTGTTTCTCTTACTGTTTTTGTTGTTGCTGTTGTTGTGCGCTGTTAGAATATATCTTAATCCCAAAACGTATTCTTGTAAATCAGTATTCGAGGTCTCAAACGGCAAAAGGCTGGCCAGGGCTTGCCATATTAATTTACCTCTTAGATTTTTATCATGTTAAAAACGGCCAAATGGAACCAAAATCAATGATTGATTTCAGCACAGAGTCAAACGTTGGATTAATAGGCTTGTCAAAAATAGTTGTTATTTAAACGTCTTTGTGTGAATAGCAAAAGCTTTGACGTAATGATATTATTTTGCTACTGAGGTCTGAAGTCACGATGTTGAAGGACACTGTTAGCGAAGGGAGATCTCTTCATAAAGAGATACATACTTTCACAGTTGCTTCCCGTGTATCCCATCCTGCAGGTACAGTTGTATCCAAATTGATCTTCATGACAAGTTCCAGAGTTAAGGCAAGGATTAACGTAACACTGCTTGGTTTCTATTGAGAAAGAAATATAAATAAATGTTCAATAATTGCACAGATTACAGTATAACAAAATTCTTTAAAGTCCCTTTCAATGAGATATCAATCACCCCATGCAAGGGTATAAGGACTCCCCGCCTTGAATTCCAGTTTTTTTCACTGGAATTTGGTTTCTGAATTCCAATCTTTAGTAGGATTCCGGATTGCACAAAAAAAAATTTAGTATATGGGCAGCCCTTTTCGTATAATTAGAAAGCTAGTTAATACGATATAAATTTACATTGTTGTTGAAGTTTCAATATGTTTATACCGTTTTAAAAGAATGAGAATTTGGAATGATAACATGAAATGAATTATAATTACTTAGAGGATTATCATTCTACTCGTTTGTCAATATACTGTTAGTAGTTATAACTTAACATGATAGTCCCGCGTTGCTAAGGAGCTTAGGCAACGACGACAACGACGGCAACGAGAACGACAACATAACATAACATAAAATAAAACTTTATTTATACTCGAATTTTAGAGTAGCTAACAAGCTAATATCTTCGAGCTGACACTACATAAAAACTATATAGAAAATATATATATACATTAAATGCAAGGAAAGAAAATATTATTTACAATTCACAATTTTAAGTTTAAGTATGTCAGGCAAAAAGAATCTACATGAAGGTAACATCCTGTATTTTAGTCTTAAAGTCTGCAAAAAGACTGGTACGAAAAAAGTCCGGCAGTGCATTCCACTGCTTAGCTGAAAAGTAAGAAAAGGAGTTAAGACCATAGGTAGTTGTTTTAGGTTTACTTAGTGAAAGAATGTAGTTGACAAAAAAGTTATAGGTTTAGATTGGCAAAACAACAACTTTGCACCTGCAATTAACGCTTTTTTGTATTTAATGTTTCTATGCTGTCACTGCTGGACTGCAACGTAAAAGTTCCTAATTCCACGTTTTATGGAGGACGTGAACACAAGAAAACGATTTTCTTTTTCTTTTTGTGAACTTACGGACAATCCTTTAGAATTCAACTCCCGAAAAATCGTCAACATTTGACAAGTTAAAAGTGTTGAAATAAGAGCGATAAAATTTGAAACAACGCGAATTCACTGTTTGGATGTCGTTTTCGCTCCCGTTGCCGTCGTCGTTGCTTTAGCTCCCTAATCTCACCTGTGCATAACGTTCCTTTGAAAGAAGGTGGGCAGATACAAACATACTGTTCGTCACTTAACTGCTGACAGGTTGCCCCATTTTTGCAAGGGTTTGGATCACATTTATTAATGGCTGGAAATGAAGAAATTGAGATTTACTTCAGTATTAATAGTCTCTTAATTGGTCTACTTGATTAATTTATTATTATCATTATCATTATCATTATCATTATCATTATCATTAATGTTGTTTTTGTTTCATCTTCTTGAGACACATAGTACGCCTTAGACCTGAAAACAATTATTACAAACTCTTTGGCAAACGTCATATGACATAATTATATTGGGAAAATTTTCAAGCCAAATAGAATTGTATGTAGTCATATTTGTTTAATACTACAACTCAATGTTGTTATTCCCGTCCAGTTATGTGTCTGATACTAAGTTATAATTAGTTTTTTGTTAATATTTCACAAATACGCGAGACTATCTAGTATTACTAGTAGTAGTATTTATGACCCATGAATCCGAGGGGACCTCGAATTCGATTGGTACGAAGTAAAATATTATCACACAAAATTTAAAGACCCCAGTTTGGTGACCATTTGCAGTTTGGCACTTACAGTCACACTGTTGACCTTTGAAGCCTTCTTCACAGATACAGGAGAACTTCTCCTCTGAATCTGACCTTGTGCACATTCCTCCATTCTTACATGGGTTGGGGTGACAAGGATTAGGCTCTGGAAGATATCATAATTAAGCAAAAAACATTACTTATGAAGAAACAATCCCTGACAGAGAATTCGTCACAAATCGCAGAGAGCTGTCGAACTTTGTTGAGAGAGTTTTGTTCTGTATCGCCTGTTAGTTGGCACAGAGTCTCGCACTGCAACTTCTAAAACTGCAACGCACTCTCTTCTCAAGAAATACTATTAATATTTCCCTTTCGTTCTTACAAGGATTGGGAGCACAAGCGTCTTATTCGGAGGTTAAAGAAAAGGAGGAAAAAGTCGGGTTACCTTCACAGACAGCTCCTAAAAATCCGCGAGGGCAGATGCATCTAAACGCGCCAGGTATCTCTGTACAAGTTGCTCCGTTCTTGCAAGGATTCGATGCGCAGTAGTTTCGATCTGAATGAAGTTAGAAATGTTAAGATTTAAAACTTAGATATGAGCCAGGGGGACACTCCATACGCTATGACGGCCTTTAAGGGGGACTCTCCGTAAGAAAAAGGTACCTTTTTCAGTCTTCATGTGTACAAAACGGTAGTATTTTAGTTAATGGAAGGGTAGGCAAATTTGTCATGATATAAGTTAAAAAGGGCCTTTGACTAAAATAATTTGAATTTAGGCACCTTGTGGCTGTATAAATTTAATTTATTAAACACTGCTTACAATGAGATGAAGACTTTCTGTTACGGGTATGCAAAAGGCTACCTTTTCTGTCAATGATGGTATATACAGAGGGTAAGGGTTAGATCCCAGGGCCAAGCCTCCGGTAGGAAACGTTGCTAGGTACCCCTCCCTTCACCAGCTGATGTGAGGGTTTGATGCATCTTCGTCCGTTATGACAATGATGAAGACTGAACCGAAAATCTTTAACGGCGATGCTGTCAATTACTCAACTGACCCAGAAAACGTACGTTACAAATAAATTCTCTTTGTCTCTCCTCTTTCCATTTCACACGGATCAAAGATGAAGCTACGAGACGCTCTTACCTTCACAATTCTTTCCTCGAAAATCTTTTGGGCAAATACAGAAGTAATCATGTTGAAGCTGTACGAAAATGCCTCCATTCTGACAAGGATTTAAGTGATCTGCGATGGAATATAAAATTATACAGTATCAACACGGCACAACATTACTGGCATTAGCGTTGATATCTTCATTTCTTTGGAAAGTTCACTGTGATGAATAACATCGGTACCATTCCCCTCATTGTCAAAATATACATAATCATTGTTATCATCATCATTATCATCCTCATTTTTGCCGTCTTCGTCATCATCATCATCATCATCATCATCAACATTATCATCATCATCATTATGTTTACGCACGCGACCATAATTTCCATGAACACGATCATCCTCATCATAACACCTTCACCCCCAAGTTCTTAGTTTCAACAAATTTAAGACGCAAGTCGAATAAAATTTTACCACCCAGTGGTATATCGTTGAAAGTTCGTCTCAAACAGATGGTCAAAAAAGCAAGTAATATTCCTTCTACTAGAAAGGGCACATGGATATCTTTTAATCACAATTTACATGCACGACAAAGTAGTTGAATTTAATGTGACTAATATTTCAATAACTGTTCAAAAGCCTCAAACAGTTAAAATGATTTATTATAAAAATGATCTATTATAAAAACTCCAAAATGCTTTGGATTTGTAAATTTTGAAACCTCTTAGTTTTCGAAAGGCTCAATTTTCTTTGTAATTTAAAATATTAGTCATCTGAAAACTGAATCGTATGAAAACTCCAAAATGCTTTGGATTTGTAAATTTTGAAACCTCTTAGTTTTCGAAAGGCTCAATTTTCTTTGTAATTTAAAATATTAGTCATCTGAAAACTGAATCGTATGAAAATTCAACCAATATTTAGCATTGCCGTGACTGTGCCGTAGAATTACATTTCAACACTAAAACAGTCCGTGTCTCAGCCAACGAGCTTAAAATTTGCAATCAAATTTTGCCTTTACATATCCACTTTACCATTTAAATATAATAAAGTTATGTTTGCACACAATACATGAACCCACTCCTTATGTTCTTAGTAGATGAACTGACCCAAGGCGTCTTGTAGTGAATCAGTGCATGGTGATTTTCGCACTATTTTCAAATGAACGATTTCCCTATCACCTGCATGGGCTACCCACCACCGTAATGCTTTGCATCACGTAGCTAGCATGTCGCAACTCAAACTTACATTTTGGGCGCAAATGAAGGTGTGAAACGTGAACCTGCGATGGTACGGGATATGGTATAGGAAGCGGTTTGGGCACATAGCGTACGGAGACCACTGGGAAGGGCCGTGGCTGGATATGAACGTGATGTATCGGTCCGTGGAAAGGAAGTGGTTGCTGAGGATATGCGCCAATATGCGGTGGAAGTAGCTGAAATTGTCTCCTTGCTCCACTTATATCTTTGACTTGACTTTGTCCCTTGCCAATAGAGGAGTTATTTGTCGACTGAGTTAAACCTACTTCTCTGGTATGGATTCTTCCTCTTCTTTGGTGTGACGCTGGCTTTTGTGGGTTCAACCTTTGCCGCGTTCCTTCAGCAAGTTTGAGTGAATGGGTAAAAATGCTAATTAACTCGTAAACGGCTATTAGCTTTGGTAAAAACATCTTCTAAGCTTTCAAAAAGCCTCTCGTTGCTGAATTTACTCCATTGTTAGCACGACAATGCTCTTCCTCTAAACTTTTGAAATATTGATGTGATAGCTGGTGGGCTAGGTGTAAATCTTATCGTGTTTTGAGTGAAAAATAAGTTTAAAAGTCAATATTTTTTGGCATCCACAAACGCCTTTAAATCTGCCCTTTGAAAATTTGAAAACGTGTAAAGATGTATTTAAATATACAACATCTCATGAGGAAAGCCGATAAAACAATGAAGGTCATAATATCAAGAGTGACTTGAATAGCTTAGCTACCATCAACGCAGTACCTGATGCGTACCAGAAATCAAGAGCATTTCCGGGTATATGTCTCGATCAACTCTTTAACGCGAGGGATTTGAGTGCCAGGTTGAAATAAAAGAGCTGCTCAACAAGCCGGGTGGTCGACAAAGTGTAAAGGTTTGCTAAAAAGAGTAAACGGCAAACATTTTATAAAAATCCTACATTTCATTGCTCAACTGACACATAAGCGAATACTTGACATATTTTGAGTCATAAAATAACCAAAGCAAGGGCTCAAATTGTTCTAGGCGTCTTCCAATCGCTAATCATATGGTTGGTAACTATCTGTTTTAATCAAAGAAGTCCCCAAACCTATCACAGTCATATTCCAGAATATATGGTCGTTGAAAGTAAATACATTCTAGTAAAATGTTTATTTTTTTTTTCTAATCAAGGTAATTGCTATAATCATGTCCCCATATGATACCAATCCTTAATCCGATAATACCCTAACAGCCAATTCTATTCATTAAAGCTGTTGATCTCATTTTCTTGTATCACATTATTGCATCTCTTGACGTCTGTATCTTATTTCAAAAGCCTGTCAACTGTAAGTTTTGTCGTTACACAAACCAAAATCTGTACGCTTCCTAAATCTAAACCATGAAAAATATTTTGAAGAATACTCTGGAAGAAAGTTAGAAGAAGAAGAAGAAGAGAAAAAAGAACAAGCAAGTAATAACTTCCCAGCATTCTTGTATACTGAATGATTAACAGTTATATCAGAGTCCATTATTCCCTCATTGGGCTTGTATTATATCACCAAAATATTCAAATATTCTAAAACTGAAAGTTCTAAAAATTCTTTTTAACTGCAAAGTAGCAGATACTCCTGGTCATTAAGTGGAGTTTCCTGTGATTATCCAAAAATTTAGGTGAGCTCGATGCTCTCAAAATTAACAGGCTGTCTTTCACGGACAAGTGTTTCGTACCTGCCGAAGTTTTCGTGAGAAGATCGAGATCAGGTGGGTCCTCTAACAAACAAACAATAGAACCGAGTTAAATTTTCACGTAAATTTGTCATTGTCGCATAATTCAGACTATTCTGAACACCAGTCATGATAATTGTCTAATTCATAATTTTTCCTTAAAAGCCTCCTGGACTTGAGCAGAAAAACGAAAAACAACAACAACAAAAAAAGAATCTGAAATTAATATTTTTATAAAAACAGTTTTCATGAACGTCAATCTATGATCATTGGTTCATAATAAGGATTTTTAGGAAATGAATTCACTAAAATGTTACCTGTAACGATAATTGACTGATTACCGACATTTTGGTCTTGCTGAGGTTGTTTGAAGCCCATGCAGTGAACTGTTTTATTAATTAGTAACATCAGTGACAGGGTCAGTTCGTTTGTTTTGTCTTGGTTATGTTGGTAACTGGAAAGTGAAAGTCATGTAATGGAGTTCCAAAGCCTCTAAGAACCTTCGTGATATCATTCATTTTTACCAGAACGTCTGCTTGATACTTTGAAGGAGTTTACGATCAGCGATTTGCGATTTTCCTTGATTAAATGCATTAGATTGTAACTTTTTTAGTTTACTCTTTAAAGAGAGAATAATGGTTCCCAAGGTCGTCTAAAAATACCCGCACACATCACAGGTGATCTTATTGAAAAACTGTACGCAACCTGTACTACTGTGATGGCTTTCATTTTTTCCCTGGAGTGAAAGCGTCAAGATAAACCCACCTACTACCAAAAGCTGATTTTTATCACTGAGAAAATTACCTTCTACTCTGTCCTTTTCGTTTTAGAAACACTCAAAATGTATGGATGTCTTTATATATAAAACAAACAAACTAACAAGCAACATAAACAAAATAAACCGGCTTAGTTGCAGGAAATATAAATAGACTGATAAAAATTTCCCACAGATAACAGCGCAAATAACTTAAATTAATCCATTTTTAAATTGACTACGAACAAGATAACTTGCAAATTTTATTTTTTAAAGTCGCCTCTGCTATACGTAAATTATACACTGGCTTTGACAGTAGAAGTATTTTATTCATTCTTCTTTTTCTTAGCCACCAGATATTTTATGATTTAGAAACTTAGAAACCGTTGGTTGTTTGACTTGAATTGAAAGGGCACCTATTAGCTTAACAGTCACGTGGTTCAAAAGTACCTCCATGGAAACGATAGATTGAGGATTTTGAAAGAACGGAACATTATTTTTTAGCTTATTTAATGCCTTTGCACATCTTGTACCACTGCGTCTCCAGCAAGGTGTTTTTGTCCCACGTGACTGTTAAGCTGTAAAAGGCTTATAATACACTTGCAATATAAAGAGAATCGCGGACGTTTAGATGTTCAAAACTCCTTATAGATTTAAGAGCTGTTTAAGATCTGTACTGTGGAGTTTTAGAACTGTATAAGACGTGAAACATTCACTTAGATGTACATTAAGGAGAAGTTCTCTTTAGTACTTGGTTTTTGCAAGTCATATTTAACTTCTAATTGCAAAGCATCCACGAGAAATTTTGATAAGTTTACACAATTTTTCCCTTAGGAACGAAACGTTTCTTCTTAAGGTTCTTCACACGTGATCTGTGTAAACGAAAAAGAAAAACATACAGTTCAAATATTAAGACTAAAGTGAACAGAAGCCTCAAGGGTGCTACTATCGTTATGAAGCAAGTTTACATCAACGCGTCCTAAAGCTTTTACGAGCGGAAAAATATGTTAATCGCGTTAACCTTCACTAGAGGGTGGTGGAACTAAAGCTTAAGGTGATGTTACAGAAGACGATTAGCAACGACGATTTTTAGCGCAACACAGCGTTACAATGTTGGAACAATGTTGCAACTATTCGAAACAATGTCGCAACAATGTTGCCACGCTGTATTGCACTAAAATCTTCGCTACAAATCGTCACGTGTAACATTACCTTAAAGGAATGACGCAGTCCTCTAAATTGGCCAGGACTTGCTGAAAGTACCTGTCTCTGAAAAAGCATAACTGCTCTTCTTACGAGTAGGAAACGTTTTCTGCAAGATTTTTCATCAACCAGTTGTAACAAGGGGCTAATATTATATTTTAGGCTTTTTTAAAATAAAAACTCCAGAAATTTCAAGAGTTTTTTTGTTAGCAGTGAAAAAAAAGCCATTTATGTGCGCGCGTGGGATGGCGTGTACTTTCCAATTTATTACTTAGGCCTGACGCGTAATGGCACTGTCCTATTAGTGCTGAAATCAGGGCAGTTGATAGCCAATCAAATTTGGGAATTTTTTTTTAGTTATGATTAACCCTTTAAGTCCCAATATCCAGAGGGCAAATTCTCCAGACTGGTCTCCATTGGTATCATTTCCCGAGACTAAACTTAAAAGGTTTTGAAACAATCCAAGATGGTCAACAGCCATCACTAACAGTTACGCAAAATGAAAAGCAGAACCATTTTAGGATCATTCCTTTTAATAGAATATTAAGACACTTAAAGCCCAACAGAACGCAGAAAAAGAACTGTTTGGTCATTCCTGGACACGGCCCTGAACGCTTGGTAGCTAGTACAAGGATTTACAGCTGAAAAAGAAACTCGGGATGATCAATTGAATTTTCTGGGTTACTGACCACCTACCCCTCCCCTAAGTCACAATTTTGCCCTAAGTTTCACTTAAACTTTCATACTTTTTTATTATTTCAAAATTTATGAATCAGTTTCTAGTGTCGTTGTAGTTGCTATGATCTCGCATGGATATTACACCTCTACAGTCCATTTGCGGATGGATTAATCTTTGTTTAAAATTTGAGACCTTCATCGATGAATTTATGTCTACAATTATAGTCAAAAGTGCTGGGCCACAACTTTTCACCTCTTGTCTCTTCTTCCGCTCCCTGGCACAATGTTGTCCAAAACTAAAGTGTTTGTGTGTTCTGTTATGTATACCCAACATTGACGAGGGGGAACGGGGGTATTTGACAAAAGGGAACTCAAAAGCCAAAACTATTAAGTTGGAGGACCTTCCGACCTGCTTTTGTCTAGAACTGTATCTTTCGATTCCTCATGGAAGAAGTTTTAAACATCATCCTTTTCGACTGTGATTTTGCTTTCCAGACATCCAGACATCTAGCTTGTTATATATCTTGTCCCAGGATACCCTCTAGGGCGTCTTATCGACCCACATCCATGCATGAACAGAGTCACTTACGCGCACAGTCGTATCCATTTCCAGTGTACTGTTCCAAACAGACGCAAATTCCATTCTGGCAACTAGCGAAGGGACTACAACCTTCACATTCCGATTCCTCTACAAAAAAGAAAAAAGAGAAAAATATTCATTGCTTCTATCACTCTTGCTATGTCACTCTCTCTGATCAAGCGGTTTTCGTCACTTTTCATATGATGAGGCATTAATTGCTTCTACGAAACCAAATGGTTTTATTCTGGAAAAAGCAAAAAACTTAACAAAAAGGAGATCTGGGCATTAGGGCTTGTGCCAAGTCGGTCTGAGATGACCAACAAGGCGTATAACATGTAGGGACCATTAACTGTTGGATTCCTGAAACATTATACGCCAACTTCACCTATTAGATAATCATTTAATTTACATGTGACACTATCGTTTCCCTTCGTTGACAGAATTTACTTGCCTTTCTCGCACTGAAACCCATTTCCATAGTATCCAGATTTACATCTGCAGTGTCCATTGGCACACAAGGCGTGTATGTCACACTTTTCACATTCATCGACTGTAGAAAACATGAGAAAGTGGTTTATCAGAAAGCCCAGCTGTACATAGGGAGGTTCTACCTTCACCAATAACACACAAAATTAAGTTTAATAGTGAATGGCGATCGAGAGCTTCAGTGCATGACCTGTGTAAGTGGCATAGAGTGACTACAATTGAAACAAACCTAAGATTTGTTGCAGCCAAATGCAACCGGACACTTACTTTCACAGTTAGGGCCACTGTACTGAACAACGCATGCGCAGTCGTATCCTCCTCCGTTTTCGGTGCAGGAACCCCCATTCATGCACGGGTTAGGGTGGCAAGCTGAGTTAAGAGATACCCCTCCACCAGTTCCAGGAATACCACCAACACCTCCACCTAATGGAAGGAAGATGGTGTAGGGAAAGTTCATTTCCAACTATAATCAACTGAGGTCTAAATTCCTCTTTCAAAATAACTGGTTGAGTACCTTACTTTGTTTATGCAGACGGGTTAGTCCCATCTGGGACCAGCGGCCTAAGTGAGTAGCTGCCGGGCGTAACTCAAGACAGACCATGGTCATGCTAGAGAAGCTTTAATTGAATCAGTAGTTAAGGAAAAAAAGAACTCTTTTGACAACGAAAGATGATGTCGAAGGAGCAGCTCTAGAAACCATTATACCACGTCACAACATGCTCTCTCCGGGGTCCAGTCGCCATTTCCACTCATTCCTATCAGATCACAATTACGTAGCTATAGTTTACCTTTGGGCATTTCACAGAAATTTCCTTCGAATTCTTCAGGACAAGCACATACAGGTTTTGAATCTACTGCTGTACATTGACCACCATTCTGACACGGGTTGGGGTCACATGGATTGGCCTTACCTACATAGTGACAAAATCAGTGTTAAGAGTGACAGTATCGACGAAAACAAAAGGTCATTGAAATTAAGTTTGATATTAAAGTAATATTATTTTTTAATCAACTTTTAAATTACTTTGCAGTCTTTTCTCCGGTTTGTTCAATTCCCTTTGTTGATCGAGTTTTGACTAAGCTTCATCCTCTAATAATTTAGACTAAATGCAAACCGACTTGCTCTTTTCTCGAAGCAATTCTGCACAAACCTTAAAGATCATGTTACCAATGAAACTTAACGATTTGTTGGTTGTACCGAGGCACCGAGGCAGAAAATCGGTCAAGTCTAAACTGTTTATTGCAAAAAAATTGCTCATTTCCACACCTATTCCTAATTCACAGTTGTTCCCCGAAAAGCCTTCTTTGCAGAGACACTGGTATGCATTGCCTTCGTCTAAGCATTGGCCTCCGTTTTGGCAAGGGTTTGAGTCACATGGACTGGCACGTGACGTAGGAGCTGAAAAACCAAACAACGCAAGCGAAAATAACAGTTAGTAAAAGAACGTGTTACGGTAGTAGATACATTATCTGCTTCCATAGCAGATACATCATGAAGATATCAGCTACCACAGCAGATACATGTCACAACCTTGCCATCCCTTATCTGCTACATTCCTCTTCCAAAGGATCAAAACTCTGAGGAAAAGACACAATATTCCTCAAAGAGCGCTGTAGGGTGTTCATTAGACTTGTTATTCCCATCCCCGACATTACATAAATTTGAACAGTTTCCCTTCGATGACGACAACGTAATTCCGAAATAATCAGCTTCCTAACAACCGGAATCATGAAATTTGATATTCTTAAATTCTCCTTCATCTGATAACTCACGTACCCTATAAAAAGCTCTTTAGACCTTTTCCTCATAGACGAAACGAAATACAATGAGTTTTGTTTTGGTGACCATATTAGCACCGTGAATAAGACGGTCAGTTAGCAGGAAGGTGTTTTTATGGGGCCCATCAAGTGTTTGTCAACCTTGGCTTAATTGCAACTTTGCAAAAAAAGCATTCCCACCACATCCCACTTCTTGTCATTAAATGTGGCACTTAAACCGTGCAAGTGACAGCCGAAGAGTAAAGGAGGAGGGGCGTGTAACGGTCCCTCGGGATAAAGGTCTAGATTTACCAGCAGTTATTGGGGAAATCGAACGGTCCAATAAAACCTTGCAACGGGGTAAGCATCCAAAATCTGTTAACTAAATCCCCAAATTTGATTGAGACTGAAACTGATACCCCAGCTGTAGTTCATGTGGAAAGTACCCTCTGAGGTATCCAACCCGGACTTTAGCTTTGTGAGTTTTCCGCTCCGGTTGCAACAAGGTCTGATATTGGTTTCGTGAAACAATAAACGGAGGGCTGGACAATGTAATTACATTTTTAAACAAAGTAATTGTTAGTAGCAGTTGTCCTCCTTTCACTGATAAACGTTTAGGTGAATGGTGTTATTTAGTTTAATCCTTTTGCAAACAATCATTCTCTTACCAATTTTGAACGGATGAGAAAGATTTATCTTTAATATTTAATTATTTTACCTCTTTGCTACAGTTTGTTGTTTTACGCAGCTTCTTCTTTTAAGAATTAATTTAAAATTTTACTTTTAACTTTTGTTTCTCTAAGTTAAACAAAAATGAAGTTCTTAAAACAAAGTTTCTTACATTGCTTAGTTACTTACTTGGTTATTTAATTACTCACTTACTGAAATCCATTGTATATTTTTTAAAAACGTTATTGTTCACATCTGACGTGGAGACCGACAATTCTTTTCAATATTGCTGGGTCATTGGATGCACTAGTTTTGAATATATAGTAGTCAAAGTTTGCGTGAGGGCTACAGTAAATTCGTGTCAAAAACGTTCTTGTTAATTGAAGTTACTGCTTTTTGCATTACTTTCCTATAACTTGGTAAGCTCTGAGACACTGCTGCTTAACGTAAACTAATTAGGTTTGTAAATGGCAAATGAAATAAGAAAAACCTAATTATTGTTAATGCTGTTGTTTTAAAGCTTTGCCATCTTAAGTGCGCTTGCCCTTGAGAGAATTTAAGCAACCACGACCAAGAAAGTAGCGAGAATGTGAAAAAAGAAAAAACATAATGGGCAAAATCATTCTGTGGGTTCCCTTAACATCTTGGTAGACGTCTCGTTTGGAAAACAACGAAGCAGCATCACAGGGTCAAGGTGTGAAAGTAAACCGCTATCGGTTACTGATAAGAACTTCAAAGTCATTACCACGATCTGGACGCCTAGGACAAAATTAAGACTCTTTTTGAAAAATGGCATTGATTTTAGAGCGCGATAGGTCTATCTTGAGTGACGCTTTGCTTGGCTTCGTTGTCCTGGCTGCTTAAAATCAACATGATCATTGTCCAGAAATCAATACTCCAATTTCTAAACTCATAGGGCATTCAATTATGTGAAGGTGCGAGAGCAGTATTATTTATTAAAGCTTTGCTTTCTGCATCCATATTATCGATTATTTTGTCCCTTGTAAGTAAAGAGCGTTAATATTAACTGGGTTGGAGAAGTCTTTTTTTTCCTGTAATAAGTAATTATTACAGAGTGTTATCGTTATGCTAAACGTCTAAGTCCATATCGTCCGTTTGCCATACCGAAATGGTTTGGCTTTAGTTTACAGTCCCAAGGTGCGCAGATATTAGGATTAAAGTCTGGTAGTCCAGTAATCCAAACTGAGAAGAATGTCATGTCTTAAGAAAATCCAATACGTCATCAGTTTTAAGAAAATTTTTCTCGTCAGTTAGTGTTGTCTGAACGGTTCTGCTCAGGTTTGGTATTTTTTGGGGTTATCTGTTTGACATTTTCACCCAACAGTACCAGTTGGCATATCGCTAGGAGGTCCGTAGGAACTTGGAGAGCCATACGAATTCCCAGGGCTTCCGGGTGCACCTACTATGGCAGGTAATGAAGGAGGTGGCGGAGAAGGAGGTGATGGAAGTGATGCAGGCGCAGAAGGTGCTGTGATTGAAATGATAAATAGTAAACTTTTTATTAACAATGAACACGTAATTTGAAAGACCATGGATCTCATCACTTCATGCCTCAATTATAGGACTGGACCTTTCCACCGTCAAAAAACCATGCAAGGTAAACAGTTAGCGAGATCTTTCTACCAATTTTGTTGATAATCCATGTTTGCTGGTAGGAAAACTCCCAGGACTGAACATGCACTCTGAATTAATCCATGCTTGCAAACAATACTTGAACTGATTTTGTTATTAACAAACCATGCACATAACACCGCATTGGCACCATCTTTGAACCAAATTTGTGGATAACTGGCTCTTCAGGAACAAGCCGCTTTGGAGGCTGCACATGCACTACATATCACTCCAGGATTCAATATGCCTCTCTAAGTCCTTCATGGAATTTTCAGTCTACCATCAGTAAACCAAAGCAGTGTTGCCGCCTTTGGGAGATGAGGATGCCAATTTGATGGCTAATCGATTCATAATTTTAGTGAGGCTATCGTTAACCATCCACATGCACTACGCATCATTTCATGTTGAACCCTGCTTGGTTTTTTATCTTATTGAGCGTCAAGGTCATAAATAAGCACATCATGAAAACGATAATGAGCAATTTGCGGTAAAGATTAACTGTTGGTGTGTTTCTCTCTCAGCATCCTATCTGGACCTTGTTTTCACTGAACGAAGAGGTAGTGACTTGTTCTGTCAATAAATCCTTCGACTTTACCGTAATACACCTGGTCTGATCGTCTTCATTGCAAGTTACAGAACTTTTCCTAGGCAAAGATGCCCGGTCATGCTCAGTACAACATCTTCCGTTGTGCTATCCTTGTAAGCAGCCATTTTTCTTGCTTTTCCTAAAGAACATGCAATTCTAAGAGAGTTTGTATGAATAATACTTACTTTCAGTTTGAGGTGAACACGTCTGACCATCACCCACCCAGCCCTCCATGCAGATGCAGTTCCCGTTGTCGCAGCGGGCGTGAGAATCGCATTTGGCACATTTATCCACTATAAATATAACCCATTCCATGAGTTAGAAATGTGACGTTAAAATAAGGCAGACTTTGGTGAGTAAAAAAACTTGGTACGTACTACTAAGGAGAATAGGGCAGTAGGCTGGGGAATCTCCGATCGTATGGGTGACACCAGATCATACTGATAATAAGATCCTCATGAGACTTTAAGAAAAGAGGACAATCCGGTGTTACCTATACTACTAAAAAGAAGAGGACCGCAAAACCTTTTTGTGTGACAAACGTGACAGGCCTATTACCTGCGTGTTTGTTGTGATATTCAATTAATGTAACTGTGTTTTGATCTTTTACAAAAAGATCTTTTTAAAGGAAGGTGAAGTTTGTCGGAAATTGTTTTCAAACAGAATTATTGTCACGCTTGTCACATAAGGTTTGCCGTCTACTTCCCGCTGCCGTCCCTTTGCGTAAGTTCACTATTATCTACTGTTACCAAATCATTTCAGGAATGGCCGATCAGCTCAAGTTTATTGGGAAAGCCGCTGAAAATATAATTGCATTACTTCATCAAAAGCTGTTTATGGCAACGGCGGTTGGCAACTGCGCCGGTAAAGTTGCCTTTCCAGGTCACCTATATTTGAAAAAAAAATCCCTAGACACTATACGAACTAGCGGCAGTTAATCGATGTATGGTCCTTTGGGAAAAATGTCTAACGATAATATTTTGCCATAAGAACGAGGGGATATATCGGACGATCATGCATGAGGTCGAAAGGAATATATCATTCTTGGCCATTTTGTTAAGCAACTTTGAAGAAAGGTTATACTAAAATGGCTACTTAAAATACGAACCATCGCAGAAGTTTCCCTCGAATTGTGCAGGGCACTCACAGGTAGCTACGCCGTTCATTTCCTTGCACGTGCCCGAATTCTTACATGGGTTAGGGGAACATGGATTTGCCACTGTGGAAAAAAAAGGCACAAGAATATGTACAACAAACATCTATAAAGGAAGTGTCCTATAATATATCACAGCAATCTTTTACAAAAAAAAGAATGTTTTCTTCGATCGGGGATATTTGTCTCAATGCCATTTCTCTTGGAGACGCATTTCACATCTTCCCTGCAGCGGTATATACTTCTGGGCCCAGTTGTTCGAAGGCCGATTAGCGCTTAAACCAGGGTTAAATCAAACCTGGGTTTCTTTTCTTTTGTTCAAAAGCATTTTTTAGGATAATTTTCTCCGGTAATTCTAACAGCATCCAATCATCAACTCGCTGACAGAAAGAACTGAATTTAGTTTTTAAGCATTTAAATCTGAACACTGGGTTATCTTAACCCAGCTTTGAACAATCCGGCCCAAACTAAGTTATCGATACATCTGTAAGACGAATATCGTTTCCCTCTCGTTCTTATCGTTCATATTCTTTAGGGAAGCGGGGTTTTTGAGATCCTGCAGTGCATTTCCAGTTATATGCATAGATCCCGATCTCTCACATTATTATTCCATTCCAAATATAAGTTAAAAATCACTGTTGAACAATTTACTTACGTTCGCAGTCGTTACCCTCATAATTATGAAGGCAGGTGCATCTATATCCGCTCTCTTCTGGGATACAAGTTCCTCCATTCTTACAAGGATTGGGAATGCAGTACTGTCGAGCTAGAAGACAATAAAGGAAACAAAATTTGTTATTCAACACTATCAAAAGAATCCCATCTGGCCGGAGCTATAATTCACAAACATCATTGAGGAGCTAAACTTGGGTCTATAAAAAACAATTCCAGCTAGTAACCTCCTTAAAATCGTGTTACAATCCTCTTTTATACTAGCCTATGCATGCAGATGTTCTTAGGGGTTCGTCACGCCTTTCTGCTCCACGACGCGTGGCGAATCCATAAGAACGTCCGCGTGGAAGGCGACTTCGATACTACCCACTTTCACAATGAGGTCCAGTCCATCCCAGCATACACTCGCAGTCATAAGAAGAATCCGTTGGTACACAAGTACCACTGTTTTTACAAGGATTTGGGTGGCACACATTTCCTGGCAAACGAAGCAAATAACAAGAATTTGGAATAAACGATATAGCCTCCAGGACGCTATAAGAGAAAATGATTTTGATCATTATTTATTTATTTTATATTTTTTACAAAAGTCAAGATCACATTGTCAAGAGAGCACAATAACTAGACAACACATATTTTTCACCCAAGGAGACCGTCTCTAAACCTGAGGTGAGCTGACGCCAAAACAACTAGACATACTTACTTTTGCATGTTTTTCCGTCTCCATGATAACTTTCTTTGCACACGCAGTGCCCTAAAATGCATTCGGCATTTGGACTGCAATATCGACAGCTGTCATCTACAAATGAAATACCGAGGATGAAATTAGCGCAAAGCTTGGAAATTTATATCACTGTCTGTATTTATTTATTTATTATATTTAATTAATGCTACCGGTGGAGAGCAATCAGTGATAATAACAGATAATAATCTTCCTTTAAAGATGATGAGCCCGAGTGAGGGACAATCAGTTGTCCATGTTTGTGTGCATGCGTAAGGTACTGACCAGACCGTACTGAGTGTCTTACTTTCTTTTAAGTAAATGAAACGTTGGTTGAGGATACAAAATAACCTTTTCCCATTCAGTTTTTTCCAGGGTAAAAGACCAAAGATGTTCACTAAATTTAAGACAAAACAGGTTTGATTTTACACCTAGTAGATGGTCTCTCATCTTTCGTGAAAACAATACGTTACCTTCACAGTTGCGGCCTGCAAAGGGCGCGATACATTTGCAAATATACGCCATTGCATTCTGCTGAGAATCAACAAAGGAAGGACTGGAATATAAGTCCACTGCGTTCATATCATTGTGTAGAAAGTAGGTGTCAATGCATGTTCCTCCGTGTAGACAAGGGTGTGATAAACAGGAACTGAGTACTAAAAGAAAATAGCAAATGCATGTTAAAAACAATGTCTTGAATTCCTTGACGACTGTTAGATTTCCAGCCAGTTTCATAAACAACCCTAAATTCTAGAATTGAAAGAGGAGATATTTAAAAATAAAAAAGCTACAATGTCTCAGCAAATTATCTCAAGGACCTGCTGGTTGTTGTGTGTTTCGTAGAAACTAATGAAAATCACACTATCGGGGACATTTTAAAAAGGAGAGGTAAAATAACTACTGCAAAGTCACCATGCCGGTAAACAGAAAACGGAGGAACAATAGTCCTCTTAGGCACGCTCAGGATGTCAATTTTTGCAAATAAGCATTCTTCTGGGAATAAAACTGTTTGATAACGAATTCAATCCTTTGTGGGAGTAAAAAGATTTCCGAAACCCAACGTCAATAATCTGCACTGAATTATGTTCACTTAAACAGCACTCCCAGACACCAATATACTTATGCTTACATTCACATCGGTCTCCATGGTTACCAACGTGACAGACGCATCTGTAAGAGGAGCCCTCCTCGAGACATGAGCCGCCGTTGTGACAAGGATTTGGTCTGCACACGTGATCTAAAAAATACAACACACAAGTTTGAAAATTGCATTAACATAAGAAGTCTTTGTCGAATGTATAGTCTTTGAATCCAAAAAGGTCAGGATATCACTTCAACAAAGGACAATGAGGATATATGACAACTCTATAAATATCTTGGGATCAGAGAGCATTTTTCTCTCCTGTACGTCTAAGGAACTCGAGAGGGTTAATGGTATCTTAGAAGAGATCTTATCCAGACATGTGACATTAAATACGATTATGAGTCTATATGGCCACCGTAAATATTTTCATCACGTCAGGTAGATACCGCGATGGGGACACAAAATAGGCCAGAAATATTAACAGGAGGAATGTTGAAATCCCTTCAACTGAACACTTATAAAAGCTTAAACCATCGCAAGGGTCCCGTGATAACAAAATTTCGAATGCAAAGAATGTCCTATCAAAAGGTTGGCGGTTAAATTTTGAAAAAAAAAATACGGAATTTGCCATTGGTCAGGACATTTTAAAGCTGTAATCTTCAAGGGTATCAATTTTGGCCTTCGTGGGTTGGATCAGAGTTCAAAACGTCTTTACCTCGATGGGCGACATGGGTTAGCAGTTACAAGAAGTTCCATTTTACTCACTTTGGCAGTTCATGCCGCTATAACCCATTCGGCAACTACATCTGTAACCGTAAGTCTCATCTAGACAGGTACCTCCGTTCATACAGGGATTTGAATAACAAATGCTTCGTTCTAAAAAAAAAGGCGAATATAGATTACAATTTAGAACTTGCCAATGCAATGAAACACTTCATTGTTGTAATGGATAACACATTCCAACGTGTCTAGTTTCACCTCGGACAAAGACTGATCAGTGAAGTGTCTTCATTACCAGAACGTTTATCTCGTTTGCTGAGGTGGAACGAAATAAAGGACTGACTCGACGAAATTTCAGTGAAAGCCATTAGTGATTATGCACGGTGTTATGGTGAGCTCATAGATAAGTATGATTAAGATTGACCTTAACTGCAACGCCCAAGATTTTGATTGTTTGGTAACGAAGTACGCCGGCTTCCTGCCACCTGAGCCCTGGAGACTTGTATTAAAAATTAATGCCTTGACACATAACCCTATTCATAATGCTGTCGTCATACCAGTTTCTTTTGAGGAGCATTAATTACACAGTGTCAAGAGTACGCCATACCTTCACAAGTGATCCCCTTGTAGCCGATGGGACATGTGCACTCGTATCTTCCTCCAACTCTTTCTGTACACGTTGCACCATTTTTGCAAGGGTTAGGAAGACAGAGGTTGATTTCTATGTGAGGGTAAAGAGTTATATTAAGGCGCTCACTCAAAGAACAATTTGAACTGTAGTTTTTAATTGAGTACTACATCCCTACGTGATCAAAGGACTTCATATCTACACTGCAAGGCATAAAAATATCTTAAATGTTTCTGTCATGAATATTAAGGGCTAATATTCTTTCTTTTAGATTTACAGTCCAAGAATTAAAGGCCCCATAGTTCGATGATTGAGCAGTGCTGACCTCCTTTGTTATATCTTACGGTAGTACTCAACTTCTATCGCAAACAGTCGTGTGTTGTTATAATTGTTGTTGTTGTTTTTGGTCTTCACCTTCGCAGTTCTTTCCTTTGAACCCTTCTCTACACGTGCACTCAAAGCCTTCTCCTTCGTTGATGCCAGTACATGTACCTCCATTTCTGCATGGATTGGGATGACACTTGTTCTGTTCTATTAAGACAAATAAATACAAATTCAATGATCTAGAGATAACACGTCCAGTTAGCGATTGTAAGTCTGCCATATCAACAATAGAACTGGAATTGAGAGAAGTTTGTCTCTGAGCAGAAAGAAAATCGAGAAAATAAACTGGAGAAAAAATCAAGTGAGAGAGACAAAAACGAACTCAAACCCACATTAACGCCACCTACCAGGGCATGATAACGGTAGACGAGTACTCTGACCAAAATATAGATCACCCTATAATTTCATCCATACATTTTCTTCCAACTCCTTCTTTTTATCCGCGCGTTTGGTTTTATAATAATCATTGTCACAAAGACTTATGAATAAGTAATACCTTCACAGTTTTGTCCTCGGTAGCCCTTTGAGCATGTGCATTCGTAGCCTTGTCCTACGTCATAACAAGTACCTCCATTTCTGCACGGATTTGGCTCACATTGACTTCTGACTACAGGACATGAAGAAATGACAGGAACGAAGGAATGACAGGAATGAAGGACATGCATCACTTAAAATCAAGGCAATGACTTGGGACTAAAACAGAGACCTGGACCACTGGAGATATCTATATTTAATAACTCTTTCTGCTAACAAAGGTGTTAAAACCTACGTTCACAATGCGTTCCCATGAATCCTGGAGAGCAAGTACATTCGTACCCATGAGCCACCACGGTGCACGTTCCTCCATTTTGGCAAGGTATCGGTTCGCATGTAGAGTGAGCTAGAGTTCAATTTAATAATAAAGATGAATACCAAAGGTGCAATAGTCTAGAAGTTTTTTCAGAATTAAAGTAAGAGCAGAAAACTGGCAAACTGGTTATGTTTGAGTACTTTCGCTTTGCCTTTGGCGGAGCAGGACGGGTCAATTACTGTAGCTACAGACACCGGGAAAAACAGTACTAATGGCACTGATTGTATTGAGATAGATTTGTGCCCTCTAGGCTTGGTTGCTGCACTGGACGCAAAATGCAAACGTCGCCTGGTTTTTCATATAAAATAGATTTAACGGCAATTTCAGCAAAGCGGACATGTAATGTCAGGTTTCTCAGTACGCAATTTTACGTCATATAAAGCAATGAATAAAAATGAGGGATGAATTCTTTTGTTTAAGATCTTTTTTTACGAAGAATGTGCAACGGAAAATTTAAATCAGAAAAACGGCTGGGAAATGGTCTTTGGTACCTAACGCTGTGATAAATAAAATAAATGTAACTCATAACATATATCCTAAAGTGAAATGTGGAATTGGAAAGAAACGAAACCAAAGAAGGTTCTTTCATTCAAAAGCGTCATAAAAATTTAACATGTTTCTTGCCATTAAGCGTCATAAAATTCGCCCCAATACAAATCTTTAATTTAGGGACTAAAATCAAAGCGCTGTATCAAATCTAACGGTGATAGTGTAACAAATAAAACAGTGTATCACTGTTGTAAACATTGTCACTGTATTTTAGTATCTGAGGATTTTTCCATGCGCCAACGCCTTAAGGCGTTATCCAATCTTGCAAATGACATTCAACAATTTGTAAACAAGCCCACACTAGCCTAGTATTGATATCTTTTATAGATAAAATGGATATTTGTTTATAGTAGGCTCTTATATGACCTTTGCACACCATGAATTCGTCTGGGGGCTTGTTGTGCTATGTGTGCGAAAAATGCAAACAAAGTTAATGGGAGCGGTAGCGTTCGGGTAGTGTATTTATGTGAAAGAATACGATTTTAGCGCATCCTTAAATCTATTTTCCTCTTAAAGTAGCATACGAAGAGGGATATGCACAGGCAGCGAACCTTCTTGACCCACTTACCTGGATGATGGTGAACTATTATCCGATGTATATGAGGGTGGGGAAAATTGAAAAATGCAGGCATCTCTGGAACAAATTGTCTCTTCATGTACGAGGCATTTTCCTTTTTATCTGAAGAGTTCAACTTGAGTCTCTTCCATTTTTCTTTTCTCACTAAATTATCCCTCGTCCATCTTTCATTGGACAACTTTCGGTGTCTGACCGACTTGTGAACTAATTTTGTTGCTCCGTTTTCATGAACTGAGGCTGATATTAAACAAATTGAGAAAAATATCAACACTTCTTTCATATTCCAGGTGTTATCTTTCCCATTAACATAAACTTGGTAAAAAATAGCCTAAACTATAGCCATTTTTTGGACAAAGCGAATGGCAATTTTGTATTAATAATGTATTGAATGGAGGGTGGCGCTACTCATTAGCCATGAAGCTCTTCTAGAGTCTTATTGGTCAAGACAAAACTTCTCTTTAAGATAACCTGTTTGTGTTTACTGAACATTGACCACTTTAAAAACTAGGTTCTAAAGCAAATTTTCATCTTTAAAACAATTATTTAATCGTAGAAATACACTACAGGAAGTCATTGACTCAATCAGGAAAATTAAGCAATGCTTTATTACGATATAGATTTGTTCAACTGAATATTTTGGGACCCTCATAGATATACATTCTGTTTGTCCACCAAATTCTCAATAAACAAATGATTTCAAAGCTCTTGGGAATATGCAGTCGTCCCATAACAAAAATTGAAAAACTTGGTGGAGAGGAAAAGGGAGAAAGAGGGTATTATAATGGGTAATAGAAAATAAAAAAACGCCAATTTTAACACAGAGGTAAACAGTTAAATAATGTAATAAAACAACATAAACTGCTTACTCTTATCGTGAACTGGGTTAAAATTCGGTTGCAAATCATTGGCGACCTAACGAACCCACCCTTAAGTGACAGGAATGACCGTGATTGTATGTGGACTAACATTTTGAATCTTCAGTTGAAAGGCCAGAAATTTTCGAAAGACGTGAATTCACTATGAAGCAACACCGCTGAACAGTTGGTACAAGATGCGCACAAGGTTTTGGGCAAAGTATCGTTACCATTCTATGATTTCTGGCAAGTGAATTGTTCCTAATTAGAACTTAATAGGAAACAACAAAAAAACAAACAAATCTTAATACTTTCAAGTCCTACAAATTGCATCAACGTTCCTTTTTTTCTTTTTGCGAGAAATTAAAAAGAACTCTTTTTCTTAGCTAAGCAAAAACGAAAGAGTGTAGACTAGTAACAAAGCCTCCCAATATATTTTCCTTCTTGTACAAATACATAGAGAACTATTTTAAAATTATCGCTGTAACATCATTGGATGAAAGCTGATTCGTAATTATAAAGCTATGGTTCCATATTATAAGAAGAATGAAAGAAGAATGGGTCAAGTGGAAAAATTTCTCTCTCAGGAGGTTCCATGACGGGTCCCAGTATTGTTTACAGAAAGCCAAATGCGGGTTGGAACCCGCAAAACCGCGGTTACTGTTTCTTGCCACGTCATATAAATTGCTCGAAAATTATTTCCCAACAACTGATCTGTGAAACTTAAGTCTTTGTAATGGCTTCGGTTTAAGAGTATCCGCTTTCAAACTTTCATCTTTGACAAATTTTATGAAAGCATGATGCTTAGCAAATGGCCCTCACGATTGTTCTTGTTGTGTTTATATATGGACGTTATAAGCGCTATGACTGGAGCGGCTTACAAAGGTGGCAACACAACTAAAACAACAGGTGACATACGCGATGATCGAAACTATAAAAATGAAAAGGAAAAACGTTTTTCTGTTGACTTCATTCCGAAGAAACGAGTGGTCTATTCCTTCGTAACAGACAGAAACCGATTTGTACCAAGGACACCTCGTTTGTATCGCGCCTACATTGTAAAACGCCCGTTGCTCGTTCGACAAACGACGGAAAACGCCCAAGGGCGTCAAACCATCCCTTATGCAGATGCATTTTCCACATTCCCAAGCGAACAGCTATTCAGGGATCACACAATTGCAGCACAGCCAGTTTTTTACTATCAAGAACCAAATGAACAGCAGCAACTGACGGACCTTGAGGAACCTTTGCAAGAGGAGACATTTCCCGAAGTACCGGAGGAGTTTTCAGGTACGATTGAACGGCAGGTTGATTTTTAAGTGTCATGGTTAAATATAATTAAATTCTGGTATAAATGCCAAATGCTGAATTGTACTCCACACGGCGCTAATTTAATGGCAATTTGATTTGAATGTTGCGCAATATACATACACGATTCATTGTGTTTTTGTGTTTTGCTTTTAATTTGAGGTTAAATATTAGAAGAAGTCTCTTCTAAACGGTGTTGGAAACAAGCGGCTGGCGGTCAATCCTATACGTGCGTAGCCAGCATTGCTCTGACTAATTTCTCAGAATGCAGAATATTCGCATTTTCCAACCAGATAATTAATGAGAGACAGAATACCTTTTATTGGTGCTTTAACAAAAAGCCAACAATAGTATGAAGAGTAAAGCTAAGCGGAAATAATGACTCCACTATAGCAATTGAAACGATTACTAATTAAAAATTTTTTTTCCTCACGGAGTGATGATGTTAGGAGTAACATGTACAACAGTCGAAAATTTAGAATAAAAGTTCCCCTTTCACTTGTTATGGTCAGTAACAGCGAAATCCCAGGCACCACCTGTTTCATTTGCAACGCTGGGAAATATTGTAAACTACATTATGGGCTGTTCATATCAGCAGCATGGTTTAAAATAAAAATATTGTTCTAATGAGGCCTTTAAACTGCTGTTTAGAAAATAGAATCTTATTTTTCTAAACAGCAATTAAAAACATTTCTAATAAATTAGCAAACTTTTGCATCAAGGAAGAAAAGTGAAACTGATCATTTGTGATACCATACCGAAAACCCTGACCTCTTAATTGGTTAATGAGTGTATCGTACAAAACTTGTATTGGAAAACAAAACAAACAAACAAACAAAAAGTGGAAAAATACACGGAATGTGACTGTATTTGCAAGGTTTATTGTTTGGATATGACATGAAACACTTCCTCTCGTGTTTGACAAATGACGTTGTCGTGTTTTGATCTAAAACAAAATTAATGGTTTTTCTTGTATTTGTTACTTCTATTTTTTGCCTTTTTTTTACTTCTCGGTGATAAACAGTTAAACCACTTCTCGGTGTCTCAATGGTAGACTAAAGACTTACTCATGTATTACTGAAAATACCTCAAGTATTACATATCCGTCTCCACAGTCCACATTGATCGTTGTCATCCTAATCCATGCTATAATGGTGGCCGCTGTAGAAGACGTAGACATGGAAGATTTAGGTGCATTTGTCATCGAGGATACAGTGGAAGACTCTGTGAAGGTATTCATTCCTATTCAAAAAAATTAATGAATGTTCAGTAGGCATATTAGAGACCCTCCTCAGTTTTTTCCTGCCAAAGCGCAAACCGCGAACTTATATAATCAATTTAGTTTGCAGTTTCGCGTTGTCAGGATTTCGAGTTTTAGCAAAGCATTCGTGGTTTAGTGCCGCCATTTTGTTTTTCGTCAAGCCGCAGTGCTTCACTTTCATCGGCCAAAAGACATGAAGAACTCAATGATTCGAGTTCAAAATTCTAACTGGCACATAACAGGCTAGTGAAGAAGCCTACTGATCTCTTGCCTAAACGTGAGGCTGTACAATTTTAAAGGCAAAAACCTCGCTGTAAATCACTTACCGCTGGAAGCTCTTCCTGCCGTTGAAACGTGAACTGCAAACTGCAAACTTGACCTCAAGACCGAGGTGACGTGACATCCTCAGGTTTGCCGTTTGCTGTTAACCATGACCGTTAACCAATCTACTGTCCGATTGAATGCGCGGATTCAAGGTCCCAAATTATTCCTCTTTGCAGTTGTGCGAACAAAATGTAAACCAAACCCCTGTTTAAATGGAGGATCATGCACCGATGTGAAGGGAGGATTTGAATGTTCATGTCCATATGGCTACAAAGGAGAAACTTGTGATCGTAAGTGTTCTACTATCAGGCGCACCCAAGGAGAATATACTTCAAGACCACTTAATCATAGCTTTGTTAAACGTATTTTAGTATTTAAACGGTAGATATAGGCATATTTTTATCCCCTAAAAATTTTTCATCTGTTCGGATTTCCTAGCTGAAAGTCCAGTGATCCGAAAATTATGGGGATCAAAACTTACCTTTTCGAAAATTTCAGCCAGCAAAAAGGCTCCGGAAAATTCTAGATCTCAAATCGGCCTTCCGAACAGATATTTTCCAAAAATTGACGTTGGGTGCCCCTGTACTATTACCTTATCATAGGAAATTAAAGCTCCATGAAATTAACGCGAATCGTTAAAATTCGCGTTAATTTAAGTCGCGTTAATTTTGTTGAGCGTTAATTTCTGCGACATTAATTGTGTGCAGCGTTAATTTCCGCGTTTACAATATTTCGAGTTCATCCTCATCGTTGTCGCTGTCAGAAGTGATGTCAACTCAGTTTTGAATTTTTTTGCATCCAGTGTTGAAATAGATTTCTTCCAGTTGTCACCACCAACTGTCTTAATCGCGTTAATTTCCTTTATTGTGAAATTCTACCTCCTTTTTCGCGTTAATTTTCTTTATTCGAAAGCCGTTTTCCATTAAATTCGCGTTAATTTAAGTCGCGTTAATTTCCAATACCTTAATTTCATGGAGCGTTAATTTCCTATAATAAGGTAAACTACCCTCTTTACCCACAGGTATCGACGGTCTACAGAGTTTTGCTTGCGAAGCTTCATTTTTTTTTTGGCTGGTCAAACTGGATCAAAGTTCGTTATTACGATTAGCCATGTTTAATTACTTGCTAAGCGCTTTCTGTTTGTTATAGGGCTAATATATTTGGAAGTTTAAGCAGCCACGCCGACGTCAGCGACATAGTCATAAAAACAGTTGATTTTATGAGCAAAATAAAAGGTTCTGCAAGTGTATCACATTTTTTGTTACCTGATTTCTCATTGACCTCCACTGAACTGGTACGACGTAAAACTTGCAACGGCGACTATTCGTGGAGGACGTGGACACACGCCACGACTACAAATTTTTGATACGCTTTTTTTAGTTTTAAACACCTAAGGAATCAACTCTAAGAAAATTTTCCACTTTCGACAAAATGAGAAAGGCTTATGTTCGCTGTTAATAAGCTCATTATCTGCTTTGCTTATAGGGGAAGCTATGTGCAAAAATAATCCATGTCAAAATGGGGGCTCATGCACAGAATTGGACAACGGCTTTCAGTGCAGCTGTTTACCAGGATATCGCGGTAGAAAATGTCAAGGTAAATTCAAAGTGATAATCAGTCCGTATTGTTCATATTTTGTTCGTAAAGCTAATTTTTGCAATCTGTTCGTGCGTGTATTAATATATGTTTGTGTTACTGCTCGTTTGGTCACTTGTGTTTTGTTGTTACGATCGGAATTAAGTTTTACAGATGCCATACCAACAAACTGGTTCGTTATTTTTTAATACTGATCTATTGCAGAAAATAGCTACTGTTACCAAAACCCTTGCAAAAATGGTGGAACCTGCACCGAAACGGACACTGGATTTGAGTGTATTTGCACTGCCCAATGGAGCTGCATCGATTGCAGCTGTACCGGTAAGCCTTGCATTCTTCTCTCTAGGTTTATTGAACGAGCAGAGCGAGCAGAAGTCAGGGAGTGAACTTTCTACGAACTATCGAGGTCCAAACATCTTCCAATTTGAAATATACACAGAATATACCACATATGCTTACCGGGAAAGTTCCTGGACAAATTTGCTTTTCCTAACAGTTGTAACACTGATTAACCTACAGGCACAGCCAAGCATTCAGAACTGGAGTATTGTTTCCCAAGTCCATGCCAAAATGGTGGAAGCTGTTTTTCAACGCACAACGGATATAAGTGCTTGTGCAGGCAAGGATACAAAGGAAATAACTGCGAAGGTAAAAAGAGAAACTTTTTGTTAAGTATTTTGCTATAGAAAATGTAACTAAAATGAATGTGTCAGTTCTTGAGGTTTTTCATGTGGCATGAAGAGGTCCCCGCGAAAAGGTGCGCATGTTTCTTTGGTTCCTTTTTTATTTGCTTCCGTGTTTTCTATGTAGAAATTTAAAGCTTTGCTTTATTTAAAAAAAGTCAGGCTGAAAAATAAGTTTTGAACAAAATTAACCGGATCAAATGAAGAGGCCATGACAAAGTAAATATTAGGAGCTATGATAAGCAGCTGTAATAGGGAGCAAGGATTATCACAATTGCTAGTGCCCGGCCTTCTGTGTGACAGGTTCCGAGTTCGATGTCCTGGTGTTACCTCGAATCCTTGTTTCTACTTCTCTCCTTTCCGTGTAGATTTAAGTAGCTTTTAATTCCTGTGTAAAACGGAGCACTTACGGAAAGAAGGGGGGTGGGGACGTAGAATGAGGGTACGGTCGGCCTCAGGTTTGTCAGTTTAAGCACTGCTAAGAGTAACCGACGTAAAATAAAGACCTTTTGTGAAGGCTATCGTAATTAGAAAAGGAATTTTGCATAGAATTGTGTTAAGATACGTTAGGCCGGCAAGTACAAATAGCGGGTTACAGGTCACACGGTGCAGGTTAAAAAGACACTCAGGTCATGATAAAACGGTGAATAAACAATACTATAAGTGTCATCCAGCCCGAGACCTAATCACAATCCGAAATGGGGGAAACTGCTTTTCTCAGGTATTTATCAATATAGCAGTGGTCTGTACTTGTGACATGGGCGGCTTGCTAAATGCAGATATGAGCGGTGACATTCCCTTTTCTCTCGTTGTTTCTTTCAGCTCCGGAGTATTGTACATCCGCACCTTGTCTGAACGGAGGGACTTGTAAAGAAACAGTAACTGGCTACAGCTGCCACTGTAAAAGCCGATTTCGTGGGGATAACTGTGAAGGTATACAGAGGTGTTAAAAGAAAGATCATGGTGTTTTTTTGCTGAAACAATATCACTAATTTGGATTCACAATAATGATAATGTTAAACTTTGGATAACTGTAAACAAACTCTCTCGTTAATATTTGTGTTTCTACGCAAAGCCACTTTCGTGTATTCCACAGGTGTCATCGTTAAACTTTACAACAACTATGATCGAATGTTTTCTAATCATCCTTATCATTATAAACTAAAAAAAATTCTCCCTATTTGAATCTTCAGTGGAAAATCATTGTCGGCCCACAAATCCGTGTGAACACGATGGCCTGTGTGTTGAGACGGAGGATGGATATAAATGCAGATGTAAAGTTGGTTATAAGGGAGTTAACTGCGAAGGTAAATCTCAACATTTAATTTAAAAAATAGAAAAAGGTAACAATTGAAAAATAATTTCAGGTAGAGTATACTTGTGAGCTCTCTAATGAAAAGTAATTTTTTCTTGTTGTTTCTCATTTTCATAATCTCACTTTTTCTTCATCTCATAAGAAAAGGACTATTGCACCCCAAACCCATGCAAACACGGCGGATCATGTACCGAGGAAGAGGGAGGATATTCATGCGCATGTCAAGTAAACTTCAGAGGAGAGATATGTCAAAGTACGTGCTTTTATGTATGTGTTTTGCTTTTGTTTTTCTTTTAATAATTAAAAGCTGTGACGTTATTTAAGTCACTAAATAACTTTTTAGCGAAAGGCAAGCTACAATCAAGCTGAACTGTGACAGTAGCTTCAGGCCAAAGAAAGCACACGTATGGACAAAAGATGGTTGAAAGCTATAACCTCTGCACGTAAGATATTATTGCTAGTCCCGCCTGAATGGGAGACAAACCTGTCGCAGGGGCCAGTACCCTAAAATGAAGTCGCTAGTACGCATGTACCACTGTTCCTTCACAACAAAATTTACTGAAAGCACACAGTTAGAAAGCTTTTTGTTTTCTGATTTTTTCGTTTAGTTCAGGATATGTGTGCCTCTAATCCCTGTCTGAATGAAGGAACATGTATCGATATGGATAACAACACATTCAAGTGTCTGTGTAAGGGAGGCTGGAAAGGACTCAACTGTGAAGGTATAAGTAGCGATGTTTGCCTTTTAACAAGACGCTGCTGGAGCGTATAGTTGGGCACACAAATAAGTTCATTTTCATTGATAGAGATTTACCTCTCTTTGCATCACCACAACTAATTGTCATTCTAAAGGTTAAAAATTATTTCAAAATTCATTTTAGAGAAAGACTTTTGTATCCCAAATCCCTGCAAAAACGAAGGTCACTGTATATCACATGGATTCTCATTCGAATGTCACTGCTCGCTTGGCTATAAAGGAAAGCACTGTGAAGGTATGGTATACAGGGATATAGTTGTTATGTTAGTGATGGCTGTTACATTCAATGAGTTCATTGCAAAAGAAACTGAACCGAATTTTGGAAAAGAAACAGAGAATATCGTCAAGAAAGAGAATAAAATATTCACACTCTTCCCTATTTTCAAATGTCCTTGCTTACCTTTCTGCCTCATTGCCGATGAAATCCCGAGAAATAGCAATAAAACCTAAGAAACAAACTTATTAAATTCCCCTTTCAAAACGAATATGACTTTACAGCCGTTTTGAGTGTGTTTACAACCTAAACGCCAAGGTCCGTATAAATGCATGGAGAACGTAGGCAAAAAAGGGTTTGTTTTATCAAACACACTAATTATTTGTATGGTTTTGTTTGTCAAGCTAAGGACCCTTGCAGCCCTAATCCATGTCATCATGATGGCCAGTGTCTCATCAGTGGAGAGAATGACTTTGAATGTGATTGTGCTAAAGGATACACCGGACTTAAGTGTGAACGTAAGTTAGTCTCGCGTCTGCTAAAAAATAGTACTCGAAAAGTGACACCCTTCTTTCATACAAGGGTTGTATGCGGTGCCACGCAAGCATAAGAACAAGCAGTACAATTAAGAAGATGTATTAGTTAGTAATATTGTACAAGTTACCGAGTCCGCGCGCGTATATGCATAAGCCAGCTCTAAATAAAATTTAAAGAAACGCATCCTTGTGTAAGTTATCGTTATCTTAACTTCACAACTTGAAATCTTAATGGCAACAGTAATGATCACTGTAAACGCTTTCTTTAAATTTCTCCAAGAACTTATCGTGGTGTAAGAATCTAAAATTATCAAACACTTAAAAAGTATCATCAGTTTGTGATCGCTTTGAAATACATTAGGCTACAGTGGGTTTGCCTGCGCTCAACAACTCAGTTCTCTTCTACGAAGATCGCCAGATCAATGAGCCGGCACGTCACCTCAAGTTCCGATACTTTAAGCCCTTAGCCCTATAACTACTATTCACAAACTGTAGATGAGAAGAAGGAAAAAAATTTATTTTATTTATCTGTTGATTCATCATTTTACTTTAAGGACTTAATCCGTGTTACCCTAATCCTTGCAATGGAGGGAAGTGTAAACAAACGGCCAACAGCTTCAAATGTTCATGCCCCCCTGGAAAAGTAGGAGAGTTTTGTGAGGGTAAGACATTGATTTTTATTTCATTTCAGAAAAAATGGGAGCTAGCTAGTGATCCTCTCATGTATTCTTGGGACAACACTGAAGGACGCAGACTAGCTTAACGTTTCTTACTTACTTAGTCAAACCACAAATGCTTTCTGATAAATCTCTTTTCATTTCCTATACCAAGGAAATGTAACTATAAACTACGTTATACTGTTGTCATTTATCACAGAAAACGACCCATGCTTGCCTAATCCGTGTCAGAATGAAGGAGGTTGCGTTGCGCTCATTCATGGTGCATATAAGTGTACTTGTCCTGTGGCATTTGTGGGAACTTTGTGCGCAGGTATGGAATAATTAATCTGGGATTACTTTGTCATTGATAAAAGCGAAAACATATTGTCATTTCCAAATTTAACAGCCGAGATACTTTATGCTATGTCTGTTCAGCTAATTAATCCACAGTATATAGCTTTTGTACCGCATTTGATCTGAGCAAAATCCAAAACTTTCTGGAGCGCTTCAACGGATTCAGAACCATCCAATACTTTCAATGAAGTTGGACTTTGTCTAACATTTAAGCTTTATTATGTATCAGTGTTAGACTTCCAACGTTAATAATTGTTTATTTTATTATTATCACTATTATTTTTCAGATCCCAACCCCTGCCTTCCCAGTCCATGCCTAAATAATGGCACATGTTTAAATACTGGTATCACATTTCAGTGTCAATGCCCTACAGGATTCTACGGGAAGCGATGTGAACGTACGTTGTCAGTGTTTTAAAACTTGTAATCTTAAGTTTTTAAGACATACATACAAATACTTGGTTTCGGAAAAATGTCCAAACCTATGAAAAGGCTGGGCAAATCGTCAGTAATTCATTCCTGTCGAAAAGAAAGTGCCGGTTACCTTAATATTGTGATACTATCGAAAAGTGACAGAAAAAATGGTGCACATCAAAAGTTTGTTTGTTAGTTAATTTTGTTTGTTTTTCTTTTCTCCCGACGCGCGAGTCGGATTTTATTCTTGGCCATGAAAGCTTTCACTCATAAATTTAGATGTACGAAGACTGAGAATCTGCTTGCTTTACGTGGTGATTTTGCATTTTTTTTCCTTAATTGGTTTTGTTTGCCCTTTGTTCACAGATCAGTCTAAGTGTGTCCCTAATCCCTGCCTTAATGATGGCACGTGTCGTGACGTCGATATTGCACGAGGTTACGTGTGCTACTGCTCCATAGCGTACCTGGGACCCAACTGTGAAAGTAAGTGTTGGTTGAGAAGGCTACTAGAAAGATGAAAAAGTTCGACAGTTGCCCTTTTTATTTCACTTCTTTATCCTTTGTTAATAGAAAGAGCGGGCTTCAGTTCTCACTATCGAACTTTTATTGTGATGTCCTATCTACAGAGAGTTTTATCTCTACTTAACAAATAGATTCCATGTTGCCGTGCGTCTGTTCAGTAATAGATCACAGATGACGTCAAAATGTCGTAAAAACAAAGAAGTGGCACACGAGCCGCAGGCGAGTGTGTCACTGTTGTTTTTACCACATTTTGACGTCCTCTGTGATATATTACTGAACAGACCCACGGCAACATGGAATCTATTTGTTTTATACAATGATCAGAAAAGAAAAAGACCGATACACATACCTGCCTCGAACCGCTTGACCTTTTGAGGATTTGTGCAAGTTTAGGCATTTTTAAAGTCCCAAACCCAAATTTTCATCTTAGCTTCTTCTTTATCTTACTTGTGTACAGTTTCTTCGAAAAGTTTTTCACCGTCTTTTCTTGCTCAAAGAGGAATAATAGCGAAAACATTTTGCAAAACAGCGAGTCTCTCGTAACGAAGACACACGATGGCAACTGTTGTGAAGATTTCTTGTAGTTTAGGCATTGTCAAGTAGTCAATAGCTTTTTTGGTCTCCGTTTCTCCATTTTTCTTCTTTGTAAATAGCTCCTGCTAAACCTTTTCCAAAGCTTTCACTTGCTACAATCCGAAATAATCTCACAAACATTTTCAAAACCGCGTGTCATGTTGAACAAAACAAAGAAAACAAGTTTCCCGTGACGTCATCCATGTATCTGTACTCTAATAGATCATGGGCAACGACCAATCACAGCGCGCGTAGCATTCACATCATTGTATAAATACATAGAGAGCATAGAAATCCATAGAAGCCCAACTTTCACTTGAAAATTGATCATGATGTGACAAGCTACGAGCAGTTGTTGCTCATGCAAGTATCTAAATGTCACAAACGGTTCTTATTAAGATAACTAAAATGCGTGCAGTTTCTCAGCTAGTTTGAGCTCCATTGAAACCTAAACCAATCAACAACATTTAAGTGGGAGCCAACCACTTTGTGAACACAGATACTGACAGAACATATAACAGTGAAAACTACGTAAAAGAATGCCGTCAACTAGGTGAAAGCTTCAACCAAAGCACCAGCTCAACTTAAATTTAGGAACTTGCAAAGACATACAAGATTTCTTTACGCTTAGAGAAAGATGTTTCATAGTGTCTCACCGATGCTTTATCATGTCATATAGGAGCTAACCTATGTCATCCTAACAACCCTTGCCAAAATGGCGGCACGTGCAAATCTGATGGGACGAACGTAATTTGTCAGTGTGCACCAGGATATTTGGGACCTCATTGTGAACGTAAGAATTTAGCGATAAATGCAGCAATAAATTTGATTGCTAGAATAATGCATGGTGATACAACTAATTCAAGAGTTTTAGACGAACTGTCCGACTGTTGAGCATCGCTTAGTCAGTTCAAAGTTAGTGCTCTCAGTAGAAACCACTTCTGTCTTTCGAACGATTTTTTTTTAACTTTCCCTTCTTCAAATTTAAATAGATGACATGAGGTAACATTTACTTGTATTCGTTATCAATAAGGTGCAGAAATGAGAACGTTTTCTAAGAAAACGTTATTGTGCGCTTTAAACTATGCCATCGAAGTTAGGCGTTAGCTGTTTGGGAAAACGTCCATGCTGAGAAAGACTTTATCGTGCTCATGACTTATATCATGTTTTACTTTAGAGTTCAACTTCTGTCACTCATCGCCGTGTAAGAATGGTGGAACATGTACTCCCAACACAGACAGTTTTCATTGTGACTGCAAACAAGGATTTTTTGGGAACACATGTGAAGGTAAAAAATTAGTAGTAGCAGTGACAATGTTACTTGAAAAGCATCTTGTTAATCATTACTTAATAATGCCCTTTAATTTCTCAGCTGTGAGCAGTAATTGCTTCCCGAATCCTTGCAAGAATGATGGTCTGTGTGCTGAAGTGAAAAACAAAGAGGGTTATATGTGCATCTGCAAAGGAGGATATGCCGGACGACATTGTGAAAGTAAGCTTTGTGATTGGCTAAATATTCGCGCGACTTTCACAGCTAATCAGGGTTTTCCATGCTTAGCCCTGCCTTCCTTTAGTTGACAAGCATTCGGGTTATTTGTTTCTTGCGTCTGCGGCTACTGCTTTTCTTCTCAGTGCTTTAAAAAACAGTAACAAGTAAGCAGGATTAAACTATGTAGAAGAACTGAGCTAAATGTTTATGTTTAATGTTTAGGAAATGGGAGTAAGAGGACTCTGTGAGATATTGGATTCAGAAAGAAACCAAATGTTATAGAGCTGAAAAGAACCTTTCGAAAAGTTAAGTGATCGTCTTTAGAATGGTTATCAATTTCTTCCTCAGTTATCCTTTTTTTCTAGGGAAAGATGCGTGCATACCAAACCCTTGTAAACACGCAAGTACCTGCTTGCAAGCTCATAATGATCGAGGGTATCACTGCCTTTGTGCTCCCGGATGGCGCGGATATGTCTGCGAACGTAAGTATAAGTGATATCATTTCAATTGATTTTTGAGAGCTTACTTCAGAAAAACTTATAAACAAAATAATTCATCTGAGTGATTTTGTGGGAAAGTGTAATGAGCTGTTTTTGTAAGAAGGTCTTCTCAATTACTCTAACTGCAAGTTATCCCCATAGGGCGTTGCATCCTTGACCACACTGCGGAAACGGTTTCTGTCAATTGCCAATCTTCCAACTTCTATCAGAGACATGTTCAAAACATCCCGTATGTCCCTTTTCCATTGCCTTCTCTGTCTTTCTCTCCCAGTTCTTTTTTCCCAACTGTCTTTCCCTCAAAGATGATCTTTCCCAAGCCGTCACTCACTTCTTTTCAAATTGCCCAAATACTCCAGCTTCAGTCTTCGCACTTAGTTGCGGGGAAATACTCCGTTTTCAAAATCTTTTTCAATTTATCTTACCAAGGAGCCGATCTCTGCCTTCCCATAAATCCGTGTCTTCATGGTGGAACATGTTACAACGCATTGGATACGTACATATGTCACTGCCCTCCACGATACTCAGGAAACAACTGTACAGGTGTGTAAAATAAGTTGAGCGTCCAGAAGGTCAAAACTATATAAACATGAAAGAATGTTCTTAAGTGTGGCTGTCATATTGGTGCCGTGGTAAGAGCACTCGCCTCCCACAAATATAGCCCGGGTTCGAATCCTGGCGTCGACGCCATATGTGGGTTGAGTTTGTTGTTGGTTCTCTCCTTTGCTCCGAGAGGTTTTTCTCCGGGTATTCCGATTTTCCCCTCTCCTTAAAAACCAAAACTTCCAAATTCCAATTCGATCTGGAACGTACGGACACGTTTCAACGAGTTCTTATTAACTCCTTAGTGCTCTGTGGGTAAACAAATTGCAATTTACCATTTACAATTTTACATCTTCTCCCAGCGTAACAAAATTACCATCATGATTTCAACTGACAGTGTTTTACAATATGCATAAGTAACATCATTTTTTTTTTCTATGATATAGTCGACAAGTGTAATCGTTGTGACATGAACGCAAACTGCATTAGTGGGACTTGTGAATGCAGACAAGGATTTGTGGGAAACGGATTCACCTGTACAGGTAAATAGAAAGCTGTAAGTAAGCTCTTGTTCAATCTGCGAAAATGTTATAACATTTAAACGGTAAACTTGGTTTAGTTAGTTATTTGTAACTGAAAGTTGCTTTTGCGTGTGTCAAGTATCCCCCCTGAGCGTTTCCACAAAAGAATCAAATCCTTTTTTTCTTTTTATCTGCCTTGCTCCATTCCTTTCTTTTAATAATCGTGGAGTTTTCCTTTCCTTGACCAAGTGGTGCTTTCTATAATAACCAAAGGCTTCATTACGTTATATGCAATGTCTCATTTTATTTCCAACCCTTTCATTGTCACAAAACATTTTCTTATAACCATAATTTTAGTTGCCGGAGATCCTTGCCGTCCCAATCCATGTGAAAATGGTGGAACATGTAATCCTGGACACGGTGGAAAGATATTTGAGTGCATGTGCCGAGAGGGATTCACTGGAGATAAATGCCAAGGTAAATTTACAGCAGACGTACACTATTCTGCTTGACATAATATATTCTCACCTAAACGGACCACGCTAATGACAGGCACCTTTAATTCCCCCTTTGTGAGCTTTCTATGACAGCTAAGACATGATACTCCATAAAGAGTAATATACGCTGTACCATATAATCCTCTGATAGCAGTAAGGTGATGGTAACATATTACCTTCCACAAATGAGTCTTGTACATTGATAACGCATTAAGGTTTGCAAAAAGATTACCCTGTCAATGAGATACCAGAAAAGGACCTTTGAATTTTACTCCATGAAGCACTGCACGAGACTGACACAAACGTAACGGCAAGTAGGGAGAACGCTAAAGTACTATCCTTTTTGATATCCACAGTCTCGAAGAGCGCCTGTACGTCAAGTCCTTGTGTAAATGGAGGGACATGTGTCGATGCAACAAACAATGACGGATCTTTACTAGAGGCCGTGGTGTTTGCAAACCACACACAGTTCATTTGCGTATGTCCTAAAGGATACGCGGGAGTGAAATGTGAGAGTAAGTTACCAAAGCAAATGGCTTGAGTTTACTGGTGCATGCATTTATAACTAATGAGCGAGGTTAAAGAGCCTTTCTCTGCTTTAGCCTTAACGAACTCTCTTAGTGAGAAGTGCGTACCGGTAAAACACCGTTGCTTCAGGAGTGTTACAGGAATAAAATGTCTGACAGACAAATACGTTATGAGGGGGATTCACCCAGTACTTGGCTGCCTACACTCTTCGGGAGTGTCCACACTTGGCGCCCGGAAACCATTGCCTGGGTACCAGAAGAAAATGGTGTTGTGTTCACACCTAGAGAACCCGGACACGTGACTGCGTACATAGTTACTCCATTACACCCTGTCAGACGCCATCTGGAAACACGATCTTAGCAGAGAGTATAAAGCAGTGGACTGCCCCAGAACTAACAAAAAAGGTGTACAAACAAGGAGAAGATGTCCACTTTAGTACTGAAGGACAAGGTACCATATAGTGCCCAAATTCTAGCATGGATACTTGAAAAATGGGTAACTTACATTTTTTTAGTGCCCAACGAGTAGGGTCCTTGGGCACTGTGCCCGGGTACCACGTGTGAACTCTGCCCTATGTAGTCACCTACGACACACATAACGGTAGTCATGTTCCCCGATATCCGTAATATATTCGCACTATACCCAGTGTGTAATAACTCACATGTTATTTATTAAAATAGAACTGGTGATGACAAATCCCTGTTCTACTCATCCTTGTCTGAACAATGGAACGTGTTTTGATGAAACAAACAGTGCTGGAATGGACTTGAAACTCGTCAACGCTCTGGACTTCCGGTGCTTCTGCCCGATTGGTTATAGTGGAATTATATGTCAAGGTATGAATAACAGTGGAACCCCGCCATTTCCTGACACTTGCTTCGTAAAAGCTGTGATGCAAATTGTTCTTGAATCTAATAACACATTACAGTGCAGTTAAAATCCTCCAGACGGTAAACTTGCTACCATCGAGTTGCACTGGCGACTACATCTTTTTCTTAATTTAACCGAACAAAAATTCAGCAATAGTCGACTGTACAGACAACATGTGGCTGCGCGATCAGCTAGATTTACGCATGCATGTACACTGACAGCTATATAACCCGGTTGAGGTAGCCATGGATGGTTGATTCGTCTTTGCTAGAACTGTCAAAGTGGCTCAGCCCTAGTTCAACAAAACAAATCGAGAGAATTATTTAGCCTAGCGTTTATTGTTGATGTTCCTTTGATTGACCTGTGCTATTAATTCTCGTTAAAACAGATCCTTATACAGCTTGTCATTCAAGCCCTTGCCTTCATGGCGGAACATGTCTGGATTCATCAAACACAGCTGATGTGGCATTTAATGCCAATGGATACAAGTGCCTCTGTGTTGAGGGTTTTAGAGGGATTAATTGTGAAGGTGGGCCACTTAAAAAAACAACTTACTTAAACTTCCAGAAAGGACAATTACCAATTTAAATTTTGTATGCAAATATTCAAAAGCCTGTTTTCTTTTTTTTGACAAAAGAAAAAATCTAGCAATACCAACTACTATAAACCTCTCCCGAGTGGCAAATCTTCAGAACAGTGACTTTCTTACTGCCCACAAATATCAGATCGCTCTGATGTAAAAAAGAGTTGCATGAAAAAGGGATTAAATTAACTAAATGACTCATTCTTGTTTTTATCTCATATCAGTTAATGCAGCAGGCGTTCCAGAAACGCCGAAACCTCCAGTAAATGCCGTGGGTAAGACACATATTTTAATTTGATTTTAAGATATTACATCTTTCTACTATTACTATTACATCTTTCTCGTAGTTTCTCTTTCTCGTAGTTTCAATTAAGTTATGACTTCTTTTTTGATATTCAAAGCCGCCATACAGGGAACATTCAAGCCAGTGGTGGTTTACAAACCCTCGCCCACAGGTGAGTCCGCTTCCCTCGCGGTATGATACAAACCTGTTCTACTACAGAATAGATTAAATGACTAAGCTGCCCCCGGTTTTAAGTATGTCAACCTTTACAGGGAAGGCGGAGCAGGAAGAGGGGTGGCTAGGGGGCTTTAGCCGCCCCTCCCTCACTTTTCCAGAGGAATTTTATTCTTGTTTTAGTATGAGATACGCATGAAGAGTAAAGAAAAAGAAAAGAAAAGGAAAAAGGTCTGGTTACCACAGATAACCACAGATGAAGTTAGATTAACTGAAGTGCGAGCCGGAGACTGGCACGAGGGAATCGCAGAAGGCATGCGTCTGGTCTTTAGTGGTATCGTTCTCACAGACGGAGAGCTTTTATAAAAAGGCAGACCAGTGTACTCTGTGGGCGGGATGTATAGAAGGCTGAGAAATTTATTTCAAGTCTACAAAACCTCTATGACTGCTGTAAACACTAGAAGTACCTGTCATTTTACACTTTGTCCCGGTTGAGATTTTTTAAAGAAATATCTCATGGAGAATGTTGAAAGTAAAATTTCCTAGCCTCTAGAGTCAACAAATTTTATGGGGAAAGATGCCCCCGGACCCCCCTACAACGCGCTCGTTTTCAAGCCCCTCCTCCAATCCCCCCAGTTGAAAGTTGAAAATAGGCTCCGCTGTCCCAACGATTTCCATTTATTGCTACATTTCTCGGCAAAGGTAGTTGCAGGGCAAACGTGTTCACGACTTGAGATGATTCCGTCGTTGTAATAATGAATGTGGAGGTTTTTGTATCAGTTGTTAGAATTTTTTGCATCAATATTCGCCCGAACTAATGCAGCTAGTGTACCACCTTTCAGTTCACGTGATCGATGTCAATCAAGTACCTCGTGGACCAACAACTAACCAAGGTAATTCTTCGTCCTCACATGAACAGTTGTCCACAAGTTAATCACAGCCAAGTAAAGACAGATTTTTTTTAAAATTATCTGTGAAATTTCAGAAGAGGGTTGAAGAGACCCTGTTAAAAAGTAGAATTTTTTTCTCGTGGCTTTGTCAACTAGAACGTTCGTTAACGCCAAAGATAACCTCCCGTATGCAGACACTTGCCGTGACCACGACAAAAAAAAATCATTTTTACTGCCTATAAGTAGGCCCCTTTTCTGTTTCAATTAAATATTAGTTTTTTATTCAGGATTGAGTGATTGGTGGATTGATTGATAAATTGATATTGTGTTACAGCTTTACCTGTTTTGATGCCTATAACACCTCGAGCCCCAGTTAAAACAGGATTTCAAAGTGCTACACCAGAGCCACAGCGAGCCAACCTCTTTGCCAAGCCTGTGCCACTTCCAGCCCAACCAAACATAGCTGTTGCACCTGTCGGAGGTTCACCTAGTTCCCTCGGTTACCTCGTACCAGCATCATCAGCCTCGCTACCATACATAGCCTCTCCAAATATGGCAGCCGCTTCTGCACCAGCTCCCTTCTATGTGGCTCCTGTAACCAAGCCAACGTCTTCTCAAATACCATCCTGGGGTTTAATCCCTTCAGTTCCAGTCGGCTTATCCCCCGGGTTAGTTGCGGCGCCAGCAGTTGCAGAGCCACCTGCAATTATCATGCCCCCGGGGCTAAAACCACCGCCAGATAAAAGACCTCCAGTTGTGGCCATCCATGGAGCGACCCTTAGAAGGGTCAGGATACCAGGACGCCAACAAGGCTTATATCGACAGACGGTAAATAATTATCCACCTGGTTATGCAGAATATTATGGCGGTAATAGAAGACGAACATCGTACAGTTATCAAAACTCACCATATTATAATTCTCCAAGACAGTGGGGTACAGATCGATATTATCCTGCAAGTAGTTATCAAAGAAGTCAGGGAATCGGTAATTCGTACCAAAGAAGATACGGCAGACAAACAGACGATTATGGTCGAGGTAAATACTAGTTGACTTAATCACAATAACGATGACCGACAAATTTGTTTCGAATTATAAATACTGGTATTACCTTTGGTACTTCTAGGGTATTATTGCCTGGGTTAATACGTTTTTTGAATGAAAGACAATCTCTGAAGGTTTGGCTTGAAGGAATCTCGAATGAGCAAAAACGGTGGAAAAAGTAGATTGTTTTTTTTTGAAGGCTTCATTGTAACTGTATGTAATACATCGGTGGTTTGAATGGCTAGGAACAAAATAAATAATTTCAGTAAAGATTTTCAAAGATTAATTTTAAAAAAATTTGGAGGCAAAGAAAATTCAATTGAATGACACAATTCTATGAAAATGATACGCAACTTTTGCTGGATTATAAAACAATCCCTGACAATTGGGCCATTAATGAACGTTATTACTGATCATTTTACAGAAGCAGAAACGAAGAAGAAAGGAAGAAGCTGAATGAAACTAGAAGAAAACAGTAGAAGCAACCTCAGCACGTTTATGAGCAATATTGCCTTTTTTAGCGCGACAATTGTATCACGTGACCAAAGATTCTAGAAATACAATTTTTGTACTTCTCCAATGACAAAATGTATATTGAATTATGTACGCTAATAAGATAGATACTTCTAAATACATTTTTAGGCTTAGATCTGTTTAACAAAAACCTTTTTTTCGCCCCCTGGTAGCATGGAAAGAATTTCTATTTGTATAGACTGATATATATGTCAAGACAGATTGATAGAAAGTACGAAAGTCACATCTTGTAGATGGAAAAAGGAAAGGAGGAACTATTGATAAATGTGATATGTCCAAGGTGCTTTCTAAAAATCACTTATAGGAAAAAAAAAAATCGAAATATGAACATGATACTGATTTCCACAACAGCGAGAGTTACGACTGAAACCTGAACCTTGTCTCTATTGGTAAAAAGCTTATTGGGAGCTTCCACCCCTTGAAACCTTTTGTAAGAACATTCATTCGATTGCCATTCACCTCTCAATTTAGAAAACGCTCTGTATCACAGTACTTGCTCGCATTTCAAGAAGCTAATCACACTACAAAAATCAGCAACTCTCGTCATTGTGGACATCCTCGGCACCCAGAATTGATGTATGTGATACTAAAAGTTTAAGTGATAGACGCCCTCTTTAAAATAAACGCCTCTTATCTAATGAATGACCCTTGACGCCTTTAAATTTGTATTAGACGCCCGACCTCTAATAAAGTCCCTGTCTGATAGACGCCCTATGACGAAAGGGAAAAGTGAGCGGAAAAAGATCGGAACAAAACCATTCAATTTATTCAGTAGAGTTTGCAGTGCATCTTGTTCAATGTCAATGTAGGCGGATTCTGACATCGAAGTAGAGCTTTGTATCAATGGACGGACTGGATGGTCTTCAATTTATATACTGTGGTGATAAATTTGCCAAAAGCATTTTAGCTTTGTAGAGTTTGTAACAGTTATGAGAATAAAATAGAGCCTACTATCTTTTAAACGCCCACGCTTGGGCTCCAAAAATTAAATAGACCGGCGGCACGGGCGTCTGTACTAAATCGTTTAGTAAACGCTATTTCAAATCATTGAAACGTCAGTCTATAATTTCTTTTAGCCAGGGAGTAACCTACTGTCCGCGTTATAAAGGAGTCCGTGACAGCGGGGTGTTCGAAAGGCAAAAGTTGATTATATTATATTAGTCAGAGCAGAATGTCGCTGAATAGCAAATCACACTTTCAAGAATTGTAAATCAAACATAAAGCTGTTCAATAAAACTGTTCCTAAGTTGTCTCTGTATATTCATTGTTCGCTTTAGGCTGTGTTCACACTAGAACGGCTAGCTTTTCGTGCCGACAAGAAAATCTTTCTGTTATAGTATGAACACCTATCCGATATGTGACACTCCACTTCAGAGATCGGCACGGAGCAGCATTCGCGCCGTTACAGAAATGGCGCCAAAATCACCGTTCTTATGTGTGAACAGAAGACATTATGTTAGCATTTTTTCGAGCATTTTAGTGAGGCAAAAGCATTGAGCATTATTCGAGCGTTTTAGTGGCATTTTCCCCGGAAAATTAATTTTTCCGAGAAAATAAAATAGAAATTAACTTTTGTCAGGAGCACATGCCCCACGAGCTCCTGCTTTTTTTTAAAGAAAATGAAGACTAAAACTCAAAATTCACAAAAAACCTAATACAGCTGTTTTTTGGCTGTATTTATGAACTTGTACACGTTGTCGTTGTTACTTGCAACCATAGGCGTACCTGAAATTTTTTGCCAGGGGGGCGGTAAACCATTTGCCCAAAAAATCTTCGCAAGTGTCCCAAATTTTTACAAAAGAGTCGAAAAGAAACCAGGGCCATATTGCAACAACATAGGCCGTACTGGCGTATGAAGTTGGCTCGATACAGTTTTCCAGGTTTGAGCATAAACTACGTCGCCATAAACAAACATTAGGAAAAATTGCCACCACAGTGAACGAAAATTTGTCATGATCAGGGTTGCAATGATATCAAAGTTGTGATAGCATCGAAATTACGCCACTACCTATTTTACTTCAGCAAAATTTTAAAAACCACTCGATAGATTTTTTAAAAGAATTAAAAGATTCTTCTCGTAATTCAAACTGAGAATTAGTCAGCCACTCCTTCGTTTTCAGACCCACCCTGTTCTTCGAGTGGAGATGATTCTAGAAAGTTATGCGAAATTTTATTCTAATCAATTCACGACTGGAAATGGTCCATTCCAGCTAGCGCAGTGCAGTACGATGCACAACAATAACAAAAAAAATAAATATGTAAATTACTCCTCACATGTTAGGCGATTACTGTCTCGTGTGAATGTAACTGGATTATTACGCCGACTTCAGGTTACTATTCAGGTCTTCAAAATAATTAAATAAACATGGAGACGTCTTTAAAAACAGGCCTTGCCCAAATTTTCTCTTGCTGCCCAAGAAATCTGAGTTGCCCAAAATTTGGGGGGGTTGCAGCCCCCCTCGCCCCCCCGGCCCGTACGCCTATGCTTGCAACACTTGCACTTTTTTGTAAGTGTAAACTTTGAAATTAATTAAAAAACAGTTTGTATAATGAGCATTATCCGAGCATTTTAGTGACTTTTTTTGGGAGACCGAGCATTTTAGTGGGAAAAATGGAGCATTAAGGTGGAGCATTTTAGTGGGGAAGCAAAAGCTTAATGTACAAAAGCCTAAGCCCTAACCGGTATGGTTTTCGAGCCGGCGCAAAAGGTATGGTGTGAAAATAGCCTTACGATGATTCATAGGTGAGCCCGCGTTCCCTGTAAAAGGGACGGAGACAGTTTTACACTAAAAAAAGTCTTCATTTAGTATTTCAATACTATATCAGGCCAATACAATTTTCAGTGAATGGCAAAAATGTTAAGTCTAATATCAGCCACTTGTTTCAGAACAGTTAAGCGAAATTTTTTGCGTATATTGCAGCCTGCGGAATGGCTTGATTAAACTAAGAAAAAGATTTATTGGTTAATGTTTTGTGTTAATTGTCCACAATAAAAAATAAAAAGTAACCATGCAACAGACAGTTCAAAAGACATCATTTAACTCTTTTTGTTTCCCTTACAAATCTTGCGAAAAAATATTTCAGAGTTGTCGTCGTAAACGAATGATAAGCACGGTCGAACTTAAATTTGGCTTTATTGTAAACCTTGACTGACGAAGAGTGATAAGTGACTTATATACTACCAACACAAGCTGATTAATACATTTTACATAAGTGCTCCACCGATTTCTCAACTTCAAATCTTGAATGATCTCTTATTTATGATCCTCAACAGAGGCTCCTGAAAGCGAGTGACAAGTGAAATTCAAGGTGACCAATTGCGAAACAGTAATGGCTTGTGTACGTAAACACAAAGGCATCACCTTAATAACTAATTCTATTGACCGATTTTCTCCTAGAGAAAAACCGGTCAAAAATGAAGCCGCGATTAAGGCATTTCCTCCTTGGTTGTGCGTTATTTTTAATTCTAGGTGAAATCTCTGCTAGGCCGAGGGAGGAGCGATCTCCTAATTTAAGAAAGGCGAAGACAAAGACTCAACAATATGGAGACAAAAAGAAACAAACAAAACCATCATTACGCTACACTTCAAAAGATCAACAACATGGCGTTCGACGTACCAGTAGGAGGTTGAAGAAACCGCCATCGTTTTCACCCATGAAAGATTACAACAAAGAACGCAAAAGACAGTATATAATGCATCCATTGCACCCATATGTTCATCCATATATGTTTATGCGCCCTCCACCGATGACCCAAAGAACCATTGTGACAACGCGCATTCCACGGCCTCCAATGGCGGTACCATATAATCCGTTTTTTCCGCGCAGTTTTTTCGGTGGAATGCACCATCATGGCTCGCCATTTTCGTTTTATGACCCAATGAAAATGTATGGAGATGAAATAGACGAAGACGAGGAAGGTTAGATTATATATTTATTGTTTTCATCTGATTTTTTGGTCGATTTCGCTTGACAAGTTATGAATTGAGTAACCTGCTCAAGGTGACCGTTGAAATTGTTCTAATTCGCTCATCGATGGCCGACAAGTTCCGCTGAGGGAAAGCGATACACAGAAAAGGAAAAAAGGTCAATGAACTAGCGCTTAAATATAAGGAGAGCCATAAAAAAAAAAGTCGACTCAGCCTTTGATGTCTTGGTAAAGAGCCATGATAGGCTGTCTTCTTCCTTGGTGGCAGCAAATCAAATGGCTTTATTTATTGCTATTAAGCGATTCAATAGCTACTTAATGTTGTTTACATAAACTAGGGAAAATATATTTTAATACGCAATGAAAGTAACTTCCAGACACCTAAAGGATCCTTTGCTGCCAGGGTTATGTTTTTATTAAATGAAATTGATAGTAATGGAAAGTTAATTTTGGTTTTCACGTTTTCATAGCACTGGGAAACGAATTTAGAAAAGTATTGCAAATTATAAAGTCTGATTTGATGAAAATTTTTTAAAACTCCCAGAATAAAATCGTTTCTGCCCCTGCCCTAAAGCCACAAAAATAAACTCGTTAACAAATTTTTCGTATTTAGTTATCTCTGCACCAAGATGTAAAAACAATTTTTTGAAAAATGTTACACAAAGGAGTGCAGCTACCACATTCAATGGCGTTTAGGCAGGAGCTTAAATGAATTGCCTCCGGCCTCGAACCACGAATAATTACATTAACTTCTATGCCTGGTATGAACCAATTATCAGTGGCAAAACAGATTGACTTTCATTACCTGACGCAAATTCGTCCCTTCGGCAGAGCGTCATTGCAGTCCCAATCCATGCCAAAACGGAGCAACTTGTAATGAAGTCAAAGATGGATATGAATGCATGTGCGCACCTGGATACAAGGGAACTGATTGTGATGGTATGTATATTTCCCGAGGGGAGGGTGCTCCCCATATGGTCCAAGTTTACAAAGGTTAAAAGATTGTTTATCCAGCTAGTTTTCAGGCCCTCCACTCAGATAATTAGAAACAAATAATTCAGGTAGGACGTGACAGGATTAAAAACCTCAACTGGCAGGAGGAAACTAGTTGGCTATTTACAATCGTGGCCAAGGATTTGAACTCGGGACAACCGAGAACAAATCCAGAAAGTTGCTGGAGCGGGACTCGAACCGGGGAACGCCGGATAGCAAGTCCGACGCGCTTACCACCATGCCACGTTGCCTCCTCTTGCCTCCAATATGAACAAAATAGGATTGTGCCGTTCCAAAAGGTGTGGCTTTAAAGTTGTTTTGTTCTGAAAACGGGTTCATATTTTGCTCATTATCTGTGTCTGAAATTGGGCATGGTTTTCAAGGGAACCAGGAAAGCATATCAACGTATTTGATTGCATAATTAGCTCCACAAGCAAAACCTCCATTTAAAGAAGTCGTTATTTCACTTGAACTTGATGACGAATATTAGATAATTCACATTTTTCCCCAAGTTCAACTACATAACTTAATATTTTCTAATTCAAGCTTTAAAGGAAAATTCGTTCGCAAAGGGGAGAATGCACACTCCACCAGGGAGCTGGAGAGCTTTATTTCTTTACTGATGAAATATAATCAGACTGACTTACCTATATGCTTTATGTCTTTCCTTAATAGTTGTGGAAGGGATTTTTATCAAAGCAAAGGTTTCTCCATTCGATTTCAGAGTATGATTGCTTCAAGCACGTCGGAAACTTGAGTCGTCTCGAGTTTCAGGTGTTAACTATTAACTCTATTTAGGAGCTTTGTTAAATCTTAACCCAACATGGGACTCGGGAAGTTGATGTTGACTCTTTATACGCGCAGAAGCGATTTTGTTTTAAATGAAATCGAGCGGAAAGCTCGTCTTCGCTCTGATGTAAATCCCTTCCAACATAATCAAAGAAAGACACAAGCATACAGGTAAAAAAATTTGATTTTCTTGCATTGGAATGTATTAACTATAAAATAATTTCGCTCGAACTTATGAAGTTATGGACTCTGTAGCGTGCGAATATACAGCTGTCTCTCGCTGAGCTCTACTCTGTTGCCGAGTAGCTATCTTTAAAATGTCAGTCTTGCCTTCTTTTCACTACGCGAAGGTGAAAAATTCCTAAGTGAGCAAATGTTCAATATTGACTCGCCATGCCACTCTTTTTTTCCTCAAGAGGAAAACAAGTGTCACCCTAACCCTTGCCGCAATGGAGGAATCTGCACAGAAGCAAATGGAGCTTACATCTGCACCTGTATGGAGGGATACAAGGGATCCAATTGCGAAGGTATATCCTGCTTAAGCATGCAGAACTACTGACACACGATCTAGCAATATATCTGCTAAGATCGCCATGCCTTAATTTTATAGTTGTTGCCTAATCTAAATTCCATGCAGTTTGCTCACTGTCACTGTTGGAGGAACGCCCGGGAGGAACGACAGACGTGTGTCTTCATGATAACCTCAGATAACCAAAAAGTATCGTCTAATTCACTCAGCTAAAGACGAGGAAACGTCCAAATTTAGGTAGCACCATACTGCTGTGCATAATCTAGCAAATTCTCAAATACCCTCATTTTTATTTCTCAATCACCGTAGAAACCTGTAATGACACAAAAGGCGAATAGTTCAAATTGAGGTTAGTATTCAGGCCTTTACGAATAGAACTCTGGACTAGTGGTGGTTCAAGCAAAATAAAGCTACTTTAGCACTTGTCGGTTGACGTTTGTTGATATATTCAGTTTACGCTTGACGCGCACGCCTGATTATTTATCCAATGAACAAGTGATCACAAGTATCTAAGTCATGCTCTGAATGATCTTTTCACATAACAGAGAAAAACAAATGCCAGCCTAACCCGTGCAGAAATGGAGGAACGTGCACTGAAATGGATGATGGGTTTGAGTGTTCCTGTCCAAGCGAATACAAAGGACCGACGTGTGAAAGTAAGTACTACGATATCAAGGTAAGAGATCAAACCAGTTATAACTGTTTCTGGTTTTGCCTATCTTCGGTCACTGTGAACGTCTCACAGTTGAAAAGGAAGTAACATGATCCATTAGTCACTTCGTCCAACCAGTCAGATTAGCCATGCAGAGATCATGTCCACCTCTTTAGAGTAGCGTAACCATCCTGACCCGAGGAAAGAAGCACGAGCAAGCAAGGAAGCAATGAAAGTGTAACGCACCTATATGCCTCTGTATACCCGACCTGGCGTGTAACTGGAGTGTCGCATTGTGGGACTTCAATCACGGACTTGTAATTCCTTTATAGAAAAGGACCAGAGAGCTATAAAAAATTATTAACAAATGCAAAATACTTGCCTGAAACTAGTACATCACTAGTAGTGAGCGTTCGTTCCTGAGCTGTTCATTTACTTTATTTGTACTTTTTTTAGTGGAGAACCTTTGCTTCATGAACCCTTGTCTTAATGGAGGAACATGTATGGAGTTACTTGGATCACACAGTTGTTTGTGCGCTGAGGGTTTTAGTGGAGCTGCTTGTGAGAGTAAGCGTTTTTTCTATCATTATGGGGAACTTTGGATTCTAAGACGAGGATTTTCCTAGTAATACTAATATTTAGTGCGCACGCGTGAATCAGCATTACTTTGGTAGGAAAAATTGATAACAAGTTATCAAATGTTAGGAGTTATTTATTATGGTGGATCAATAGAAATAACCATATTAACGTTTCTGTTGAAAGATAAGTAATTTAAGTAATTTATTGTGAAAATACCACGCGAAATAAACTTTCAGTCAAACCTCGTCCTTGTTGTTCGTCATCGTATATGACAATGATGCTGTATTGTAACCATTCTCCTGAGATGTCGTGCCCCCCGTAAGAGGCGACCCAAAATTCCAAGCTTTTCATCATCGCTTACCAAGGGTGGTTGCTTTCGAGCCTTACTCCAGCTATAAGTGCTCTGACTGGAAAAACTAATTTAATCGCTTATCTCAGTTGTTGTTCTGAGTTAGAGAATTAATTTCACATCCTAACGAAAGGCAAATTATGTAGTATGCAGAAAATCTCTTAACTGCTATTTTTTATTAAGTTAATAATTTTTCTTTTTTTAAGTTGAAAGTAAATGCCGCAGCAATCCTTGTAGAAATGGCGGAACTTGTTATGATAATCACAACTCCTACACATGTTCTTGTTTGGCGGGGTTCTCAGGAATCAATTGCGAAAGTAAGTACAGAAGAGAGATTTCCCTTGATACGTGTCAGATTACTGCATTCTTCATTCATTCGCAAACCTCAATGGCGGAAATCAAGCATGAACAACCTTGAATCATGCTAAACAGAGCGAAAGAAAATTGATGATAAGTAGCTAACTTACCAGTAGCTTTCATTTGAATGCTCACAATATAACTCACTGGTAAGATTTAGAACCACTTTGCAGAGCAGAACAAAAGTACCTCTAAAACTTCCTGCTCCATGACCATTATTTCACTAACTGCTATGCCGAAAAACCCGCCTTTACGTGTTAATCAAAAAAACACTACACGAGAAAGTGCCTCTCATTCAGCCTCGCACTTTCATACCATGAGAAAAAAATTATTTGAATGGTAGATCCATGTTGAGGCATCCTTTTCAGATAATTCATTGAACCATACATAGTAAATTCACCACAAATTCACTACCGGTAATTTCCTTCAGCTATACTTTTCATCACGTGGGATGTCACGTGACCATGATTATAGTTTAGGCCACAAGACCGCAAGATCTCCATTTCGAAAAAAATCTCTGTCCGTTTGATTCTTAGCGACCGCTATTGCCGATTAATCCTATTTTCCGAACACACTTTTGAAAAGGCCTAAACCCTTTTTTAAAGTTAAGAATGGATAGACTCAAGAGAGAATGATCATTCTCTCTTGACTCAAGAGAGAATGAGATAGATCTTTCTCTCTTGTTACACTGCAGAGAATTGAACATATTTCTTGTATTTTCGTTGCAGCGATGGTATCCGTTTGTGACTCTAACCCTTGCCTCAATACTGGTACTTGCTTAAATCAGGGACCAAACATGTATAAATGTGTTTGTGCACATGGCTTCAGAGGAAAAAATTGCGAAAGTAAGTAATCAAGAGTAGTGCTGTCCTCACGAAGAAAACTTTTGGGATTAAATTAAATCAAGATAGAACATTGCAAGACAAGAGACAGCACTACAGCTTGATGATAAGGGACTGGGGCTGGTTTGAGTTTGGATTCGAGTCCATCCATCTTTTGTCTGAACAACGGCTTTGTAACCGAATACTGTCAAAAAACGATGACATTATTACATCGTAGTTAGACTATAGCAACCTCGATGGGTCTCCCCTGGATGATATTATGTCGCAAACTAAAGCAAAAAAAGAGTTGTGTTTTGCAGAAGTAAATGAAGGTCGAAGTTAAGGACAAAGTAGGAAATGCGATGGCTAACCACCACAAAACAACAATAGCTCCTACCTAAAACTGAAACAATTTTGATTTTTTGTTTGTTTTGTTTTTTGCCCATGTAGTGGAGAAAAAATGCGAGCCTAACCCGTGTCAGAACAGTGGAATATGTCGAGAACTGATAGAGGACGAGGATTACAAATGCGAATGTTTACATGGGTACAGAGGCAAAGATTGTGAAGGTTTGTCTATTATACCTCCACTTGTTTTAACTTCCTAAGTCTTCTGAAGCAGCAAGTTAGCTTCCAGCGATGCTAAATAAGAGTAGAAAAAAATTCAGTCTATCAGTTTTCCTTGGCTACCAATTCGAGGAAAATCTTGCCAATGATTTATGGATGAAATTACTAAAATTATACAACAATTACTTCAGGAACTTCAAGGCTAGAAATTTTCAGGTACAAATAGTTTTCCAACTCCCCATGGCCAACCCGTCTCGAACTGTTGTAATTTCCGGGTTTTTTTATCAGTATAAACTAAGGCAAAAATCTCTCTTGATCTTAGGGCCGTAGCATTTTGTTTTCAAGAAATTATATGTGAAAGACGTTTTTCATCTATCCCTTATTCACCTCTTTGTCCCTATCTTTGTCATTTGTTGTTTTCTGTTCGTTTTTTGTTTGTTTTTTTATTTACCTTCGAATTTTTTTCAGCCACGCACATGCGTACTGCCCTACTGGTAGCTATGCCCCTAAACATCAATTAGATTTTGGCTTGAATTTTAATTTTAATAGCTCTAATTTTACGAATTTATGAATTTTCTGTTTAGAGGAGATAAACATGTGTGAGTCAAATCCTTGTACAAACGGTGGAACATGTACAACCATGACAAGTTCATACCGTTGTCTATGTGTCGAAGGCTTTCGGGGAATTAATTGCCAAGGTGCGTTTCACACACTATTTTCTTAAAATAAATGAAGTTGTATGACCTTTATCTTCCTCTTAACTTCCAGTGTTGGTTGATTGACAAAATTTTACCCACATTATTGATAGATACTTTTTTTATTTAAAGGAATGGCTGGTTAATTGAGTTAGTTCTTTCACTGACTGACCGATCGATGATAACGATTGATTAATTGATTGATTGATTCATTAATTCACTTTATTGACGCTTAGCAACTCACTTGATAAATAATAAATTTCTACTGCGTTTATTAAGTTATTTTCGTAACTGATTGCTTGCTTAACATTGACCTTATAATAGAACAAGACAGATGTCACTCGCTTCCATGTCAAAATGGAGGAACTTGCATCCAAGAGATCACTGGAACGTACAAATGTCAATGTCAAGAAGGATTCAGAGGATTTAACTGTGAAGGTAAAAATCACATTCTCAACAATAAAATCCAAAGATATTTTGCATATTAGATCCTCATCACTATAAAATTCATGTGCTAATTTCTATTTTGAGTATTTCCTAGAATTCTTAATCATTTACAAACGCTATAGCAAACACGAGGACAAGTGTTTCAATAGTTTTTTCACACACCTCAAATACTTGTTCAATCCGAAGTAATCTCCCAAACATTTTTAAACCTGCACGCAATGTTGAACAAGACTAAGCAAAAACAACTTTTCCTGTAACGACCAATTGATCAAGGGCATGAACGAATGAACAACCACAGCGTGTGTAAAATTTAGTAGTTGTATAATTACTGGTTGATATTTTGAAATTTTTTGCATCAATAATTACTTTCAGAGGAGCTAAAATGTCATTCGGGTCCTTGTCAAAATGGCGGCACGTGTTTTGAAAACAGTGGTGGATACACATGTACTTGCCCGCCTGGGTTCAAGGGACTCAACTGCGCAGGTCAGTTAACTAAATCAAAAGAAATATAATTATAGTGAACAATAATGATAGTAGGCTGACTATGATATGAAATATTATGCAGTTCGTAGAGGAGTGCTTTCCGCTGACCTATTAAAGGCAAATTTGTAGTTATACGACCTGTTTTAAACGACTTATCACTGACTATAGCTTGGCACTAAAACTGCAGAACTTTTAGTAATGTTACAGGCTTCCATAAGTAAGAGGTTAGAACGATCACATGACTTGCAAGGTTCTCGATAAACAGCACAGTACGTATTCAAGTAACCCAGGTAATTCAGTTAAGACACATAAGACCATTTCATAATGGCTCTACTGAACTTATCCCAGGGGGGGGAAACAGAAATTCAAAAAGGGGCCATTAAATTCTGGTGAGAGCGCGGACCACTCAGCCAACCCCTAGATCCACCGATGTATCAACTGACTCCTATTCTGATGTCCCTTTAGAGAAGGACAGCTGTCACCCTAATCCGTGTCATCATGGCGGAGTGTGTGAAATAGATGGTGACGACTACACATGTTCATGCACTTCCGGCTGGACAGGTCTCACGTGTGAAGGTACAAAATAAAGTTCATCAATTAAGGCTGCGTTCCTTTGTGATGATCCGGATCAGAATCAGTGATCCGAGATCATTCGGATCATGGTAGATCAAATGAACCGATGAATCCTTGTCCAGAGTGGATTCATCGGTTCATTTGATCTACCATGATCCGAGTAATCCGAGATCACTGATCCTGATCCGGATCATCCCAAAGAAACGCACCCTTCAGTTGCCTTTCTGCCGAATCTTTTTTTTTTGCGTAAACTTAATTACGGGCAGCAATCACATAATGAGAATGTTGGTAGATTATCTTACGAATCCAGGTATGAGCAAAGGGGTCCGCCCGATAAACTATACTTATCATTTTAATTTTGAAGTGACAAATTTACACGACTGGTAACTGGGAAATAAAGGAAAATCGCATAAGAATTTTGCTTTCTCTCCGTCAGGGTGTCGGGAACACAGAACATAAGACGTTCAGGCTACTTGTTAGGTTCTTTTCTCGCGACATTCGCTTGTTTACATACGTCTACTCGGATTCGGGACTGTTCATTTTAAAATTGCGTTTTGAGACTGGGTCGTAGTTTTGATTAATTGCACAGCACTATAAGGCTGTGTTGGTACACTGTCGCTATCAAAGGTTGTGCAGGAGACTGGATCAAAATTCACGCCCCAAAACAGTACCATAGTGCAGTTCGAAACAGCACTGACCCAGTCCCAAGGGCAACCAATGAAAGTGGATTGTCTAGATACAGGCTCCTTGCTTGGGTCCTCACTTTCAAGGCTCTGCAACCAGTTTGATTTTCAAGACAATTCGTTTCTTCTCATCATCCATTCTTTGCTGGAAATCCTTCTCTGCTCTGATTGACTACAGTATTTTTCGAACCAAACACGCTGTGCATGATCACCAGCCAGGCATTCCCGGGGGTGGCGGTCCTCCCAGATAAATGTGAAGTGGATACTCGTTGTTTCTCTTAGGTTATAAAGTGTAGATTTCGGTCTCACCTAAGAATCACCAGATGGAAATCCAATATTTCTACCGGCATAAACTAAACGCATCTCTTGGTATAGGTTTGTGCGGCGAGAAATTTCTATATGAAAAACAAACGCCGTCATGCTGTGAAAGAGTATAGTCTCCATTAGGGACAAATAAGTCTGAACCACTCCCACATGCCATATTGGACTCTTTTTGAGGTTTAATTCTGATTTTCGATTAACATCCTTGTCTCTTTTATAAAGGAGTGCTCCCGGGAAGGCATCATATAGGAGATTATCTGAATGTCTTATATACGCATTAAATATTTCATGACTTTATTTCGTTTTAGATGAGGATCATTGTCATCCGAGCCCGTGTGTAAATGGAGGAGTTTGTATCGCCAAAGGTTCCTCTTATGAATGTCACTGCCCAATACATTGGGCTGGAATAAACTGTGAAAGTAAGAGTTAACATGTTATAGAGTAAGAAGCTAGGATTGCTAGCATAGTAACTCTCGTTCTTCACGCTACACTGAATATCTTTTTTGTAATCGATCTCTATTAGAGAATGAGTAAATAGAAATTCCAAGAGAGCAAATCGAAACAGGTCTGAAGCGCGCACCCAAAGCGCATCCGTATGACTCGACTGTTTAAAATTTATTAGCATCATTATTTAACCCTTCTAGCTTTATTAAGACAACAATGAAAAGATCTGTAAGGAGAGATTGCTTTTGGATCTTCGTTTTATTATTTTATTTTGCAGCACCCACTACACTGGCTTATGCTGTAGCCAACACATGCGCAGCAACAACTTACGGCTGCTGTCCTGATGGCAAAACACCCGCAGCAGGTCCTCATCAGTCAGGCTGTCCCGGTAAGGAATGGAGCGAGATATTTGCATATTATTTGTCATTAAACCATCAATTCTATTATTTAACTGATGCTCTGTTTGTGAAAGCGAGGTCGTCGACGGTATTTTCAGAGCCTAACTTTCCTTTACAAATGTCGAGTACATCAAAGACCGCGGTGTTTATTTTTTGTCTTTTTACAAAGTAACGTATTCTTTAAATTAGCATCAAGACACTGCTGATTCTGTTAAAACTAAACCTAATTTAAAATAAATTTAAAAAATGAAAAGAAAAAAGAAATTAGCGTTGCAACAAAACAGTTACTGAAGTTGTTATTTTCTCTCCTTTTCTTGTCATCCTTGATCATCGAAAAGAACACATTTGAGGTGAGAGTTTACGTCACTTTATCTTATCTTATCTTTCAAGGTTTACTTGTTATATTGATTACAATATTCGAACCTGTATCGTCATTTCAAATGCTCATACCATGTTGTCTCCTGGACCTCTTGAAAGGGAACATCTCTCCAATATTTAAAATTAAGGAGCTATGAATAATTATCTTCCAGCCTCTAGCTTGCGCAAAAGTTTTTTGACGTACTTTTTTATACTTAGTGTTTTATTTTTCAAATAGGCATAGCAAAGTGAAACATCTTTAGAACAAAGTGTCTGGACCCTGATGAAGCTGTGGTTCCTGAATAGAAAACCAACGCTCCTCGCTTACAGTAATGAAAACGAACAATCAAGGAAAGCCGTTGGCGTAGAATGAATAAAACTTGTTCCAAGATAGTAAAGATCAAAAGAGATGTATAGTACGAATTTCAAATACTAACTGAAAAACTTTCGCTCAGTTCCTGTATTTCGTGTGAAACAAACGTTTTGTAAAACGATGCTTTCTTGTGCCAATTATGTATTCATCTAAATTTATTTGTGTCTTTTCACCAAAATAGCTTATATAATCATTTTATATACTTAATGTAATGGTTGTGTTAATAGTAAATAGTTAAACGTTTCATGGGAGGAATGCCAGGCAAAATTGTATTTGAAGGTTAAAATATACCTTATTTGCACAGGAGACCATTGCCCGTGAGAGCAAGCAACTTACATGTACTCCTGTCACTTCGTTTTCGCCGACCAGTTTATTTTTAGAACAATTTTGGCGCAAATTCAAGTAGTATCTGTTGTCCCACAAAGCAGTCGGCAAAACCGAGGGCCCTAACAATGGTATTTTTGACCTTTTAATTACGTTTAGTTTTCCTGGCTTTGTCGTGTCATTTACTTCTGATGGTCCTACTGCGTTCTTAACCCTTTAAGTCCCGGTTGTGACCAAGATGAATTTTCTCCTAACAATATCCATATGTTACCAAGAGAAATAGTTATGAGAGTTAATAAATGATCATCTAAGAGAAAATGCTTTGATCTTCTACCAAATTCTCTCAACTTATTCTTTAAGGAAATGTATAGAGATCAGTTTGGAGAATTTGTATGAGGATATTGGGGCTTAAAGGGTTAAAAGGAGCGGAGCTTCCATTTCGCGGGGGAAAGTGCTCTAAGATGTATCTAAAAATAAATCGGTCCATGAAAACGCCATGAAATAGGCCATGAGGGGGAGCTGCTCGCAGTTTGTTTTGTGAAAGTTTTCAGCAACCTTTGATGACTCTGCACCGGTTCTTAACAGTTTATCGTTTCTTTATAGAGAGGAGAATTGTGACGTCACGTTACCATGGTAGCAAAATTTCTGGATCACAACAATAGGGAGCTCAAGCAAGGCGACGGCGACGGCAACGAGAACGGCAAAAAAGCAATAGGTTTATATAAGAAAAACAACAACTTTACACGTGCATTACGCTATTCTGTACATTTCCCAGCCGTCGCTGCGCGACTGCGACATGAAATTCCTAATTTCAAGCGCCCTCTTTATGGAGTACATAAAGACAAGACAACAATTAAATTCTCTTTTCCTTTTTCTAAACTTAGATACACAGTCCTTTCGGATTGAACCCCAGAAAATGTCGCCATCATTTGACAAATTGAGTGAAATTGAACGAGAACGATGAAGTTTGAAACAGTGCGAATTCACTTTTTAAGTGACGTTTTCTGTTTGTTCAGATCCAGAAAACTTGCTACCATGGCAACGTGACGTAACGACTTCTCCTCTCCGTTGATTGATTACATTTAGTGTCAATTAGTGCCAACAGGCACTAGAACGATTAGACACATTAATAAAGGTTTTGAATGTATGTATGTACATTGTTGGCGGTCTGCATTCAAATGTGATCCTCGATACTGACACAACAGAGTCGAAAATTAAATAATACTATGGGTAAAATTAAAACCAATTTACTCATTTTAAGAACACATTTTTGGTCTGAACAGTTACTCAGTCTGCCCAGATGAGGACATCGCGACAGAGCATGAAGATGTACTATTGAAGCTTTTGTAGATCGAGGTGACAGTGAAATAGCGAGAATGTTCATAATACCCTTGCTCAGTTCTAGTTCCGTTACCCTTTTATCCTTCGAACTGAACCTAGTTTTTGTGCTTTTGCGGGAATCCCAGTGAGTCGACTCGAAGAATAGCCTGCGTGTGGACATCTCCGATTTACGTGGTATAGACGTCTGCACATAGACTAGTCGGCGAAATTAAGATATTATGAACACGTTCTACAAAACCTCATTAAACAAAAATCGCCAATTCTGTTTATTAAAGCTGATTAACTGGAATAAATGTGTAAAAAACGTTGATTAAAATATTTGAAAAATTAAGCAAGGAGTGTACGATGTATCCTCGAAAAAAGGACTCAGCTGAAAAACTGATGATGGTCTCTAAATACAGCGATCTAGCAGACCCAACACTGGCAGACAACTGGGTGGTATGACATGAGGGCCAACAACTTAGGGTAACCTTTCGTGCTTGCGCGGTAGAAAAGGTCTAAAATGAATCTTTGGTGGTGGTGCAAGAGTCTTTGCTTTTGGATCTGCCAGCCCTTCGAAACTAATTTATTTTAAGAACGTTCCGTGATATTTCATAATTCATACGCTCGATCAGCTACTTTTAGCTGACAGTACAATCTCATGATCGGTCTACACTTAAATATTCTGCATGTTTCAGTTAGTTGCAGTGAAGCTATCAGGCTATCTCCCAAAATTAAACAAGGTGACATTTGCCCCTTTTAGTGAATAATATATTAATCCTAAGAGAATAAAACTCCCATGTCGAGAAAAATAATAAAACTTTTGCCTACAACCGGAACTCTGATCACTATATTAAAAATACTGGACGTGAGTTTGGAAGCACTTCGACTTTTAAAGTGACATTATAAGAATGCTGTCTCGCTTTAGGAGAGCGTTATCACTTGGTTATACAGTATGACTCCATTCCAAAGCCAGACTCAAACTAATTAAACCAGTGGCGTCTTTCCCTTGACAATTTTTTGCTGACGCTTAACAAACTTTATTCATCAAGATTGCAACTATTTTGTTTAAAAGTCATCGTTATATAGTTACCAATTTTATAATCTTTCGGTTATATCACGGCTAATGAATTATAAAAATAGAACGAGTATGTCCTTATTAAAAGCGATTTACCGTAAATTATAAACCACTTTTGGTGTATGTCGGCCTTAATTGAAATCACTTAAGTCTGCATTCATCCCTTCTTAGTTCATCTCGAACCAAATCGGCCCTACATTTATATCGACCAAAGTGTTAAACTGAGACAAGATGACTCCTTAACGGGTATTGAAATGGGCAAATGTCTCTCTTTTACTTCTGGCATAGAGGCCATGATGAAAGTAGTGAACATAGCAAAGAACTCAGATTTGTAAAATTCCTCGCTATAACAAATTACGTGTTCTAAGAAATTTTGACGTAAGCCTCCTGTAAAACAATATACATGAGCAGCTCATAATGGTTTTCTACTGCTGATATTGTTTTGAAATGAAAAAAAAATTACATAAAATTGTATAAGATGGTTACTCTTATTATAAAAACGATTTCCTGATATTTGTCAGCTGGGCACCATGATCAATATATTAGGAAGTTATCTCTTGGTGAAATTGTCCAAGTGAGCGTCGACCTCGTGCGGGTTTCTGGTGCTATGGAGAATATTCTATCCAACGGCAATGCGCAGTCCCAGCATCCACTCAAGTGAACAAAAGCAATGAAATCCAAGCTAAAAAACGAAAAGGAATGTGGCAAAGATCTAGTTACAAAGACTATTCTCAAAGTTATCATCGTCATTGCTTTTACTGCTAAAAGTCTGGGAGCAAGTGCAATACCGTCTACGCTATCCCCCGTGCATACATCAGGCGCCTGTCGATACTGTAGCTACTGTGACTCCGCTTACTCCTGATAAATTCGGGTTAAGGGGGAGGGGGCGGTGTAACGTATGCTGTCTAAATCCTTTTTCCTGGCCCTGTTTCAGACCCAAACATAATAAATTACTAACCTTGCTTCTCAAATTTTAAGTCATAAAAAAACGCAACAAATTCCAGATCCACGTCAGATTTTAAAAACGGTTAAACCCAATTCTCAAGTTACAAAGACGAGTACCGGCCCTAGTGACCCCATGACACGCCGGACCAAGAGAACAGTGCGACATTCATTCAGATGAAATGTTCGTGACTCTTATCATGATCAGACGCTCAGTGTTTCTCGGCTGTGAGTATCGCAAGAGAACTACGTAGTTGTATTGCGATATTTCACTCGGCCTTGTTTGTGTGATGGTGTCGAGGGTGAAATTGCTGCAAGTGCTGTCCCTTAGTCAAATTGTCCTTGGAATTGTTGCCCTCTTCACAGGGATATCTTCTGTGAATGTCACGAGCTACTACAACGGAACGTTCGGAATGGGAATATGGCTCGGTGTTTGGGTATGTAACGATCTGTAACCATGTCATAGTTTCGATTATCAACAAAGCTGGCTAACATGCTGTGATGTATAATGACCTTCACGCAAAATTAAGGTTAACTGCTCACCATTACGTTAAAACAACAAGAAGTAAGAGCACATGAGTTCAGAGTTATGAGAAAAGACTCTCATAACAAAGGCCTTGTGGAAAGTATTTTTCTCCGACTAAAACTAATTGATGTTTTCTTTCGACAGGCCTAGAAGCTAGAAAATTCGATTTTAACTATTTGTAACAAAAACTGAAAACAGATTATTGGGGACATAAACGATATAAGAAAGAGTTGTATATTGCCTTCTGATTAAGACGAGCTACAGCTTTATCGACTTAATCTTGATCTCGTCTATCTTAAACCTAAACCCTTAGTAAAAGGGGTTACATCACGCTATTTGCTGTCTTTTAACCTCTTAAATCCCAATATCCACATACAAATTCTCTAAACTGGTCTCTATACATTTTTACAAAGAATACGTTGAGAGAATTTGATAAAAGATCAGAGCATTTCACCTAAGGTGTTTATTTTAATAATTCTCACAAACTTTTTCTTGATTGTATATTGATATTGTTAGGGAGAAAATTGATGTTTGTCAATCTTAAACTTGACCTCGCATCAAATATTGAATCAGTTCCAAAAATAATAGTCCAGTTTTGTTTTCTCGGACTATATTAGGCATTAAAACTGTTTTCTGTCGTCCGTTGCAACGTGGCAAGGCCTAAAGGATGGACATGGATTGAAACTTGAAAAAGTTGGGCTAACTTTTTCAATGAGTTTTAATGCTGTGTCCACAAAAATCGCCAAGAAATTATTATGGTTAGTGCTCCCTGATGAAATTTGATTGATGTCTTTTCCATAATTCTACCATTTTAAGAATAGGGAGCTTAAGCAACCACGACAACGACGTCAAGAAAACAATAGGTTTAACGATCAAAACAACAGCTCTGCAAGTGCATCACCCTTTTTAGTACATTTCTTTGTCGTCCACTGCACGACTACGACGTGAAACCTCCTAATTTGACGTTTTATGGAGGACGTGGACATACTACGACGAATTTCCCTTCATCTTTTTGAGCCTGAATAAAATCCTTAAAAATTCAACTCCTAGAAAAGTCGCCTGCATTTGACATATTGAACGGATCCAAATAGATGCGATTAAGTTTGAAAGAACGCAAATTCACTTTTTTACCGACGTTTTCACTGCCTTTGTCGTCGTCTTTGCTTAAGGTCCCTAATGATACAGCCGGGGCATTGAATGTGCAAATGAAGTCTGTTGTAAAAATGGTCTCCTGTTGGTCTCCTAATTCACAGGCGGTTTATATTCTATATTTAATATTAAAGACAAAATGGACAATAGTGCCAACTAAATAGCCACGTGACTAGGCTAGAGTGTAATCATTTCATGGATGAGATGATTTCGATGGCTTATTTGTAGGGACAACAGAAAGCAAATACTTTAGCAAAAAAAAATCTTAAGTCAAACCCCGTTAATACCGACACTGCCGGAGGGCCGGGGCTATAGGAAGTGTCCATATATACGGTCAAGCCCCGCATTACGAAGATCCGCTTAATATATACGGACACTTCCTTATTGGGAATTGAACATTTTATGGAATTTGCGCATTATAAATGTTTTATTATTATTATTATTATTATTATTATTGTCTCTATTATCACAGTCTTTGCTGGTGTTCTTTTTGTGCATCAGCCTGGCGCAAACCATGCACCTAGAGCGTCAGTCACTCAAGTCAATCATTCTGTTCATACACTGAGCACCTTTCTGAGGATTCGTGCAGATCCCAGCATGCAGATCTTTTGAATCTCTGTCATATTAGCTCTTTCTGATACTTTCTTGATGTTTTCTACCATACCCTTCTTCACTGCACCAAGCGCACCAACAACCACAGGGATCACTACTGTTTTCATATGCCACATTCTCTGTATTTCTAGTTCTAGGTCTTTGTACTTGCATTTTTTTTCAGTTTCCTTCAGTGCGATGTTTCTATCTGATGGAACAGTCATATCAATAAGTTTGCAGGTGGAATTCACTGAATCTTTAACGATGATATCTGGTCTGTTCGCTGTTATAGTTCTATCAGTATTGACTGGCATATCCCACATGATGGTGATGTTGTTATCTTTATTGTGTATCACGGTCTCTGGTTCGTGTTCGTACCATTTGTCTGTAATCTCTATATCATGATCTTTACATATGCTCCAATTATTATTATTATTATTATTATTATTATTATTATTATTATTATTATTATTATTATTATTATTATTACGGATAGTTTGCTTTGAGTCCCTGGGGAAAAAAGCTGTTACATTTTCTCTAAATTCAACCCGCTTAATACTGACATCCCACTTATACGGAGACTTTCTATAGTCTCTTCGGTGTCCGCATAAACGGGGTGTCCGTATTAAGCGGGTTGAATTAAGAGAAAATGTAAGGGCTTTCTTTTCCCAGGGACAAAGCAAACTGTCGTTAATAATGAGGTGTTTGTAAAGCGGGGTTTTACTGTACTGTATATAAAAGGTTAGGGATTGGACGTCCGGGCGGAACCTCCGGATTGAGCACCTTACCCACCCCCCCCCCCCCCCCCCCACCCCGACAATATATGTCTACTTTATGAGCTATTTTTAGCTATAAAGTGGAAATACTTTGTTTGCCATCTTTTCAAAACATTCCACTGTTATCCTGCTGCTAGGTGGCTGTTAAATGAATGCTTGGAATGTAATAAAATTACCTATGAAATGGAACTCGAGAGATTAACATACTTCCGCGTCTGGTGAATGGGGCTGAATGGAGGATGACCGGATAAAATACACAAGGATTGCTTAATGATAGGTTTGACCGTACCGCGGCCATGGAAATGCGAACGCCAGGGAGCAAAAGTGAGCCATTCTTACCGAAGTTTGGGAATTAGTCAGGCACGAAATGAGCTCTTTACAACAGATAAATCATTCCATTTAACTCTGCTGGATACTAGCCAAGTTTGGCCCTTTCATGCTGAAGATTGACAACAGCGATAAGGGAAGTTGAAAGGGCACGGTAAAAACAGACGTTTTTTGTTTTTTTCTTTTAATTTTTTTTTTAAATGAACACTAGTGAGCAGCACAAAGCACTAGGGAAGAGGGAAAACCCCCGAAAAGTTTTTTTTTCGTGGCCTTTCAGCGCATATTTTGATAGACTTTGTGAAAATTATCGAACTTTTGCATTGCACAGTATTTTCCAATTTTTTATAACAGTGGTAAGGGAAATTAACTGTGAGGTTCAAGTGAACTACTCTGTTGAGTAAATAGGAATGTGTCAACTAATTACCACGGTCACTGCTTCACTGCTTCACCATGCATGGAATAGGGCGGATTGGGGCCCGTTTCCCAGTCAAAAGTCCTGATGATAAACGGGTCCAAACACTGTTGTTTGTACTCAAGACCGAGATTTCAAAAGTTTTGCTGATACACTTTATAGTTAGCAAAAAGTCAAGTTAACAAACTGGACTGGTTTGTTAACTAGGCGCGCTTTGGTTCTTTAGATTTTGATTTGAATATCAAACTTTGGTTTTGGGGCCGAAAAGTTACCGAGACTTTCAAGAAATGACCCCCTGGTGTGCACACCAACAAAAGCAACAACAAGCTTTATTTGCATGACTGTAACAAAATGTTACAATGTTGCAAAAGGAACTTAAAATTTATTATCAATTCGTTAATAAGACCTCTAGCTTGGCGTGACATAATCCGTGAGCTAGTACCTCTGTCTACAGGAATACGGTAAAGGTTTATCAAGCCATTTAAAACACTCTTCTAAAACTTTTCAAAATACATCAAAATAGATAATTTTTTATTACTTTGTGTTCTGTGTGGTACCGTTGCGATTACGATGACGCCCATGATTACATAATGATGCTTTAAAATGAATCAAGTTCTCCATACCCCTAGAAAACTCGAGCGGGATTAACGTTATGCCGCCTCTGAAACCCTCCGGCCCTCCTCTAAACGAAAGAATATGATTTCATACTCAAGTTCTGGCTCTTTAGCAGAAAGCACTTAACCAATTTTAGACCAAAAAACGCTCAAAATCATACCTTACGTAACATATTAAAATAAGAGAATACCCCCTGGCCAGGACGGGCTGGAAAACAATGAAGCATTCCTGTTCAAATATGAATTGTCTTTTAATCGTACTACTCTCTCAGTGTTTTTCGATATCCAACCTTGCTTGTGTGATGGCGACGAAGGTGACATTGTTGCAAGTGCTCTGCTTTAGCCACGTTTTCCTTGGATTTTGTGCCATATTTACAGGGATATCTGCGGTAAATGTCACGGATTACTATAGTGGAGTGTTTGCAATGGGCATATGGCTGGGTGTTTGGGTATGTAACCATACATGTTATAGCAGTTACGATTATCATTCAGTAGTATGATCATCACCCAGATAGTTTCTAAGCTTTAGTGTAAAGGTTTGCTATCTTGGCTGCTAATCAGTGTTTGCTTTGAAAAGGCATCGGAGTATCAGTCTCAAACAGCAGCCAGTCTACCCGACTATCTGATAGCATGATAGGCCTTGTCGAGTCTATTTTTCCCACACTGACTTTATGATCCTTAAGAGATGTCATGCATTTTTTAAAATATTTGAATCAACTGTTCCAAGATATAATTTGATTTCTAACAACTGGTAAACAGCTTCTCCAAGAAGGGTTACATCACTGAAAAAAATTGCTTTCCCCAAGGTGTCGTCAGAATGACGTCAAAAAGAGTTTTCGATCTCACTTTCTCCTTTGTTTAAAATTTTGGCTACTTTACTTTCTTCACTGGTCGTCGTCTTACCTTTATTACTTTCTCGTCAAGCAAAGACGTTGCGACCCTGGCCGTGAGGGTGCACAAAGAAAAAGGAAGAGAGTAGCACTTCCAAATGCAAAATTATGAGATCGTGTCCGCAAGCCTTTTATTTAGGAGTCGTTGCACGATTGTTTAATTTGCGATCACAACTGCCGCTGAGGCGATAATCTTTACTTATTATCTTATTTTACATTCGCAGGGATGTGATATATATCCATCTTTAAGAAAAAGGTCCCCTTGATCAGACATTTTAACTATAAATATTTAGAAAACCTAATCCGAGAGGTTGCTGAATTACGCCTTTTTCCTATCAGGCAGTTGGTCTTAAGGTTTTGCAGACTAAAATACGCCCTTCTCTCTTTACACTGTCAAATTCTTTCAGCCTTTGGTGGAGGTCAATTCTTAAGTTGTGCTGGCTGCTGTTAGGGTTTCTGTTTTGTTTTGTTTTTGTTTTTGTTTTTGTTTTTTGTTTTTTATTTTTTCATATTTTTACTTATGGTTTACAATAGTTAACTATGGTTTATTTTTTAATACAGCGGCTTTCTGTGGTGTTCCGGATTGTTTCGCCGGAGCTTCGCTGTTCCGGGCGTAACACTGTAACAACAACAACTACTCTGCACGTGCATCACAATTTTAGGGCATTTCTTTCCCTCCGCGCACGTGTGTACCACGTGAAGTTTCCAAATCGAACCATCTGTGACGAAAAATCTGTACATTTGAAAACTTCACGTGATAGGCACGACAAGAAGACGGAAAGATTCACGTGATTCACGTGCAGAGTTGTTGTTGCTGCTTTTTTTTTCGTGTGTGTCACGTGTGCTAGTAAAAACGGCTTGTCCAAAGACCCGGAACACCCAAACACCCGGAACCACTCCAAAAAAACCACGATAATAAGCCATAGCTAATAAGTAAAATAACAGACTAACAGAAACCCTAACAGCAACAAAACAGAGCAATGTAAAAGAATGTAGGATAATCGTACGTACGCTTGTCAGTGTAGCCTCTAAGCCAACTGATCTAACCTACTCTTTAAAATAATTGTTTGTTGCTGTTGTTGTTGTTTTGTTTAGTTTAGTTAAGTTTTTTTTACTTATTTCTGCAGAGTCAAAACCATCACTGTTTGGATGACTCTTTTATTGCCACTATCGTCCCAAATGTTGCACGATAAATTGCCATTAGGGGGTGCATTGGAAAATAATGAATCCTGACAAACAGGGCTGTTTCTCTCTCCTCCAGGAAGAGGTTCTCGCTGGGTATCTTAATAAAAATCTTCCCATCGAGCCCCGCGAGCTTTCTTTTTCTTTCTCACCAGCCTCCCTACAACTCAAAGAGGCCTCCGGTGCGGAGGAGAGAGGGGCTGTTTTGGGGTCGGCTCATTTCAAAACACAAAAACAGTGTTTTAAAATAGAAACACAACTGGAGAACTCTACATGTTTCATTCAAAGTTCGTCCTACTCTCCTGACAGCATAATTTATAAAAATGACAAAGAGATAAATTCCCCTGAAAGTGAAAGTCGGAAACAAAGGAAGGAACGCCTGATGGCAGGTTTTTATTTAATTGGTGGATTTGCATCAGGAATGCAGCCTTCGATAAACGGGGAGGACTGGGTTCCTCAAACTCGAATATTAGTTCCGCAGTTGCTTCAACGCCTGCTTCAACACGTACTATTTTTAAAGCAACATGGTGATTGTACCATCGTCATCCGAAGTGTGTCGTGGTTTTGAATTTACTCGCAATATCTGGCTTTTCTTGCATAGACATACTCCATGTGGATTTTTGTGAGTAGTTCAGATGGCTACAAGTGCGAAAACGCTAAGAGTTCTCTCGCCCTGTCATGTTATTCTTGGCATTCTCGCCATTGTGATAGGAATTGCTTCGATGAATGTCACGGAGTACTACATTGGAGTCTTCGGAATGGGAATTTGGCTTGGCGCTTGGGTATGTAAGCTTATAAAGCGCTACAAACGTCCATAACAATGCTATGGAGCTCGTTTGACGGCAATGGCTTTAGATTTCTGTGTGTCGACCTCCAAGTTGGAGACTATGTTTCCATCATGATGCTTCCTATTAAGCATATGTTTGATCTGAAAATTATTCATGCATATGTGAGTCATCTGATTGTGCTAAGTCAGAATCATAAAGACGATCTCATAGTTGTTATTTAGGCACGGACTCTACAGCTTGTGCGTATTTTTAGCTTCTCTTTCCGGTTATTTAAATATAAGCTTACAAAGCACTTTGATCATCTTTCGACACGAATTAAGCTTGATCTTTTGATATAAATTTATCCAAAACTCCATATTTTGTTCCGTGATTCAGCAGTGTTTTTGTTTTTGTTAAATTCACGTTTGGCTGGAAGCATTCTCAAAAATTAGCCTTGAATGTCACCCACAGAGAACACAATGTTACAGCTATAGCTTCTTTTGTTTTTGAACAGCTCTAGTTTTTGTTTGAAAAGATATAGTTGCGCTTTTTATTACGTAAGGCCTTTGAAAATATGTGTAAATATGTGCTTATCTTTAGTTGATGTCAAGTTCAGTTTTGAATCCTTCTATTATTCAGCCACAAATACTTGATTTTGAGGTAACGCCATGCCAAATTGGAAACAAAAACAATAATTTAACTTATAATTATGCATGTTACGTCAAACCCTTCAGTTCTTTTCAGTCACGTAGAACATTTAACCCAATATTTTGCAAAACTGTTACAATATTTCCCCTAACAGGTTGAGCTGTCTACTTGTAGCATTCCTCTCTTACATTCATGACAGTAAAGGTGCAATTTCACAATGTTAGCTGGTGATCAGTTAGAGGAACTTGCTGGCTTGGAATTTTTTAAATTCATTTACAGTGAGGTTCATATTTATCGTGAATAATTTATAAATATTTTTGAGCCACCAAAAAATATATACATAAAATGTACACTGTTTACGTGTTTTTTTTTCAGTATTACTTTGTCTTTTTTGTTATGTTTTCTGTAACTTAATTCAGTTGAGTTCACCTCGCAGAACTTTCAGAACAAAGCGTACTGACAGTTTATGTAATTTTTTAAAAGCAGTGCCCAGAACTGCAAGTTTTCTCACGATCCTATCTACAACTTGTCACAAGGTCAAACTTTACAGTCTTCGTGAATGAACATCATATACAAACAATACAATATCTCCACTGGTTTGCATGATAATTAACTCAAATATTTTCATGCGAGTTAAGCTGTTTGGTGAAGCATTAATGCCAAACTCTATAAATTACAGGTTCATTAATTTCTTATAATTGCAGTTAAAATTTGAAAATGTTCTTCAAAGTGAAGTGACTGCAACTGGTTGCCATGGAATTGCAGTATTAATATCTTAAACAAATAAATGGGATTTAGGTGTATATTAGCTTGTTATGTGCAGTTTTGACCTAGTATGACTGCAGTCTATATTATGTAATTTTCTATTGACGTCACAGTATTACTCAAGGTTGACCACAAAAACCAAAACAATAGTTTATTTATTTATTTATTTTAAATCAATGTGTTGTTGTTTTCTTTATTTTGCATGCCCATGTTAAGAGAATCATCAATGTTAATGAAAAGCAGGTCAAGAAGTCAAGATATTGGCATATATTACTTTTCTCATCAAATGTGGTTTGCCATAAAATAGAACTTAACAAAGCAATGTAATGTGCTCTCATGTTACTTGAGGGTAATGATAAATACACACTTTAAGGACATGCTTTTCATAATTCATTGAAAATGTTGAGGAAAATTCAGTTCAAAAAATATAGAATTAATTTGATCATCTTTGTGAAAAGTTTTTCAGAAAGCAATTTTTCTGTAGAGGTTGTTTCATATTTACTGGCCTGCTTTTTCAAAGAAATACACAATGCATGTTTCTATGTGTATGTAAGAACTGCATCAAATTTAGTACACTTTTTATATAAAGTACAGGAAATGGTTCAAGTTTTGAACTTTTTGATACTGCAAGTATGGAAATAATTGGCTTTACTTCAGAAACAATCCTTTGCATCAGTGATGCAAATCAGCCTTAATTAATTGGGCAGTTTCCTTCCATACTTTTTTGGGATCATGAGATGCTCACTCTGTATTGGATTCTTTTTTGTGCTGGCACAAAAATCAATCCAGTATTGTAGTGTGAAAACATGCAGTGTGTTCTCCATCTCTGCTTGCCTTCCTCCCTTCAAGCAGGATTTAAGGTCATCCACTAGATTAGCCTTTGCTAATTGGATGATTCCAACTCGCTCTCTACTTGATGTTACTATGATTTTTATTCCTTATTTAAATTGTATTAATTGTCCATGTAAATTTAATTTGTATTTTCATATTAAAGTATGTTGAATTGAGCAAGTTAAATAAATCATCTATCTATCTGTCTATCTATCTATCTTGTTTGTATTTTTATATTTATTACTTTTTTTCAGATTCTTCTGACAGGTCTGGCTGGGATGGCAAGTGCAGCGAAGCCAGGGAATTATTGCAGGGTAAAACATTAATTACACATGACTGTATAGATTCAAGTAATATATGGGCAGGCACTCAAGGCTTACATGACTGTATAGGAAGATTGTATCGTAAATGATTGATTAATTGCCTTGGCAGTGTGCAAAGAAAGTAGTGTCCGATAGCCCGGGGCTAGTGGATTTTGCTATCGGGCTAGTGAATTCTGTTTTTAACTTGACCGACGGGTAAGTGATGTTTTATGAGGAATTTGAATAACAGAAAAACAAAAAGTTTTGGGGGCTAGTTGAAGTGACATCTGGGCTAGTAAATGCTAGCTTCAGCTTGCCCGAATGGCAAGCTGTAAAAATGATTTTCTTTGCACCCTGTGCCTTGGTGCTTATTTCATTTTCTCTGTTACGGGTGGGGCGCTTATACAAGAGAGGCGCTTATTTCAGCCACAGTTCATGCCATTTTGGATATTCACATGGTATCAGATCGATTTCTGTGCTGGCACAGATAGTCTAATTTACGATGTAGTGTGAACATCACAGCCTAATTACTGTCATGGCTTTGTGCGTCAATAAGCAGGAATATTATAAGAAGAAAATGGATCTGGTAGTGTAGGGGTCATTTTGTTTTCTTTCCCCTGCTAGCACCATTTATCCACCTTAGCCCTGCATACTCTTGTAAATATCAGGTCAAATTTCACTGCAGAGCCCAAGAAGCTGGAACACTTTAGATCTCCAGAAAATTGACTGTTCATGCAGTGGTCCACTTCAGGAAAAAACTTTATACATGTACAGTCTACTCTCTCTCACCTCTGTAAAGCAGACACTCAGAGATGGTCCCTCCCTTTCTTTACTCCCTTTATTTGACTCTCTGTAAGACGGACATCTCTCTAAGACGGACACATACTGCAGGTCCCCAAGGTGTCCGTCTCAGAAAGAGTTGACTGTACATGCAGTCAAACCCTGCTTTACGGACACTCGCTTAATACAGACACCTCGTTATTATCGACGCTTTTCTATTCTTTTTCCCTGGGGAGAAAGCCCTTACATTTTCTCTAAATTCAACCTGCTTAATATAGACACACCTGTTAATCTGTCCAACAGACACTTGTTTCTTGCTCCAATCAACCTCACTAATGCAAACACATCATCATCAACTTTCTTTCTTGCCTTTCTGAATGCAAAATAATCCTTCAGTTTACAGCATTTCAATGTTTCCAATGCTACAATACACCAGATAGGATGATTTGTAGTTGTCAATTTGAGACTATTTTGCATCCTTCAAGTTATGCAGAGAATGGTTTGGATTAAGAAATATGTAGATGAGGGATTTTTTAGTGCTTCTGTGGATTTAGTCTGCAGAATAACAGCTTTGAGAAAGTTATAGAGATGTTTAATTTGACGAGGCTAATGTTCTCTTTCATTGGAGCTTACTCATGCAGGCCTTTTGGTAAAGCTTGTAAAACTTGTAAATAAATAAAGAAAGAAATGAATAAAAGTTGGATGTAAAAACAAAATACTGTAAGATTGATAATGCAAGTTTTACCTCCACTCTTCACAGATTGGCACATTCCTGGGCTGCTGTGTGGTTGCCATTGTTATCCTAACGATTTGCTCCATTTTAATCGGCACTGTGGTCTTGAAGCATTTCCAGTTTGAGTCGTCTGTGACCCGTGATTATTACAAGGGCAAAGGTGTCTTTGGCAGAGAGAATCATGAGGATTACTACAAACCAGACCAGTACTTTCTGGACAGAAACAAAGAAGGCAGGGTTGGATTAGCCGTCTACAGTTGTCTGCTTGTCGTCATCATAGTCGACGTTCTGTTAAATGCAGTGTCAGTGTATGTTTGCCGTGATCTTGCTTCCAGTAATGGACAGGTAATATTAGCAGCTTACTCATTGGGGAAATATATTGTTAATAGTTAGGAGATACATGTACTGTGTATGTCACAATTTCTAAAACACATAGGAATCTTAGAGTAAATGTAACCTGAAAAAATAGTTTAGTTCTATTTGAAATTACGCTGCTGCTATACATAAATTGCAAGTGTAAGTCTTTGGCATTCTATGACCAGGATGCCAGTGTTGACAAAAAATATAGAACTCACCATGACATAAACCCTTGAATTGCCAATTTACTAAAACTTTTACAAGTGCAATTTACAATTTAGTATATCTGTTGTTTTCAGACTCTAAAACAATGGCTACACTCGTAAATTGCACTTGTAATTGACCCCTGGATCTAAATTTTTGGTAAAAAGTGAGTGCCATGAGACACTTTTGTCTTGTGTATTTATTTGTAGCATGGTGACCTGTGCTTGGACCTGTGTTCAGTACCAACAGGTCTAAAACAGTGTGGTTTTAGTTATCTACATTGTACATGTACACCATGAAAAAAGTTCGCAACATATCTGTTGTGGCTCAGTTTTATCCTTGGTTTAAGTTTTATTTCCGTTTGTTTGAAAGTCATTATCATACAATTTCCATACCCCAAAACAAAGAAAAATAAAATTTAAACCAAGGATAAAATTTAACCACAACATATCCACCACTTGGTTAGAAGAGGTGTGGTCATGATTCTTATATAAACCCTGTTCAGTTTTCAGATGATTTTCTCCTAAAATATGCTGTCCTTTTTTTTACCATGACTGTAGGCGACCAATGCGGGACAAAACAATCGCCGTACCAGGTCCGCATCATCAGGCCGAGGCCATATAAGTAGTGGCACAATTCCTGTTGCGGAGCTTGGACTGACCAGGCAGACCTGGGCCGAGCTAGTGTTTCCAGGAACACCTGGGACGATACAACCGATTCATTTGATCCCGAACTCAGATTTTCAATTTTATACTCCCTATAAATTGCCGGTAAGTTTTGTCAACTTGACCTAGGCCTCCCTCCCTTTTTTTCTTTTCTTTTAGCGTCAAATTTGTCTCGTGATTTTGGGTCAGTCAGTCGGTCATGATCAGATGGGAAAAAAAGTTGTTGCAAGAAGTTTGGGAATAGGAGACATAGGAGGGACTTGAACTGTGGGATTTGAGCTGTAGAAGAAAGTGTGTCGTTTTCTCAGTTATTAAAGTTAAAAGTAGTAGTTAGTGATACGTAATCCTGTTACAATGCTTGAATTTTTCAGATTAAAAGAATCAATTAGAACGTATGTAATAATAACTACATTGTTACTTTTTTGAGAATGCCAAAAATTAGTGTCGATTGGACAACGCCGAATGGAGGAAAAAATGGGTGATGGCCTTAACCCAAGATCTGAGTAGTTATTCTCATTTTTGGCTGTTTTGCATTTCATTGTGCATCAGTTGAGAGAATTTGGAGTTATATCAATATGGCATCCCTTAGCTGATACATTTTCCTATTCTAACCCCCTATGTGTTGAACAATGTATGGGATGTAAAAAGGAGAAGTTATATGCCGATCACTTCTGGGAGTTAAAGGGTTACACTTAAGAAATAACATGTTTTTCGGCATTGTGCTTGCAAGTCAGCATAATTTTTGTTTGTTCGTTTTCTTCTAAGAATTACGCTGAACTGTACCCTGATGGACTCACTAATCCCACAGTCACTCCGAATGAGCAGGCGCTGGTAACTAATGTCCCGGATGAACCACCACCGGAATACACCCCGACAGCAGATGCTACGTCACTTCCTGCTTTCTCGTCAACGGAATCACAGGAGCGTTCCGAGATAACAGAGCCGGCTTTATCGCAACATACGGGATCTTCCACCCCAGTTTTGTCGCTACATCCGGGAGATTTAGAAGCTCCGGTGTCAGTGGGCTCAACACCATCGACAAGTTTAGACAATAACACAACAATTGTTCAAATAAGTTCATTGCCTCCTACTTCAGTAATAACAGATGTATCCACGCGAGGTAGTCAAATCTCTGAGGATAGTCATTCGTCAGGATCGTTGCCAAATTTGGTAGAAACGGATGAATCAGGGGACTTAGATGGAACTTTATCAGTTGAGTCACAAAACAGACAAAGTGAAGCTATGAACTCTGAAAGATCTTCTGAAGTGTCAGAAACAAGATAGCCAAAGTTGATCAATATGCAGTAAATGTATATATAAGCATAAATGGGCTCGCACTCAGGGTAATTTAGAAGGGGGGTGAATAGGGGTATGCAAATCCGCCGACCCGTCATGATTTAGTAACCAAATCTGCTGTTAAATTTCGCCCTGAATCCGAAATCCGGGCAAAAATATTGTAATTACATGCAAAGTCCAATATCCGGGCCCCAATAATGGATGAATCTGCAATCCGCTGCAATTGCAGGATCCAGAAATCCGGTAAAATCTCGCTTTGAATCCGAAATCCGGTGAAAAATATTTGGAAATCCGCCAATCCGTTTGCCTATTCACCCCCCTCATTTAGCCAGTAGCTAACGTTGGTTCTAGATGAAAATGTTTCCACGGTCTGTTCACTACCAAGAGTACCCCAAACTGAAACTGTTAAAAGTATTCAAAATTTCATTTTGTATAGTAATAAAAAAAAAAACTGGTATTATTCAAAAGTACTGCTCAGGAGCTTTAAGGTAAATCATAAAAAGCTTATTTCTTAGTGGCCCTTTTTTCGAAAACTTCTTTGTGATCGTGCATGGGGCCTGTTGCACAACAATTCTTGATACAGTGAGTCAAGACTTGATTTCAATTTGTAAATGGTGCTAATGATGATTTAGAAATAATTCACGTGCATTCGTTTGTAACGCAGCCGAAAATTTCAACAGAAAAACTTGGGTAGCTTGTTTGATGATGCCACAGTGCCAGCAGGAGACAATAATTGATAATAAGTAAGCGCGAATTTAGTTTGCGGGAAGAAACAGGGGCACCCAACGAGGATATAGCTCAAAACCACTTAACATAGCATTGTTGAACGTATTTTAGTATTCCAACGGTAGATATAGGCATATTTTTATCCCCTAAAAACTTTTCATCTGTTCGGATTTCCTAGCTGAAAGTCTAGTGATCCGAAAATTATAGGGATAAAAACTTACCTTCTCGAAAATTTTAGCCAGGAAAAGGCTCCCGAAAATTCTAGGTGGCCTTTTTTAGGGTCAAAATCCGTTAAAAATGGGTAATTATACCATTTTGTAGATGTTCGAAAATCCTAGGAGAGGCAGGCAAGTAAGAAATTTTACAACAAATGCTCCGAAAATTCTAGATCTCAAATCGTCTTCCGAACAGATATTTTCCCGAAAATTGCCGTTGGGTGCCCCTGAAGAAAAGGAAATTTTCTTTAAGATGTGTGTCATCGTTGGTTATAGTACACTTTATAGGTTGTTTAAATAATTCCACATACGTTCGTGTTCGTCATTCGTTTTGATATTATAGGAATTTATAATCACGTTTACGGGAAACGACAAACATGAAGTTCAAGTTTATAACCTCTCAAATTAGGAAATATACTAAATACTGTGCTAAATAATCCTTATGATTGAACCTGATTTGGAAGCTCTAATATTTTACTTTGGTAAGAACTGACATTTCCCATTTGTCGTAAATGTCATTCTTAAACTCGACTGACATTTTAAGTGAAATACTCCAAATAGGTGAACTCGCAAGCCCGGCTTTGCTTTTGGTTAAAGTGAGGCTTACTTCCGATCACGAAGTTTGTCAGTTTCAGTTTTATTGTAGTACTGTATTTCTAGTAAAGCAAGGTATTAAAGAGATATATTATTTGGAAAGAAACTGCGAATTTACGCTTAAAAATATTTTATTCATGTCATGAAAAAGGTTAAAACTGAGGCCAGGCTTTATACCAGATGGCTGGCTTTTTATCGTCATTTATAGTATAATTTTGTATATATTTTTTACCGCCATTGAAAAAGACAAAATAGTTTTATAAATTGCTATGGGAAAAGACAGCCTCGGTGCGATTAACCCGTAATTAGCAGAGATTTTCAGGTAAAAGTTCATTGCAATTTTTTATATAGATACAAGACGTAAGGCCCGGCTCAAACGTGGCATTTAACATTTGGCGAATATAATGCTAACGAGGAAAATATAATGTTCACGTGTATTTACAGTTGTAATGCGACGTTTGAAACGGGCCTTCACTCCTAGTTCCGCAGAGGCCTTTTTGTGTCGTACGGGGGCCGGGGAAAGCGCTTAATAATTTTACTAGTATTATTATTAGTAGTAGTAGTAGTATTGTATTTTTATTGGAATCCCTAGCGAGAAAATCTACGGAGCAGAGAGGACTGGGCCTAAGAAACCCTATACCTTAAAACCATAGGAGACTAAGTGTAATAAAGAGGAATTTAATCATAACTGGCTTTGTATTGTCATTTACATCTTTTCACACTCACAAGTTTTTCATAGACGCCAGCCTCGTACCCAGGCCTGTTCGCGCTATCCGAGTGACCAGAGGAGGCTTGGAACCGAGCGCGATAGCGCGAGGCGTCCTAGGCGAATTTTCCCGACAAGCTTGACAGGTGACGTCGCCGTGACGTCACATCCAAAATCGCCGAGGACGACTGGGAACGAGGCTGCATAGAGGCTATACTGACGCAAAATAGAGAATTGGTCATGTTCACACTATGCCGGATAGCTTGCGCATGCGCCGCCACGAAAATCATACCTGATAGGGCATCTGTTCACACATAAGAACGGTTGTGGTGGCGCGATTTCTGAGAGCTTTTCGCCGATCTCGAAAAAGAAGAGTCACCTATCGGAAAGGTAGGTTTTCTGCCACATTTTGGTGTATGTGTACAGGTATTCGGACCGTCGCGGAAGAAAACAAGTGGGAGCGAGGACTGGAACCCACTGAGAACAGAAGTAAATATTCAGGAGTGAGGACTGGAATTTAGAGCACCAAGCCCTCTAGGCCAACCGCGCCGGCGCGATTTTCGATGTGTGGAAGGACTTGTGCTATACATACTATCCCAGACCAGGCGCTTATGATGGCCATACCACGGAGTTGATACGTGTGCTTCAGTGCTTACTTTGCGTTATCCCTTAAGAATTTAGACAAATTAGACAAATTAGAAACGAAAGGAAATTGTTCTAGATTCACTTTGCGAAACAAACGTAGACTCAATCATTGATTAAACAAACTCGTTTATTAGAGCCGCAAACCACTGGAGTCCACAACAGGTCATAAATATTATTTACACCGTCATTCAAGTCCTTTATTTTACAATTAAACTGATTCATACAGTTACATAAGTACTGAAGTACGTAGGATTTCTAGAGTTCAAACCATCAGAGTTTAATATAAATCCACAAGACTCGTAAAGCTTCCGTTGATTACCGTAAGATCCATGGTCAATTAAGGATTTCTCGGGTCCTTTCGGAAGACAACATTAAAAAAATAAAGACAAATCACTATTTAATTCAAACCTAACATTTACGCGAGCTTTTACTTTCTAAAACACGCAATGGTTCATAAGAAAGTCAAAAATATATTCTCATATCAAGTCGACTTTGTCAGCAAATCATCCCATCTTTTTTCACGAATAATGTTGCATTTCTCCCTCATTGTCACACAACACTCTAAATGCGTTACGTAGGACGCTATTCCGAATAACGCGTCACGCACACTCAAGGCTGAACGGTGAATAAATAATGCACAAATGCACATTTTACTTTCAAAACGAAATATTAAAATAGTTTTAAAATCTCTTAAGTACAACAAAACGAATCTTTTAAGTAAAAATGATTAAATTTCAAGACATCGACCAACCCTATTAAAAATTTAATTCCCTCATAGCATAACCTACTTAGCAGAAGCACGAGAAATTGAGGGTGCAAATAAGAACGGCGGAGCAGTTGTTCCTTTCGTAAACGCTCGCTGCCATTTTTAAGACACTTAAACATTTTTGACCTGTTATTGACACTGTTTCTATTAAAAAGAAAGAAAATTGCAACCCAGGGTTGAACCCGCACCTTTCGTACCCTAATCTCTCTCCCTTACCACTATACTACTACACCGACCCGCAAAAATTCCGAAAAATTTTACAAGGACAGTTTAACTGTTATTCGTAACTGTTACATCACTAACAGGTGATCTTAGCCCTTTCCATAACGTAAATTTAACCTGGCTTCAACATCGTTCTTTCTAAGACTATTCAAAAACGTATTATTTGCCTTATTGTAATTTAATCCTAGGTATATACTAAATCTATGGTGCCTAAAGGCTTGAGTACCAATCCTGGTCTCGACCGTTAAAAAAGGCAACGACCGTTTACGAAAAGGAAATAGGCAACAGGCGGCGCTTACCACGAGGGAGGAGGACGCACGCGCGTGTACTGTTCAACCTCGTCCCCAGGGCGCTTGCCAGGGAAAAGCGCGCTGAGGACGAGGTTGTGTACTGCTTTATCGCACGCAGCACTTATCTCGCATCCTATGGAAAAGAACTGCTGTTAACTTCATTCATCCCAGTGAATGGACAAAAAGAGAGAGGTGAAGGCCCACTCGTCTTAACAAAGTCTTTTCCTCCTCTATGGGCGAGAAGGATCTCCAGGGGACTTCTGTTTAGAAAGACTAGGGCTTCTATAAAGAGGCCGGGTGATATCCTTTCTGCAATGGGTATCTGCAAGAGTTCCTCCATTATTTACACGTTATTTACTTCAGATCTGGTCTCTTCAGCTGCTACTGGAGACTCTTCCTTTGTCTTGTCATCCACAGAGGGTACTAAATCAGAAGGCGCCGAGTGTTCTTTCTCACCTTCTGACGGAGCTACTTTAGGACTATCTTCTCCTAAGGATCCTTTATCAGAGGGCCCGTGTTCCGAAGGCTGTTCATCAGAAGGCCCCTGTTCTGAAGGCACCTCGTTTGAAGGTCCCCGTTCTGAAGGAAGTTCGTTCGATGGCTCCTGTTCTGAAGGCGCTTCGTTCGAAGGTTCCTGTTCTGAAGGCACCTCGTTTGAAGGCCCCCGTTCTGAAGGCACCTCGTTCGAAGGCTCCTGTTCTGAAGGCGCTTCGTTCAAAGGCTCCTGTTCTGAAGGCGCCTCAGCAGAAGGCCCGAAATCTGAAGACGCCTCGTTCAAAGGCTTCTGCTCGGAGCCCTCCTTTGCTGCCTCTCCACTTTGTTCTTGATCATTCTCAGGAGGCCCCCGCTCTTTTTCTCCCTCCTCCTCATCTTGCACGATTTTCTTTTCACTTTCATCATTTTCCGCTGACGCAGTTTCCTGTTCCTTGGAAGGTTCCGTGTATGTTGCCTCCTCAGTGGAAGTACCATCTGCTGGTTGACTCACCTCATCAGCCTTAGGCTGTCTCTCAGGTTGATCTTCTTCTGGTGAATCATTTCCGCCTTCTTCAGCACTAGAGGAAGCAGGTTCATTCGTCTCTTCCTTTCTTTCCTCGTTGTCACCCTGCTCCACCTGTCCGTCACTTGATTCAGGAACCATGTCACGTTGCTGCTCGTTTTCCGTAGCTTCCTGCTCCTCTCTTGTATCATCGCCTCCTTTTTCTGCTTCTTCGTCCCTATCTTGTTTGTCCTGAGACTGCTCAGCACTGCCTTTGTCAGGTTGTGGATCTTCGCCGATATCTTGATTATTCTGTTCAGCATCCTCTGGTTCATTTCCCTTCGCTCTCTGATCCAGAAACTCTTTGATTTCATCCACAATCTCCCTTGATATTTGATTCATAGGAACAAGTGTGAGGTCAACTATTGACTTATTAAGCTTAACTGCTTCGAACAGTCTTCTTCCTCCGTTATCGCCAATCTTGTTCCCTTCTAAATCAACAGATCGCAGGCTCTTGCACCTCTGCAGTCCTTCAGCAATAACGATCGCTTCCGCGTCTCCAATCTTGTTAAAATCAAGAGACAAGTTTTCTATCGAGGTATTAGACGACAGAGCTTTGCTAATCTTCTGCCATCCTTCAAGTTGAATCGAGTTACCGCTGATCGTAAGAATTGTGATACTGTTGTTATTCTCAATCAGTCTTGCAATGTGTTGAGCGCCATCTTGTGTTAGACCGCAGTCTCCCAGGTCCAAGTTCATCAGTGATGGGCTTGGGTTTTCAAGTATAGCTTCTATTATGACTTGCACTCCCTTGTCAGCTAAAGGATTTGCGTGCAATCTACAACACGATAAAAAAAAACGTTATAACGATGCTAACAATACTGCGAATTCGTCAAAAAAACTGCATTTTTTATTTTGACGGTCAACGGTGACTGTAATGTTGAAAGAGTTTCTAACGGTGCTGTGAGTTCGTAAAAAATGCGCTTCACGATCACTAAGGCCTCGCACGGGTTGGTCATTTGGCAAAGACAACGCGAGATTTTGTTTGTGACTGTTGCCTCAGGACCACGCACTATAACGTCAGCGAACGCAACTGAAGTTAAAACAAGCGCTCTCCTACGATTTCCGGGCTGTCGTGCCATATTTTAAGGGGCAATACCTTTGCTTAATCTACTCTCTTTGCAAACAGCAATTTAAACAAGAATAACATTGAATTAAACTGTACAGAACACTACTCACAAGAGCATTTTAAGCGACTTGTTTTCCCTGATGATCTCAGCCACGTGTTTAGCACCGTCAGGTCCAATGCTGTTTACACTTAGGTTCAGCATCTACGAGGACAAATATTTCCTTTACAATAATTCAACCAAAAAGTAATTCCATGCAAAACAAATCTGCAAAACATGCTCGACCGTTGATAGAGTGGTACATTTGGGTGTCATTCGCGTAGAAACATCCACTGTACAAAGCGCCATCATCATTTTAACGAATCCTTTAACAGGATACAAAAAAAAAGTGTATAAAAACACTGTTGTCAATGGGGTCCTGTAAAAAATAAACAACTAAAAGATAAAAATATAAAAACTGTGGGATACGATAGTAGACTTAATGACTATGGCTATAAGATAAAATGCTAAAAGGCTATAACTATTTACGTCAAGTAATTCAAACATTAATTCGTTTGCCGTGGGAGTAAAGATCCTTTCAGACTTAATTTGACATTCATTTACTCTAACTAGTGCGGTCTCAGTTAAATGATGTTACTGGTGTATTCAGTTGTATTAACTGCGATCCTTACTTTCACATGTGAATTCTTCAGAGGATCCACTAGAATCTCCAGGGAGGAGTCATCAGCTCCGGTATTTCGAAGAATAAAAGATCCGAGCTCTTCTCTAGCATCTAAAATTTTGGAAACTTCTTCAAACTAGAAATCACAGAAATAAGAAATAAATCATTCTTTGCACTTCCAAAAGCAGTTATGGCGAAACAGAGCATCAAAAAACAGTTTCTAGTGCAAGCACCCAGAGTCTTGATTCAAAGGTCATACTTTGGGATTTCACTCGTCCACCAAGAGAACTAAGCGGGATTTTCGACCTTAGTTTCTTTGACTCACTCACTTACTGATGAGGAAATCAATTTTGAGGAGGTGTAAAGTTGTTCTTCCTCTAAGTCTGTGGACAAATTCCTTTAACCTTGACTCCTCAAATAAAATCTCTTCAGCAGCACTTTCACGTGGTTGGGTAATTGCTTGTTTTGGTTCGCGATCAAAACATTTCCAAAAGTAGAAAAGCTCTGGACTGACCACTGCTGCCTGATGGTCAAGCAACGCTTCACTTTCACGGACTTCCTCACTCTAGAGTGGAATTTTTACAGGTAAACTACCAGACAGTGGTAAAAAGACACAACTTAAATTTACCTGATCTTTAGTCAGTTCAACATCAGCTATGTCAATGTCCTCTTTCCCTTCTAAAAGGGTCTGGACCAAGCCCTCATGCTTGGCTCCAGGCTTCACTCCAACAGCTTTTAAGGCTTGGTCAGGCAACTGACCGGTGGAGACTAAGTCGGGGTCACTACCAGGATCATGACTTGTTATCTTGACAAGCTTCTTTTTCTTCTTCTTTGAATCACCATCTGTTGATAAACATGTAAGTTCATCGTTGTTAACCATTTACAAATGTTTCCAGAAATTCCGGTTGGAAAGTAGTAAATAAGACACGACTTTCGGGTCGTTTCAATGGCAAATTTCCGGGAACAACGGAGCTTCTTGAAGAGTAGTTCTGTTATCACAGGAGGAATGTTTCAAACGGAAATTCGTGTTTCATTTCTTCAAAGTTATCTTTGATACCAGTTTCAGGCGTTCGCGGCCATTTTTACTAAATAAAACTGATTTGTGCAAAAATGGTAAAAGCGATTCCGGGACGAAATTTACCAGTCTTGAATTTTGCTTATCATTTGCCCAAGCCGTGAACCGACCAGTTTGCTCAAGTAAAGGGGGTAATCAACCCATGAGTCCCTCAGTTTGTTTTATTAGCAGTGATTTCATCAGTGATAAAAATCTAATGAAGCAGTGATATCATTAGTCAGATGTAAAACAGTGATCTGTAGTCCAGCTATTAACAACAAAGAGTCTTGGATATACCTCAACGACTGGCAAATTACAAACTAATAAAGTTACCATGCGTTTCTTAAATTGTCAGATAGAGTTCCAAGATTGTGCGCAAAATGATCGCATGTCCATCGTACAATTTTAGATGAACCTTCGAAATCTTCGGAAAATGATCGGTTCCTTTCCTACCTGATTTCTCCTCGTCTTCGCTGTCACTGCTCTCACTCTCACTGCTGCTGCTACTACTGCTGCTGCTGCTGTCATCCGGCTCAGGAGATCTGACAGTTTCTTCAGCATCAATTCCGTCTTTGTTTTCCTCCTCGTCCGCCTTCGCTCCGCTCTCCTCAGTCTCATCAGGGACTTCTTCCTCTTTATCTACCGTGGATTCTTCGTGGTTTTGTGTTTGTTCTTCTTCTGGAACTTCATCTTTTTCGTCTTCAAACACAGTGACGTCTTCATCAAATGAGACATTCTTGCTCTGCTTCCCCTCTGAGCTTGCTGCACTACCTGGCCGATTAGAAGACTGTAGGGAAAGCAGACTGCAATGTTCAGTAAAGTTTTTGCCAATAAAGAAGAACTGAGAAAGATGTTTTTTTGCAGTCAATGACACAAGCAGCTCGAAAGAAAAAAACCGAGTATTCCATTGAAATTGAATCTAAGACCTTCTGGTTACTAGTCCAGATGCTCTACCACTAAGCTACAGGAGACCCATGGGAGCTAAGGATACTACTCTAGGTTCATGTGACTAAGATTCTTCATACTGCTAGAACTGGAATTATACTGGATGAGTTAAGAAGAACCGGTTCTTAATTATCAATTCACTACAGTAAAAAACGACACGCCTGTGTATAATAGAGTTATTCTAAGGCAATAATGCAACCCTCCAAGTTGCGACCATTTCAGTCGCCATGGCGCACAAAATTTTGTAACTGGCGACTTGATTTGGAAAATAGTCGCCAAGTTATAGGTTCGTAAAGAAACAAAAATAAAATGATAATCACTTCTACTGAAATATGAAGAACATTAATGAAGGGCTTAGTTCATAGAAAAACCTGTCCTCGTGAGTAAAATGTTTTTCTATTATATTTTCTATTGTCTTTTTTCTATTCTATAAAGTAAGGTTGCCACCATCAAGGCACTCCAAGGATTATGTTGCGAGAGCCACAGATCATAAAAATAAGAAGCCCTGTATCAAATAATTATACATTGTTACAAAAAAACATCACACACCATTCTTTATTTTCATACTCATCGTTTTACCATCTCCGCCCACAAACATAACATAACTCTTACTTCATCTTGTCTGCCATCTGTTTCCTCCTCCACTTCATCAACTTCATCAGCTTCTTCCTGCTTTCCTGGCTGTTTATCTTCTGTTTCATCCTGAATCTCCTCCTCAGGTTCTTCCTCCTTGTCGGACCCCTGATCGGACTTCTCAGACTTTTTATCGGACCCCTTGTCAGACTCATTATCGGACTTATTAGACTCCTTGTCGGACTCGTTATCAGACTTATCAGACTCGTCATCGGACTCCTTATCAGACTTCTTGTCGGACTCCTTATCGGACTCCTTGTCTGGCTCTTCACCGTCACCGTTTTCTTTTTCTTTCTCCTCATCAGACTCAAAATCCTCCTTGTAGTCTTCATTATTTTTCGCCTCGTTGTTTTCGTTGTCCGTCTCCTCTTTTGGTCCACTCTCGCTTTCTTTTTCTTTGTCCTTTTCCGGACTTTCTTCGAATTCATCATCGTCGTATTTGTCGGCTCCTGACTCTTCCGCCGCCTCAGCTACTTCACCTGATGACCAAGTTATTAAAACTAATTCTCAAACTCATTAAAAATTCATAAAGAAAATACAAAGGAAATTAATGTTTAACGAGTCTTTGGAAATCAGATGAAAAACTGCTCATTTTTGCATCCTTGATTTCTCCTTCTAACATCATTTTGTTTGAGAAGTAATATCAAGCATTCGAAACAGTGTTTCATCACCAGATGAAGCACCTCGAAGTTCGTCAAAAATACTCCGCTGCGCGTCATATTTTCTCAGTGTTGAATCTGGTGATGAAACACTGCGTCTCATGCTTGATATATGACTTAATCGTCTTACTCTAAAAAAGAGGTCAAACGTCAAGTGAACGATTAAAAAGAGACAGTACCAGATTAGAGTACTGCTCATTGTCTTTTACTCTTTCACATGCATGAAAAAAGAACCAACCTCACCAGCACAACAAGACTCCGAGATTCGTGAGGTTTCGCAAGACACGTAGTTCTAGTACTAGAGAGATTGCTTTCAAAGAAATCATTTGAGAAAATGCTACTATTATAAATGACGAAACGTTTTTGCGAACGGAAGTTGAATGTTTAAATTAATTTACCTTCTTTGTCGGCTTGTTCCGGGTTATCCGGTGCCGCTCCGGTTGCATCGTCCTCTTCAATAGTTACTTCCTCTTCCGGCTTACCACTATCGTCGTCACGGGGAGTCTGGGTACTATTGTCCACCATATCCCCATCTACGAAAAAAGAACCCTCGGTTAACCTTTTCTTGGCTAACAAAAAAAGTCGCACCACTACAAAAACAAATTACCCAAGTTCTCCTTCTTCTTATCAAGCTCGAAATCAGAAGAAACCTAGGCATCATTCCTCAATATCATTTATCGACCATTGATCTATTGGTTAAGTACCATAATTTTCAAAAAATATGGTTATTTCACTTCAAGATCACCCATGACCTTTTAAAAATATCCAGAAAATAAAATGTTCAAATAACTAAGGAAACTGCGAGAACACAAGTGTGATGGACAATTATAAGCTTTACGGGTTGTATTCATCTCAGTCCTGACATTTAAATTTAAGCTAAAAATATTTTACTTTGAAAATAACTTCAAAATATATTTTGAAACTAGAGTATTCGGTACAGTTTAATGTTGGTCATTTAGAGAATGAAGGCCAATAAACCTCAGTCTGGTGATAAACAAGACTAAAAAACTTCACCGTAGCGAGCTTTAAGTTGCAGCAGTCACTTTGTTATATTATTACATACTGCTATACCGTTATTTATCCTTATGCGATAAGTTTTCAAAAATCAAACTTTTAAATTTAGCAACTCATAATCTATTTATAGTTTTATATTTCTTTTGCACTTACGAGAGAGTATTTTAAAACTGTTACTGGCAGGGTATGCTTTAACTCTCAGGCTCCGTGAATCTGCAATGTATTTTAACCTTATTTACTTTTTGTCATTGTATTATTTTGTTTTCCTTGAAGCTTTTTAATTCCGATTTACGAAATGCAAGTTTCTGGCACACGTCACCAAAGCTTTCTGTAGTTTCAAGCTTTAGCTACATGTGATTCTAGTTGTTGAATACAACAATAATTAGGTGTACCCTTATGAGTTTCTGGTGTAAATCAAATAACCAGCTTTATTGGGTAAAAATGAAAAATCATAGCCAGCAAATACAGCCGTCTCCCCTAGCTTCTTGCCGCTAGGGACGTCTGCGCCTCAACCACAAAAATCCACTAATGATGACGTAAAATCTGTCCAGAAAACACTCAGGAGCTATTATTGGTCGACGGCAGTATTCGCAAGCTAGAAAATTCACAATTTATGAACTGGCCAGAAGCTGTTTTTCCTTGTTTTCTTTTTTTTTTCTAAACAAGAAATACTTTTGAAAAATGAATGGACTGGATGCTAGACTAAACCCTTTCAACGGCCTCGTCATTAAAGTAACTGACATCACTCTGTGAACAAGATTTATGCTGGTCTATCTCCGGGTTACCTTCCTTGTGTAAGGAAACCATTCAAAGCAAAATAATTCTTAATATCAATATGCATATTCTCCACTTTGTTCTCCATACATTTCTTATGGTACTTCTTGAAAGAATTTGCTCAATCATCAAGATGTTTCATTAATGATTCCATTCATTCTCATGACCTGTATTTTTGATCAGTCACCATTATTGTTCGGAGAAATGAGAAACTGCTCAAGGAAAAGGGTGAAAAAAAGTCTAACTGTCCTGCTAACAAGCAAATAGGCCCTCTGCAGCTAATCATTCTCGTGGTACAAAACCACCATGCTGGGGAGCATGCACAAGAGTTGCACTGGAACAACACAAACAAAGGAACTGATTTCCGTTTTAATCCTTTAGGTCCGAAGAGTGACCAACATCAATTTTCTCCTAACAACATTAGCAGATCATCAAGAGTAAAAGTTATGAGATTTACTAAATTGATTACCAAAGGGAGAATGCTTTGATCTTAAACCAAATTCTCTTAACTATTCTTGAAGGAAAAGTATGGAGATCAGTCTGGAGAATTTGTATGTGGATCTTGTGGCTTAAAGGGTTAAATGAAGCAAGCTCTTTGTTTTTTCTGCCCCAGTACACTCCTTGCTCTTCAACACGGTAGTATTGTACCACATGAATGGCTAGCTGCAACAGCCAGGTCTGTTGAATATGATCACAGCTAAAACAACTAAACTACCAAACAGAGGATAAGTATTGGAAAGGATTTAAGGATAGAAATCATACAAGCAAAAGCCTGTAGGTTGTACCTTTCTGTTGATCTGCATCATCATCGCCTGGTGGCTTGATTTTTGTTATGATGACATCAAACACCTGCCCTTCCTCTTCTCCTTCTTCCTGCTCTTGTTCATTCACAGCCTAAAAAAAATAAAACTTTATAAGCTGGGGAGAAGGCCATATGTCAAGTGGATTGAGAATCATTATCAGCATCACAATCATCATTACATTAATCAGTGCCATCACCATCATCATCATCATCATCATTATTATCATCATAATCACAATAATAAAAAATAAAAAGAATAATAAAAAAGAATATTTTATTATCACCATCAACATCATCATCACCATCTGCAACTTGCATTGAATATTCACACCAGAGACTACCTAGGGCCAGTTGGATAAAGTCGACTCTCTCCCACCAGAAGCCTCGTAAAAACATACCCCTCACTAAAATGGACACCTAAGGTTGGTCCCTGCCTTTCTGTACGACTTTTAGTTGATCCTCTATAAGCTGGACACCTCTAGAAGATGGACACATAGAGACTGCAGTCCCAAAGTTGTCCACCTTAGAGAGTATAGACTGTAAAATGTAACAACGGATCTGACTGCCAATACCTGGCATTCAAATAAAAAGTTTGAGTGGGCTTAACATCAGACGTCCTACATCAGAAGCCCTACATTAAAATTTATGCAAATGGCCCCTTACACTAAGAGTAGGCTCTCGTTTACCCCAGTTATAGTTTAGGGACAGAAATACACGAGCATGCATGGCAAGTGCCATGCACAAGGAAGCATGGTGACAAAATGTAGGACCACTGATAGTTTAATGGCCCCTCGGCATGCTTCAAGTTTATGTTTCGCCTTTATTTTATTAATGATGGCCTAAGATAAAAAGCTTCCACTTGCCTCTGTCAGAAAGGTTTTGTTTCTCTCATCTTCTTCATTACCCCGGCTTGCTCTATGTTTACTTTTGTAACCTTTATGAGCTGATGCAATTTGACACCTGTAACAAGGTGCAGCGCCCTCTACCATAACAAACTGAAAATGGCCATTCTTTCCTCCCAGAATGTGGCTAGGTTTATGTTTGTACTCACAGCATGAGCTTAAACGAATGTCTTGCATGCCATCAATGTAAAATGTCAGGCCAAATGGGGCTCCTCTGTGCCGCCGTGAAATGAATGTGAAGATTGCTACAAATGGAAAAGTAGCACCGGATTGCTATACAACAAATTTTATCTACAGTCCAACCCATTACATACAGACAATAAGGGGATCATAGACAGTGTCCATATAAAGTTTGTTGAATTTTGAGAAAAATGTAAGGCTCCTTTCCCCAGGAACAAAGCAAACTGTCCATAATACAGGTTTTTTGACCATGCCAACAAAGTATTGTCAAAGAATAATAATACACTGAGAAAAAGACCAGATACAGTTTACCTCACATTCATTTGAAATTCAACTAAAAATGGTTTTAAATTAGTTTGATTGTTAATTTCCATTGAGCAAAATTAGAACTACACTAAAATCAACCTAAATTTCAGTTTGAACTACCTACATGTACGTTATGTTATTAAACATGAACCTATGTAATCATTATTTGCTGTAATAACAAGTATGCATTAATACAGTAACTGGGAATGAACAGGAGTGGAATAAAATGATTGCACTTTCATTTATTCTGCCTCCCTGATTTAGCCTTAATCAACTACTTATCCTCACTAGACTGACTGTAAGTACACACACAGAAAAAATATTGGATATACAGTAATATATTATATACTGTAAGATATTGGTCCAAGGATAAGAGCAAATAAAAGACATCTTGAAGACTTAAACAATACTTTTAAAAAGCATGTAAAATTTAACATTAATTATTTAATCACACAAATTCCAAAAAGTGAAAGTGCCAAAAAAGCACACACATCACAAACATTAGCATTGCATGGTCTGCCGAATTATGGTACTGCCTAGCAATTAAAAGACTGCAAATGGGGCGCATTGAACGCCTGTGTGGCTTCTAGTCCATGGTTACCACTAGATTAAATAGCAGGTCTTACTGTTTGGTGGTAGAAGTTCCCGGAAGACACAAAGAGTACTGCCTCCACAGTGTTGCTGTAAAACCATTACTTCTGACAGTCTGTCTTCTGGGAACATGCTGTTAGTAAGAATAAGGCTTGGACCAAGAAATTTCATTGTCACCTCTGCCATGGACTGAAGCTAAAGAAAACAAAAAAACATTGCATATTATTAACATCTGAGTTTTCCTAAACTGTATTACTCTGTTTAACATTCAAGACCTATTACCCTTGATAATAGCACAGTGCAAAAATTAATGACATCAGACTGACTTATATTTGCAATGTATGACTTATACCTTTATTGTCATTTGAAAGACGAAAGTCTGACAAACATGGCATTTTAATGACAAAAGACAAACAAATCTGAGGATTTTGCTGAGTGTTAATTTTCAATTTGTTGTCAGAATTTCAGCTCTTTAAAGTAATTGTGTGCATTGCCATTGCCAGGTAGTAAAAAATTATTACTCTCATAATCTTAACTGTTGACCTTCATCATTAATATTTGTTGCTTATGCAGACATTTCAAAAACATTTGAGGTAGGCAACAGGTTTGAGTACTGTAGAATAACCAATTATTTCATCATTAAGGTAGAGGGAAAGCAGCAGCTGCAACTTATTCTTCAAGCAGCCAATGCCTTTTTTCAGCCACCATTGCTTGTTGACAGCACTGCAGGTGAAATTCACTATTTTAGAGATTTTGGTTTTGTAGCTTTGCTGTATTTTTGAACCACCAAAACACGTATCATAAAAATGTCTGCTCCAATAATTTATTTGCTGATTATTATTTTTCAGACCATGAACAAACAAAGGGATGATTACCTGTACTCTGCGAGCAACTGCTGGTTCTGTTCTGGCCAGATAGTGAAACTAAAACAGAGTAAGTAATACAGTTAATGTGAGACTTACAACTTTAATGCAGAACAGTAAATAACATAAACCTCCACTTATAAGACCCATCCCCTGTTATAGGCCTATCCACCTGTAAATGAAAAATACATCCAGTCAAAAGCCCCCCTGGATATAAGCCCACTTCTAGCTTGTACTGAAATAAATTCGATTTTTTTTACAGCATTCTTAAGCTTAATATAAAAAGTATTTTGATCAGTACTGCTAGGTAGTTAGTGTTTAGGCATTCCCGTTATAAATCCCCTAGATATATGCCCTCCTAAAAACCCTTAAGAAGTTGTATAAGCCCAGGGCTTATATTAAGCAATGCAGAAGTTTACAATACACAAATTTGCAAAGAGTAGCATACACCACATGCCAAGTACACTGCTGTGTCACTAGTACAAGCTAGTAAATGTATGCACAATTCAGTGAATATTTCATGTCAAACCAAAAATAATTCACTCACTTTCTGTGCAAGCAAACTCCTGCAAAAGACTTCTTGACATTCTGTATGAACTTGCAATGACGAAACAATGATCTTAGAGATACAGTGACCATTGCATTATTGCCATTTCAAACAAGTTTGACAACCTTAGAACTTTTTGCAATGACAGCAAAGAGATAGTGTATACCAAAAGGTGTGCTGCACAAATTCACAATTTTTGTTTTGATGATACGACCATTTCAGTGAAAAAACCAACAATTTGATGGAAAATATTAGATGAAAATGACATCCGCAGTTACACATGGAGAGGTTCAAATTTGAGTAAACAGCAGTTCATACCCTTTGGAGCTTAACTCCTCTCCTTGGTGTGCCAGCTGTTCTAGATCGGCGAGGAGTGCCTGAGGGGGGAGGTGCAGGGGCTGGATAGGTAGCAGGGTAGGCCCTTGTGTATGGCGAGGGTCCCAGCTCCTCTGTCTCATCCTTCAGGTAGCCATTTGTCTGTGAAGGGTTTTCCACCTATCATAAACAAAAATACACATGTTTATCATTATATGCACATGCTACTTTTCCTAGCTTATAAGCACCAGAGCTCTTGCAAGAACCAAAGGAAAGGGAAAGCCCCATAATCAACCCACTGACTCGAAAATTTAAAATACATGTAGATAATATTTCATATTTTATGTTGACGACTGACTGTGCATTTCATAGTATACTTAATCAAGCAACTGCAGATACTTCTTGCCCAGCATCCACCAGGATCTTGTCTGATTACTATCTTCTTCTTAAGCTGGAACTTTGCAATAGCTAGAGACTCACAGAATCCCTAGTTATATTTTCCCTAGAACTTATATTTTTCATAGTTTATAGAGTTTATACTTTTCTCTTTTATTCACTTTTAACCTAAATAAACCTGTAATATTTAATCAAAGGGCAAGTAATTAGTTTAACTATATACTGCCCTCTCCATTTATTCTTGTAACCTGAATTATTTAATTCTACAAATAGCATCTTCATTTTCAAATCTTGTAATACAATATAAATGGCTTGTAAAATAAATAAATGGAGGAAAAAAATAATATACTAAACTAATAAACTAAATTTATCGTTAAAAAGATAAAGCTAATACCCAAAACTTTCAATTATCTATTTGAAAAAAAGGCTACATGAGTGGCTACTGGTACATTGTATAATGTAGAGGACCAACGTTGCACTGTCTCTGTTGAATTGTGGTAGAGAATGCATTGTAACAATACTGACTGACTGCTGTCTACAGTGCAGTTTACTTTATCGTTACTTACCCTGTAGTAAAGCTTTTGTGTGTCATCATCATAGTATATTTCAGAGGGTTGTATTGGCCCCTCGTCCTCTGTAGTACTATCCTCAAGGACTGCTGGTGCAGTTGAAGGTCTTTCTCTGTATTTATCTTTCGCAGCTTTGCGCTGTAGATGAGCTGTCCTCTCTCTGGGTGAGAGTAATGGAAGAATATCTTCATCGCCCTTTCTTTTTCTCCCTTCCTGAAAATAAATATCAGACCATGAACAATGAAAAATTACAAAAAAAAAACCATCAAAGTGAAATGGCCTATAGTGCAATTAGAAATTATCATATAACTTTTAAAATGGATAGTCTGTTAGTCTAATACAAGTATTAAACCCGAATTTCATGTTGATGTTCAGATTGCTTTAATACATTTTGGTTCTTTTGAAATTATCTCATGTGAAACATTAGGAGCATTACTACAAATAAAGACATTTTCCGGGAAAAATTCATTACCCATTATTGGAACATGAATGAGAAATAAGTGAAATTGTAAAGAAAGAAAACCCCAATTCCCTTTCACCACTACACCCAAAATCATGCAATCACAGTGTTGTAAAATAGTTAGATCTTAAGAATAAAGTAGGACTGGAATAAGTCAAGAGGAAGACAGAGCTCAGGAGTTTTAAAAAGAGACAGTTTCTCACCTTTGATTCAGGTTCTGCTGTCTATGAGGATGGAAGAAAAACTCAGTTGAAAGATCAAAGAAGAAAAAGAAAGTTTAAAGAAGCAAAGACACAGAAAGAAGCAGAGTTCAAGATGGCTAATATAACATCTCTTAGCTTTATGACTACATGTAATACAGTGTAAGATGAAAGTATTAACAATCAAAGAAATATTCAACAAAAACTTATTTTTTGTTGCTAAAATTTGTTCGTCCAGAAATAAAAAAACAGGAAAAGACGGCTTCTTCTGACTAAATTAAGCAACATCCAAATGGCCATGATAACTGATTTCAGTTGGCCAAAAAATTTATGTACAACCATACATGTAGGTGAAAACTAGTAACAGCTATCATCAAGACCATACTACAGTGGCTTTAAAATACAGTACTAACTCTTATAAACATAGATTAAGTTAAATTTATACCCAATTTACTGGTAGCAAAAAAAACTAAGGTATCTCAGATATACGTTTTACGCTGCACAACGTTACTTCCTAATATTTTTGCACAGTATCAGTGGGCCTGACAAAAACATTAATTTGAGATTACTTTTTTATGTCCCAATTTTAATTAAAAATAAAAGGAACATTAATTTTATTACCTTGACTCTTCTAACCAGTTCCACTTTGTAGATATCATCCAACCTCTTTCTTATCTCATACTGTCGTACTCTCTAGCGTTAAAAAAAAAATACATCAAGCGGTTTAGAAACTTAGAAAAGTGGCCAAAGTCAGAATTCAACAAATTTGAAAACTTCCTCAAAATGTAAAATGCTAAAAAACAATTTACAAAAACACAAGTTTTGCGAAAGATCCTTCATTTGAATGGTCACAGCACAGGATAGCCTGAACTTCAGACGATTACTCTGATTCGTTTTTACTCCCTCAGTGACAAGTACTCCTGAGGAAGTAAAAATGACTCAGAGACGGAAGTATTTAATATCGTCAGAAATTCAGGCTAAGAATAGGATTTCATCCACAGACTCAAGAGTCAGAACTACATACTAATTAAATGGCAGTCGAGATTGTGAAACTATTGCTGAAGAGGTTTCATTTTTCGTCACCATACATGTAGGATTTCATCAATACAGACTCAAGAGTTAGTGCCACCTTAAAATGACACTACATCATTGTATACCTGCCAACTTTTTCATCAATATCCTGGGAGTGACTCAAGAGTTCCCGAAGAAGTCCGAAGTCTTCCGAAGACGCCACCTTAAAATGACACTATCCACAAAATCAGAGATCGCATCATTTATTCATTTTACTGGTTTTCGTTCTAAGGGTCTGAGTTAACATATTTTTGGGTAAAATAAGAATAAAACTCACACAATCAGAGAAAATTGGTCCGCAGGCGTGCTATATCGATTTTCATACATTGGCAGATTGTTTTTTACTCAAACTAGAGAAAGTGCTACATATACATAGATACAAATTCTTACCTCTACATCTAATGTCTTGTGTACAATTGCGGTTGCTAAAAGGTCACGCACATGTTTTCGGTGTTCCTTTTTTGCCATGTTTAGCCTGTATGTTTTCTCATCAATAATTTTCCCTCCCTTGGTGACCTGTGGGGTATAATGTTTAATAATCAAAAGACGGTTTTTATCCCCTCACCAGTGACACTTGCTGTTAATCCATTTTCACATGAGGTAACTTCAAATTTTTCTCTGTTGGTGATATCATGTCACAAAAAAAATTCATCATTCGTTCATCACTTTGTAAGTCTCGCCATACCCATGTTTTTATGTACTTGCGGTTGATGCATATTAACTGGCATCTATTTTCAATATGAGTAATAATATGAGGACTAGAAGAAAAAGATCTTGTACTGATAATCATATTTGTCATGGATGCTTTACATATGACTGTCTTTTTAATAATATTACACGTAATTACAAGTACATTTGTAACTATACATTTATATCTATATTATTTTTTAAAAAACACTTTACTTCTAAAAAAAAATTGGTAAATGTTGTCCATTCTTATCACAAAAAGGGCGCAATCCATTCAACCAAAATTCAGACTGGTCCGACCGGGAAAAGAGGACCACCTCAAAAGGTGGACCAGTTTTTTCGAAACTTTTCCGGATGGACCGAACCGATCCATTGAGTTTTGGACCGAAATTTCCGGAAATTTTGGTTGAATGGATCGTGCCCAAAATCTTACCAATCCAGATCTCTTTAAATGCCTTTTCATTCGAGAATTAGAAAAATATCCAGCAAGGTGTTTGTCCTGCAAGCTGTTGTATGAGGCTAACGGACTGCAAGGTAAAACAGAGATGATTGCTAATGTTTGTTAACAATTCAATAATAATTGTAAGTAGGTTTTACATTGTACAGTTCATGACACATTTTTGAGTCATCGATAAAATCTTTTTGTCGCAAACAAATACTAGTACTGTCATCACAGTCAGGTATCCACATAAATGCTAAGCTGAATCTATAATTCAAGCAAGAATCAACAAAGTTGCAGGTTTGAAGAATCTCATTGTAAAACAATAAAATAGTATAATTTGTGTTTGGCCAAAGTGAGCAATTTGACTCTCTCCATCAGATACATAGGTTGTAGACTTACATATGTGCATCCGTGATCATAGCATTTTAACATGTACATATTACAACAACCCTTAATTCATAATCTAAAAATATGTAAACCTCATCATCAACATCATTAACATCATTAACATCATCATCATCATCATCACTAGTATAATTATTATCTAACTAAACACATAGAATTAAAGAATACAAGTACTGTATCAGTACTGTATTAAGTTCATAAGTCAAGAATGAGAACTTAAGAATTTGTTTTTATAGGAGACATCACTCTTTTTCAAACAATGTTTTTGTTATTCAAATTTGTAACAGGCGAAACAAAAGAACCTTTTGGTACAAGAACCAATGCACTTCTGATTGGCCAGGGCTGTCATTAAGAGTCGGGGGCCAGGGATTTCCCACAGCTACAATAAATGTGACCCCACTACTTTCATAGGAAAACAGAAGAAAAATAGAACCAAAAGAAATCCCTAGATTGGACCTGTGACAGCCATAATTATGCATACAATATATAATAATATATTTGTTCACTTCACTCACAGAGGTGTTAATTCAGTGCAATAATTAGGGATTTTTTATTGTCTTCTAAGGGTAATTGTAAAAAATATAATTACAGTGAAACCTCTATTAAGCGGACACCCAGTCAAGCGGACACCCTCTTTTAAGTAGACACTAAGCCGGGTCCCGAAACGAACGTCTGATATTTCCCTTTATGATGAACCCCTATTCAGCGGACACCTCTATTAAGCGGACGCAGACACTAAAATAAGTTGTATTTGGCTAATTTCTATTGTTAAAAACCTCTATTAAGCGGACACTGGAATGAATTGACAATAGTAGTATTGGATTACGTCCTTGAACTATGGACTGAAGTCAGTTAGTGTTTTTGCATTTACAAACAAATTAAAGTTGGTAATGAAAGGTGATGAACTTGAATTCTGGATACCTTCTTTAACAATATGCAACATAAAGTACAGAGTAACCGTTGAATGTTGATCGTTACCAAACATTGCCCAATTTTTACAATCCTTTTTTAAGCGGACACCCTCTGTTAAGCAGACACTTGGGAAGGTCACGAAGGTGTCCGCTTAATAGAGGTTCCACTGTATTGTTGTCATCGTTTTTTTTTGCAATATATTTCATTGATTAGGATTCTTTCTGTTTTAGTGACATTTGCTAGTTTACCAAGGTTAGACTTGATAGTTTTACTTTCAGTATCTTCTGCAAGATGGTATATTTGCATTTCCCTATCTGCAAATAATGCCTATGGTAAAAATAATATATTGATCACATATCCCTCTTAAAAATTAAGAGACATTGTTTTGTTATTTAAACTGACCGGCCATATTGAGTCTAAACAAAACAAAATTTTAAAAAAAATACACCACGAGGTAAAGACTTAGAAAGGAGTACGGAAATCTAAATTCTCGATTTCTTACAGTCATCCACCGCCTCGCAATCCACGAGTCTGTCCTATTAAGAACCAGCTGTTTTGTTGCTCTGCGGCGATCGACTATAAAATACATCAAAGCATATGTAGTTGCAACAGCAGTTTCTATTATATAATCAAGCTTAATGATAAAATCGCCGATCACTTCGTTAACATGGAAATGGCAACCAAATGGTTAAATTCGAGGAGTTGTGTTACACTGTTCAAACACTGAAATACAAAGATTCAAATAACTCTAGCTAAAATTACAGAAAATTTGACAATGCTTGTTTTATTGACGAATAACATAAACTTAACTAAGGTAAATCGTATTAAAATATCGGATTGGAAATCCGTTCGTGAAAGCACCCCAACTCGCAGAGTCGATAAACTGATTTTCCTTTACAACAACTGAGGTTTTACTTAGCAACTAATTTTACTCTGGAAGCTTAACGTTCACATGAAACACGCAGCGAACAACATACATTAGAAGGACCGAGATTCTTTGAGCTACAATTAAAATAGGTTTTAGCCTTTCGGAGATTTGATATCCACGATTTTGATTAAACAAATACACTATAAGCTTCCTTATCAGTTAACCTAAATTTAGTTTTACACCAAATTTCAAATCATTCAAACACGAAACTGATCAGATCATGTGAGCTTATTCGTTGGCCGTCGAGGTACAGTGTAAGGATACGTACATTGAATGTGAGGCGGAATTGACAAAATTGAATTACAACTAACAGTTTATCCGTGACACTTAATACTTTTCGTACAAAATACCCGTTTGTCAATAAAGAAAGCTAGCTCAAAAACTTACCCTGGGTCTGCGTGACTCATGTTGATAATCTTTCCTTCGCTCAGATGTTCAGAAGTAGTTTGATGTAATCTTGCACATTCGCTGTCCTCCGCTTGCGCGCGCTTTGTGTGGTGTGAGTTTCGCCCTCAGCTCGGCGAATTGAAGCGATTTTCCGAAGTCAAACTGGAAGCCATAGAGACCAAAGACCTGTGTCTACTATCACATGTTGATATGATGAGATTTTAGCGAGTGATACTGGCTCTTGAATATATTTTACAGAGGTCTTGTTGTCAAGGAAAGGAGCAAAAGCGGAGCTGTCGCTAACACACACGTGACGTCACATTGTTACCCAGTCCTCCCGCACGCATGGGCTCCAGTAACAACTTTCTTCGCGCACTTGGCCAATATTCAGCAATTGCTAATGCATCAGTCAATTCCACCTGCGCCCAGCCCCCCCCCGGGCTACTGGGGGGCATTTACCCGCCTTGTCAGTCCCGGGGGTGGGGCATTTGCAAATTTTGCACTGCCCGGGGGCCGGGTATTTGCCAACCCCCGGGCCATTCCCGAGCTTTTGACACGCACGCAGTTTCCTATCAGAATATAACTACACAGAAGGTTTTACTGGAAAAAAAAAGCTGATTGGCTCATCTGTCAAGGACAGGAATAAATTGTAGAAGGTTGTAAAGGCATGTTCACGATTTTACATGTATGTATGCATTTCTTCATTGCTTATCAAGCCAGAATTACATAGCGAAATTGGAGCTATCGATGTGAATCAACGTTTTTTTGTTATTGAATAAACTTTCTGTTGATATCATTTGAAGAACACCCTTTCATATTTATAAAACTATTCATAACAAATAACTTTACAGCGCTCTGTTAATTTTAATGTCAATACTTTTATATCAATACTAAAACCATAAACTGGTGCATGTCGTCGCGACGTGAAGTCTTAGTTAGAATCCTAGCGCTATTATACAAAGGAAGACGTTAATTGAAACAAAAAATCGCACATTAAAATGGCACTATTGGACTGTGCGATCAATAAAAAGTGTTGCACTGTTGACGGAGGACGGGGCATTTGCCCTCTTTTTTCGTCCCCACCCCGGGGGATTTGCCAGCTCAAGAGTCCCCACCCCCGGGAATTTGCCATCCAAGGCAAAAAAAATGCTAATTCCCGGGGGTCAGCCCGGGGGGGGCCTGGGCGCAGGCGGAATTGACTGATGCATAAACCGACCTTAGAAAAAAAACTGTTCTGACTCAGTTACACTCGCACGTATCCCTATGCCCTATCACTGTCCTGTACGTCAGCTATATCAAAAGTTCGGATCGGAATTCAGAAAACAAAAAACTGAACGAAACGTCCCCGGGTGGGCTCGAACCACCAACCTTTCGGTATCATGAACAAGAATAACAGCCGAACGCGCTAACCGATTGCGCCACGGAGACGTATACAGCTAAAAACCGTAGGAACCCTTCAAAGAAATCACCTATCCAGGTTAATTTTATTTCCCTCCGCTAAAAAGGATCCCGATGTAGGTACAGACGGACTACTTGGTGTCCTACCCCCGGGAGGGGAATACTCCCTATAATGGCCTATACGGGGAGGCTGCGCCTGAAATGGGTATCTTTTTCAGGCTTTCCTTGTACGTTTCTGAAAAACTGCCCACCTACCCCTCCCCTAAGCCACCATTTTGCCCTAAGTGAGAAGTATGGCTTAGGGGAGGGGTAGGTGGTAGTTTCCCAGAAAGGTATAAAGATCCGGGAAATCTGTCATTTGGGTCTGTGAAAGGGCCCAAAAAGGCTAACAGATGGATTCTATGGCTTTATAAAGTGGGGAAAAAGTTATACTTTTATGATTGATTCCTATTTAAAACATGGATAGTGCATTTACAGCATTTAAAAGGGATGCAAAGTTCTAAACAAGGTATGTGACAGGGGTACCATTTGTCAATAGAAGGTATACGAAAGGGGTACCTTTTTCGTGTAAAGTGGTATGTAAAAGGGTAAGGGGTTAGACCTCGGGGCAGAGCCTCCCCGTATAAACATTAGTTCAGTGTCGGCTCCGACCCGACAAACGAAAAATTGACCGGGGGACAACGGCAGTTCCCAACTCAAGCCACCGGGGTCCGTTTTAGGGGGCGCTTTCATCTCAAAGAAGAGTCCATTAAAGGAGAAAATTAAATGGCGTGGGAGAATCTCTGATTTACAAGCGTCGTTCAAAAAAAGCTTTATTGCAAAGTTAGCGGGGTAGATCAATCACCGATTTATCAGATCAGTATTTTTGAAAATGAAAGCTTGACGTTGGTTAGTAAGGTGTTGGTTGCTATGGGCAGCCTGTAGCCAGTCACGATAAGTGTCCCCGGTGGCCTTCGTACCGAGATATATAAAATGTCAAAAAGTCCACAGCAACAAACCAATGAGTGGTGCCGGATCTCCAAGTTGTAGACCTGGATCAGTGCGGTATGAAGAATATATATGAAATGTCAAACTGATCGTTACGGCAGGACGATGCAGAAGTAATCAAAAGAAAATATTTTTTTGTTTTATTCTTTTGTTTACTCCTTCATCGCCTTGCCGTAACGATCAGTTTGCTGTTTCATATATATTCTTCATACCGAGCCCCGTCCGGGAGTGCGAGGTGTGATCGATATATAAGATCACATCTTCGGGTAGGCTGTTCCTCCACCTCGACATGACACCAAATGCTAAAAACCCCTCAAAGTTCTGAAGTAGGGACGCTACGGGGACGTTAAGAACACTAAAACCGAAACTCACATATAGCTTTGTTAATTTTATTTCACGTTAATAAATAAAATTTACCATATTTTGGGTGGAATATCTTCCACTCTCTAACTTTTTATATAATTATTACAAATGTACTGAAACAAACAAAATCGATTTTTATCTACACGTAAAAAATACAATTTGCCAAGTTGGACGGAATATTTTTTCATTCTCTTTATATCTAACAAACATATAAGCCTCGTCCCCAGTGCGTTTAATTTTCCCGGCAGGGAAAAGCGCCCTTGGGACGAGGTTGATGTATAAACACACAAATACGAAAGCAATTTGCATTAATTTGAAATGGATTTTCAATTTTAGTTTAATAAAAATGCATATTTAACATGTCTTTGCCGTTTTAGAATGAAAGATTCTTATTTAAGTAGACAACAATTCACAAATTATATTCGGATTTTAGTTTAAAAAAGGGTAACAAAGAATTTATATAAATTCTTGAAACAAATGAAAGAAAGAGAATAGTTCTATTCTTTTACTGTCAGATGTTTGCTGCTTGGAACATTTCATCCCCATTTCGTTGAAAAAAAGGAAAGAACGACGTGAAAAACAAAGCCATAAAAATTTAAAAAGGCGTTTTTACAAAAGTATGTAAAACTAAATTACTTAACCAGATTTTTAATAATAAAACTCAATAGTAACAGTTGACGCACGCTTTGTTGTATGTGCAAAAACTTTTACCATTGAGAGATTAAAACTAGAATTTGGGAATTTCAAAATGGTTTGAAGATTGAAAAGAATCGGCCGAGCTAATTGATTGCTTATTTTAATGCATTAAGATATGCCAATATAGAAAATTAGCTTTTGGATTTGAAATTAAAAATTGTTGATATCATTTACTTATAGTTTCATAATAATTCCCTTTGTCTAGATAGTTCAAATGTCATTATTGCAATTAGTTTAAGTAAACTGAATATCTTTTTACAGACTTTTGCCTGCAATACAGTTTTCAAATTTTATATGGAAATTTCTCTAGCAGCACTGGTTTGGTCCAGTCGCTAACAGTCACGTGTTTTGCAGTGGAGGCAGTTACACAGTTATTGTTTTCTGTACTTTGCAATGACAAGCATTGGTTTGACTGGTTCCCCGAATACCTATTGGCAAAGAAACAAACACTTTATTACTTCAGACTACGAGTTTTAGCGACAATGTCGTAGTAGCGTGAGCAAGTTATCAAATGTTAAAAGTTTTATCATTGTGCCATCGGAAGAAGGCTTAACCTCCTTCAGTATAAATGACCGTACCAACTTTTTAGGTGAAAAAAAGTAAGATGAAGCTCCCCTGGGTGTCTTTTTCTTTAGAACACGCACAAAAACTTTGACTTGAATCTCGTACTCGTACTCGGTCTCGTCCTCAAATATAAAGCTCTCTCATACCGAGAGAACTGTCGTCATTTCCATGGGCATTTGTATGCATAATTTTTGAAAAGGCAAAAGACAAATTTCCCCAAAACACGTCCCACAGTGCAGTTCAACACAAGCCGACCCAGTCTCTCAGATAACCTCAAAATGTCCAATAAAGAAAAAGAAAATAAGTTAAAGAATTCATTTCTCACCGTTTAGTTGCATGCTTCTGTGATGTATGCACTTCTTTCTTCCTCACGGCTTCTAGGGCCTGAGCGTCTAATGTAGCCCACTACAGACACAATCAGAAAGAGAGAGGAATATCATGAAAGTTTCCTGTTTTGGTCTTTCCTGGTTGGCACAAATTTCAAATCAAATATGATAATGCTGCAGCAAACTTCTGCAACTATCTTTTCCTCTGGCAAGGTTTGTCATGCTATACAAGGTGGTTCTAACTTTTGAGTCTGTGAATGAAATCCTAAAGTGTGACCATTCAAATGAAAGCTAGTGAGCAGTACTTTATTGCGGTACTGTTAAAAATATCATATATAGAATGTGGTTCTAAGGATGGCATCATTGTTATTATCTTAACCAATTTCATAACATCTAAACACGCAATAGCTTGCTCCTGGAGTGCTGATAGTAGGGAGCAGCGCGGAGTAAAGAACGAGAGGGAAAAAAAAAAAAAGGGGCGGGGCGCCTGGAACAGGCTAATCACGCACTCATCACTGATTACATGGCATGCGACAATTCAGAGGTGATCTTAGTAATGTAATCCGCTACTTATGGGCTTTTCTGACCAGCTTCATTCAAACATGCTGCGACATAAATATTGGATATCTGGTCATGAGCTTACCATAAGCGGTCGAGAAGACACTTCTACTGCTGCATCTTTAGTCATGTCAACTGCATCCTTCTTCAGCAATTTATTGTTCAATCTTTGGATCTCCCTTTTCAACTCAGCATTTTCCTGCCTCTTTGAAGCAATCCTCTTCTCGTACAGCGTGTTATTTTCACGCGAGGCTTTCAGAGCCTGCTTTAACCATTTCATCTCGTTTGTTCTTCTTTCTTTGTACTGTCTGCTATATTGCTCCATCTCTCGTTTATCACACTCAAGCTTGGACACCTGAATACTGGACTCCTTAATCTTCACATTCAAGTCCTGGATAATCTTTGTTTTACCTTTAACGTCTTCCAAAGCAGAATTTATTTGTTCCTGTTGAACGTTCCTTTCTTTGTCTGCCGCAATTTTTTGATCCTCCAGTCGAGTGGCAGCAGCAGTAACTTCCCTTCGGAGTTTTGCCTTTTCATTGTGTGCTTGAGAAAGCTCAGCAGAAACCAACTGCAACTTGCCTTGTGTAGGTTCTTCGTTAAACTTCATTTTCTGGATCTCTCGGGTTCGCTGCGTCAAGCACGTCCTAAGAGAAACAATTTCCTTGTTCTTATCGGCAATTAGTGTGTCAGAAATCTCCATCAGCTTCTGAAGATCTTCCATGGAGGCTGACACACGCTCTAACTCCAGGTCCCTGCCCTTGTGAGAAAGTTTCAACTCCTCAAGTTCATTCCCTCGAAGACAAACCTTGGCTTCCAAACTTGAAACAAGCGATGATTTTGAAATCAAATCTAATTCTGTGTTTTCTAAGTTAGTCTCTGTGTTCTTTAAAGTGTTTTGCACTGCTTTCAGATCGTCTTCAAGCTGCGTCACAACATTATTACGCTTTCTTTCCTCATCAGCAAGAAGAGACTTTTTCAGGTGCAATTCCATATCTGTCGTTTCCAAAACTTGTTTCTTTTCTTTCAGGCAGGTTTTCGTTTCTTCAAGCTCTTCTTTAACATGTTTGATTGACGACTCAAGTTTAGTTCTGTCTGATTTCAGTTCCAAAATTTCTTTTTCTCGGAGACATAATTTAGTTTCTGTGCTTGCTAGAACAGATTCCTTGAATTTCAGTTTGTCTTCTGATTGTCCTAATGCTGCTTCCGTTTCCTTTAAAGAGTTTTTAGAGATTTTCAATTCACTCCCCAGTTGTCGTACAATGTCTTTATGTTTCTGCAATTCCATATCTGTCGTTTCCAAAGTTTGTTTCCTTTCTTTCAGGCGGCTTTTCGTTTCTTCAAGCTCTCCTTCCAGACGTTTGATTGATGACTGGAGATTAGTCCTGTCTGATTTCAGTTTCATAATTTCCTTTTCTCGGATACATAATTTAGCGTCTGTGCTCACTAGGACAGATTCATTACGTTTCAGCTTTTGTTCTGATTGTCGCAACGATGCTTTGGTCTCCTCGAAGGAGATTTTAGAGCTTTTCAATTCACACTCCAGCTGGCTTACAATTCCTTCAAGTTTGTTCTCTGCAGAAGCAGCTAGCCTCGCTTTAACCTCTAACTCTTCTTTCACGTGCATCAGCTTGTCTTCCTTCTCCTTCAACAAATTCTTAGTCCTTTCCAAATCACCTTGAAGTTCCCCATCCCTGGTAACAAGCTTTACCATGAGGTCATTGTTTTCTGCCTGTGCGAAAGCCAGAAGCGACGCATTAAATTGTATTTGTGTTTCAGCTTGCTTCAAAGAGTCTGTCTTTTCTCTTAACGAGCTTTCCATTCTTTTCAGATCTCTTTCAAGTTCTTTTATAGTATTTTCAAACTGATCCACCTGCACAGTGTGATTTGATTCTGCCTTGGCAAGATGAGACGTTTTTATTTGTAGATCTTCTTCCACCTGTTGCAATGCAACTATCCTTTCTTTTAAGGAGCGTTGAGTGCTATCTAGTTTTTCTTGGAGTTGTTCAACAAATTCATCATGGTCACCATCAGAACTAGCAGGGAGTGATGCCATCTTAGTTTGCACTGTTTCCAGAGCGTCGTCTTTTTCCTTGAGTCTATTTTGCGTCTCTTCCAATTTTTCTTCAAGTTGTGATACAATGCCACTGTGTGTTGCCTCCGCGGCCTCTAGAAGAGATGCTTTAATTGCTTGCTCTGCTTGTGCTCTCTCTAATGCTCTTATTGTTTCACTCAATGTTGTTTCCGTGATTTGGAGTTTTTCTTTAAGATGCTCCACAGTGCCATTGTTTTCTGCCTCTGCTGTAGCAGGACGTGACGTTTTGTCTGCTTTTTCATTATCTATCGCCTCTGGTATACTTTGGATTTTGTAAAGAAACTCATTAAAATCTCTTGAATGTGAACTAGCAAGGAGTGTCGTTAGAAAGGCCTCAGTTTCCTTCAACGTAGCTTCTTTTTGCAGCAGTTGTCTTTGAGCACTTTCAAGATTTTCTTGAAGCTTCTTAACGATGGCATCAGGCTTTCCCACAAAATCTACCCTTTCATCAAATTGGCAATGATCTCTAATCCCCGGATTTTCAAGAGATTCCCTTGCTATATGTTCTGCTCGCACCAGTGCTGCCTCCTTTTCCCTCAACAAATTCTTTGTATTTTCCACTTCTTTCTTAAGCATTTCAATATATGCAATGCTTTCGTTCTCCAACTGCGCCACACATCCATTCAAGGACTCTATTTCAGAATCTCTGATTCTTACTTGGGTTTTCAAGTCATCTATTTCATAGTCTCGATCACTAGTTTTCTCCTCCCAACGTTCTTCTCTTAATTGAAGGGACTCCTTTAGGAGCTCGGCATTGCCTAAAGAATTCTTTAAGGTCTGGTTTAGTTGAGCGACTTGCAATTTCATCGGCCTGCGGCAGATATCATCTGAACTCACTTCTGTGTGTTCACTATCTTCGTCTAATTCTTCATCATTTTCCACATACTTCATGGTCTTGTCTTCACGCCCAACTATCAAAAAAGATCTCATTTCAGATCTGTCCTCTTCATCTCCAGTCTCACTATGTTCGTCTTCATTGAGTAAGAAGATGTCCGTATTCAAGGAATCATTTGAGTCATCGCGATCACAATCGTCTACAATTGACGAAATGTCCGAATTCACGGTGTGAGAATCTGCATACTGTAGAATGGTATCCATCTGACTGACAACACGTTTCAGAGACTCAGCAGTCTCCTCCATTAGTCTTAAACCTTCCTGCGTTTGCTCCATTTCCTCCTCTTTTTGCTGCAGGCACATTTTGGTGAAGTCTAGTTCGGTCTCTTTCTTCTGCAGTCTTTCGGTTTGTACTCTCAAGGAGTTTCTTGCATAAGCCAATTCTTTCCTTTCCTCTTTAAGCAAAGTCAACCATACTGTTGAATCTCTATCATCCCGACCTCCCTGCCAAGCAAACCTGCCTACTTGTTCAATCTCGCGCTCGTTCTTTCGGATGCGCTTTTTCAGCTTCTTAATCTGATTCTTGTATTTCTTCTGTTTTCCTTCTAGTATCTTGTTGTCTACGCTTGATGATTCCGAAAGAATATTTTCTGCATCCGCTGTCTGCTCCATTTTACCTACCAACGCTTTGTGTTGAAGATGCGCGTTTTTCCCTGTCGGGTCTTTTATTTGTTTCTGCAGTTCACGGACTTCTGTATCCTTGTCTGACATTCTTGACAGTTCTGTAATCATGCTGGAATTTTCCTTCCTAAGAGAAACTAGCTGGTCCTGAAATTTTTCTACGATCAGCTCTTTTTCTTCTTTCATTGCACAGAGTTGGTTTTCACCAAAAGACACGTTCAATTTTGCAGCATGAAGTTCCGCACTCATCCTTACCTTTTCTCTTTCAACAGTAGCTAGTTTTTCTTTCAGTTGCTTTATAGTTTCCTCAAACTCATATTTCATCTGACCCAGCGGGTCTTCTTCGTTGGTATCTGGTTCCTTATAACTGCCTTCAAGCTCGTCATTTCGGTCTCTAAACGTCTTCAAGTCTTTCAACTCATGCACTTGATGTTTTAATAACTCCTCTTGATGTCTACTTAAATCCAGAGATCCTTTAAGCAGCTCAACTTCCTCTCGCAGATACCCGTAATCATGACCACTAGCTTCCCAAGAAGCAACGGTCTTCAGTTCCTTGACCATCTGTTCTAGTTGATAACATTGACCCTTTAAGCATTCGTTGCTTTCCTCGCTTTCTTTAAGCTTATCCTGTAACGAATCAATTTCGTACGAAAGATCGTTATTGTCCATCTGCGTATAGTCCAGGTCGTCTTCCAGACCCTTTAATTTTTCCTCTTTTGTCTCAATGTCTCCTCTAAGATTTTTTAACTCCCTTTCCTTGTATTCTTCAGCTGATTTTTGACGCTCAATTTCACGTTTCATATTTTCCAGCTCAGTCTTCAAATTTTCTTTTTCTTTCTGAGTTCTTTTAGCTTCGTTCTTCATCGCTATCACTTGATCAAGCAACTTGTCATTCTCCCTGTTAGTAAAGTCCACAATTTCTTGTAGTGCATCGTTCTTTTCCTTCATGTGTTCAATTAGAACTTGAAATTTCGCACTGCTCAACGAAAATTCATCGCTCTCGTGTCCTTCCTTATTTACGCTGGACGGACTTGTATTGTTCAACCCAACTGTAGCTTCCAAAGCAACTGATTTCTCTTTTTGTAAATGGTATTCAGTAACCTTTACTACTGTTGCTTGCGAATTCTGACGTATTCCACAACATCCCTCTAAAGCACCCACTGGAGACAAGCCGTTGTTCTCATCTTCTATAAATTCATTGTCAGTCGTATCGTTGTCGTGATCATCACAAAATGAAAGCTCGTCACTGAGCACCTCAGAAACAGATGTAAGAGAATCTTGTGACAAATATTTTTGTTCCAAACGTAATGATGAAAGCTCTTTTTGTAAAAGATATTCAGCAATATTTACCACTGCTGCTAACGAACACTGAAGTATTCCACAACTTCCCTCGAAAGCACCCATTGAATACCGGACGTTGTCCTCGTCGTTTGTAGCTTCGTTGTCAATAACTTCGACCTGATCATCACAGACTAATAGCTTCTCACTGGGCAATTCAGAAACAGATGTAAGAGAATCGTGTGACGAGCATTTTTTTGCCAAAGGTAATGAAGAAAGCTCTCTTTGTAAAAGATATTCAGCAATATTTACCACTGCTGCTAACGAACCCTGAGGTATTCCACAACATTTCCCGAAAGCATCCATTGAATACAGGCTGTAGTTTTCATCGTTTGCAGCTTCGTTGTCAATAACTTCGACCTGATCATCACAGACTGATAGCTCCTCACTGGGTAACTCAGAAACAGATGTCAGAGAATCGTCTTTCGAGTATTCTTGTTTCAAGGCTAATGTTCCAATCATATCTTTGGAGCTGGTGGAGACATGATTATTGACAAAGGAATCCCAAGTTCCAAATCGGCAGTGGGGTAGTTTGATATCATCTAAAGCGTCCCAAGAGTCTTCATTGTCATCTTTGTCCTTTTCTGACAGACCATCATGTTCTATATCGGAGACATCTTGGTCACTCGATGACAGCAATGAATTGACATCAGAGATGAATTGAATGGAGTCTTCACTTGCAGTAACACCAGCTACCTCCCCACACGCGTGTTCCAGTTTGTCGGTGACTAAACTGTTGTCAGTTTTAGATGAGTCATTTAATTCGGTCATTCTTTCGTTTAGGTCTTTCTTGGATTCCAAAGCATTGTTTTCTTCGGCTCCGATATCTTCCTCTACGCCGTCCAAAAAGGAATCAAAGTCCTCAATGAACTCGTCCTCCAGAGACTTAAAGCTTGCAACCTTACCGTTGCCTCCAGCTCTATCGTGTTTATGAGAATGGGATGAGCTTTCACTTTTACCAATATCCAATGTCAGGGTGGTATCATTATTTTCAGCTACGCTCCTTGGGTCTTGAAAAATCACATCCTCGATGAAATGCACACCATCTTTACCGAGACAAGAGAGCTCGACACTCACTGTATTGAAGCTGTCATTCTCCTCGGCCACGCAAGCTTCATCTTCAAAGATAAAGGTTAAAGAGATTAGGTTCATGTCTATCGCCTCTACAGTAAGTGCTCGTCTTTAATAACTTCATCTTCCTAATAAGCTCCTCTTTCTTTACAAGCCCACTTATCTAATTAAATATGTCCTTCTCTGCAATAAGACCCTTCCTTAAGCAGTTCTCTCTAATAAGCCTTTCTCTTCTCCTGTAAGCAGCTATTTCTAAAAAGCCTTCATATCTCTCAAACCCCGCTCCCCGATAAAGTCCCACTCTCTTATACCTCCTCCTTCCAACATGCCCCACCCTCTCAAAAGCTATTTTGCTAAAAAGGCATTATTGCATGAGCCCCGTTCACTAATAACCCCTTTCAGAAATACCTGTCATTAATAATAAGCCATTCTCTTTACCAAGTCCATTCTTAAAATTCTAAGAAGCATCTCAGTCTAATAAGACCCGCTCACAAATCAATGGGCCCAATTCTCTACTATACTTTTGAGGTCTATTGACCTTTATAACGCTAAAAAGAGGCGTTCTGTCTTGCAAGTCTGCCTCTCAGACTAACATTAAAGCAACATTCCTCATAAGGTCCCATTTTGCCTATATACCTTCTTGTCAACGAATCACATCCCTCGGAAAGCGGTCTCTAGCAAGTCTTTACCCTAAAATTTCCCTCTCTAATAACTTGTTCATTTTAGAAACTTTAAGCTTATCTCCCATAATCTCAAATCCGTCTCTCTTAGGAAACATTATTATTTTTTTAATATCCCTGATTGCTGGTTTTTGAAATGTATTTCTAAAACAATTCGTATAATGGGCTTTTATTTATTTTAATTTGCTATCTCTAAACCTTGTGAACAAGCCTGGTTTCATCCTCGGAGACCCAGTTATTAGTGGGTGCGAATGAAAGTCTAAACGTTTTCTTTGCGCGTTTTTTCCGCTCTTTTAGACTTTCTCTCGCCCCCACTATCCATCCGAAGATGGCCTGGTTTAAATATTGAAAACGCGTCAATTTCTATACAAACATTGCTCAGCTGAGGCAAATATCCTTCCTCCTCAATTCAACTCTCAGAGGGAAAATTCAGAATAGTTTACCTGATTCTTCTTTTGGCAGTTTCTGTTCTCCTGTCGGCTGTGTACTCCTGATTAATCTCTCACTGCCCTTGATATTCTTTTTAACACAAGCTGCGACGGGAATTCTTGAAAGCGGAAACTTGTCCGCGCCATCCCTAGGCAAATGTCTCGTTTTCTTCATTTCGTCCACAGAAGATGAACTATTGTCCCTGTCACTACTCAACTGCGTTATTCTGACAGGTATTTTTGATTTCTGCTGAACTGGGGGCAGCTGAAGTCTGTTGTTTCCTCTGTTCGCTAGGCCAGCAGGCCGCGAAGCCATCGCTATTTTCGCTGCGATTTTCCGACTGCGCGAAACAAAGATTTTTTAAACCAGATGACTTCTTGATTTCTTTTGCTTTTGATTTACGTTTATATCTGTTACAGAAAAGTTTTCCAAAATATCTTCGAAAATCTCGAAAGTTTACTGCTCCTAACTTTGATACAACCGATCGCACCAAATGCTGAAGCGAAATGATTGTTTTTCTTGAACGCCCATGGAAACACATTTCGTCACAAACAGTACTTGGAGGACGTTTCTTGTTCGAATGCTCGTGCAAAATAGGCTCAATGTAGGTTAATTTCATCAAACATTTTATGCATATCAAAGCTAGCCTTCCTAACGGAAACGTTTATTCTTTTATGAAATAAAGCATAAGCTTACACACGATCTTTTTTAAAAAACAAAAAACAATACAAAACAAAACACAAAAAGCGTAGATTTCACCTCCAGTTTAAGCTTGAACTCTGTGTCTGTATAAAGGAAAGATGAAAACTATGTTGGATTAAAAAACAGGGAACGAAGCCTGCTATTAACAAAACCTTAGCTGTTTCACTGGTGTTGTTAAGGAAGGATCTTCCAATCCCGACTTTGACCAACACGGCCTTTCCAAAGTCCAAACAAACTCGAAAACATGCTTCCTGTTCCAGGATTTGATGTTCTTGTTAACAAAAATTTCCTTGACATAGTGAGCGTATCAAGCCAAGCAAAGTAGAGTCTAGAATTTGTTTACCATGGACTCCTGTCATTCACAAAGAATAACGAGCAAGATTCTTGCTGCTGTTCCCTATTTGAGTCATTTGAACGACGTCGACAAAACTTCAAGCTCGTACGCACAATTTCCCTTCGATTTGTTTACATGGACACAGTGGAATTCAATTATCAGCAGTTGTTTCTAAAGGACTGACGAGCCATTTTTTTCTCATCTCTTTTTTAGCACGTAGCGGATTTTGTTCAAACCTTTTCTCAACTCTCAACCCACAAAATGATGAAATGTGAAAGCACGACCAATCAGAAGCGGACGCACTTCGCTTCTTGATTGACAGTTTTTTGACAAACACTCAGATTTGATGGACTGGCTTGCGGAGTTTGGAGTTTGGTCCTTGTTTTGGGTCTAGAAACTACTTTAAAGCCAAAGACACAATTAATCTTCATCAAATCATACTTCAATTTGTTTCTAGAAATGTTCTTTCCACACTTACAGGTTCAACAAGGTAGGAATTTTATTTTCATGCCATTGTTGTCACTGAAAGTCGATTTCACTTCACGCACGGTCATAGGCTTAAAATGAAAGCAAAGTTAGGTCAAGCGATAATTTTCAAGGTCTTGTTCGCTTTTTTCTCTCACGTCAGGTCCCATATATTAAATCTACCTTTTTCTTCCGACAGAAAAAAGTGCCACTTGTTCGTGTTACTTTACGGACGTCGTGAGCAGACAAAGCATTCCGTCATAGTACCTACAAGATACCTGTAAGTCTTGCCAGCCATAAATTAGCTTAGTTTGGATAAGGAAGCATAGCCGTAATGTTTTCTATTTCTTAAAATCAAGCTGAATAGGTATTTTGAAGTTTCATTCAATTGCAAGATAGTTTTTTTACCGGGATTTCGCAACAGGATTTTCCCCTTTGCATCAAAAATCATTTTCCCAAATAACATAAAATTAAGAACCTTAAATCAAGACAGTGTGTAAATAATTTTTTTATTAACAACTCTTAAAAATGATCCCACATATGTCACATATTCCTGAATGATGTATTACTATACACTATTATAATATTTTCCCCCAAAAGAATTCTATGAATTTTTACAGTTTCATAAATAGATAACTTTTACTTACAATTGGCAAGTCAAGCCTTTTCCCATCCAAAAGCTCAAACTTGAACCAGTTAACTTGAATAATGAATGAACACATGTATGAATCAAGGGTTTAAAATGAGTTTATGCTACTTAATGACAACATTGTTGGAAAATACATCCTAAATGTATCATCTATACGCCAGTCTCACATTTGGGAATGTACAGTTTTATAACACTTACAACAGAGCATCCAACAAGTAGACACTCAAGTCATGGTTTAGCCTCAAACAAACACTGCACTCTTCTCCTTGCTGACACCTCCCTAAACCCTTCCATTCCTAATACTGTCCCCCAAGAAAAAGGTTACAAGAAAATTCAAATTTCTTTCAGGAAAATCCTAAAAAATAGTACTATGCAAGAATTCTGCCAGAATGGTTTAAGTAGGTATGACAAGCAACATGGGATTTATCCAGGCCCCAGATTTAAAAGGTGAAGTGGCAAAATAATCTTGCGAGCATAACATGATCTATTTGGAATAAAAGGATTTAGCAGACTTTTTATGGGCTCAAAGGAGTGCCCTTATGAAAGGTAGGGGTGTTTTGACATTCTTGATTCAAAATCTACTTAATGTCAACTAATTTCCAACAATATTTACATAAAACAGTGAAAAGTGTTCTGGACCTACAAATACATCTTATTCAGGGCTGCAAATAACAGTCGGTCATCAGACATTGGCCAACCAAAATTTGCTGGTGTCCAACAAAATCCCACCTGTGTTCGGACATTGTGTCCGGAGAATTTTTTCATCGTAAATCACTTTAAAGTGAGGAAGAATAAAAATCTACCTTAGGTACACCTTACATTGTGTAAGGATGATCTCAAAGAAGTAGACTTGGGTAATGAAGTTTTGTTTTACATTAGCATAGTATGTCCTCTGTTTTACCTGAAAGGTAGAATGATGCTTTTCGAAAAGTAGCAAGATGTTTCTTTTTGCTCATATTTTTCGCGAGTCATCACTGCCAGTAAAATTTTGCTATTAATTGAAAACAATTCCAAATAATATTATTCTGTTGTCAAAATGTGTCTGAAGATTAAATTGCGTCAACTTTGCATTAACTTAACTGTCCTTAACTTGGTAATTTCAAGGATAAAAAGTTAAACCTTGTCTTTGGTGATGTCTGACCAAAATTTTGTTTTGTTCAACTGAGAGGGTATGCTAGTAGGACAAATATCCTTTCAAGAGAAAAAAATTATTTGCAACCCTGTTATCAACAATTCTAACTACGAAAACTCAAAATTTATTCACAGTACGTTGGAATCTACAATCACTGTAATCTCACACAGGGCTTGAAAAAAAAACTTGAATACCAGCTTGTCCTTTGCGCAAGCAGCTCAGACTCACATTTTACTTGCCAGCGGCCACTTTTAATTGCTGGTCAATCTTTATAGTTTATTATTTTGTTAAAGAATGATCACTTGCCTGAATGACTCTTGCCCATTGGGCAAGTTAAGACTATCATAGTTGCCTGTCAAGAAAATCTTCTTGTCCACGACTACTGGATCGAAATTTTTTCGAGCCCTGCTCATGTTTTCTTAAAATGCGTGAGACCATAAATAGAAAGCCCTGCTATTAATTACAAAATATACATTGTGCTCTGAGAAAGCCTAAGTAATGTTGGTAAATAGCATGAGTAGTTCTTCTGCTATAATTTGGGTGAATGCACATGTGAGGAACTGAGGGGGAGACACTGTGCTTTGTTGAATGCCATTTGGTCAATTTTTGTTAATATGTTTGGTGATATTTATCTTGGTAGAACTTTTGGCTTTTTCAAATGTGTGGGATGAGCATCTGTCATTTGGTTCAGTTTTAATTCCCATTACTGCTTTTAAGCACCTCCCAACACCCCTGCCCCTCAAAGATGATCATCTTTTGGTTTCATAAAACACATGGTTCAGCTGTTTCCAGCATTGGATCAACACTGTACAACAAGTCAAAGTACCGTGGCTGAGGAAGAATTCTTCCCACAATTAAATTTTGTGAGTCTTCAAGAAGCCATCTGATCTGAATGGCAACTTGTCTGTCATGTACCATGCCTCCAAGGAGTGAACAAGTAAGTCCATACCATATCCAAGAGCAAATATGGCCATCCAAGTGTTCCACAACACACTTCAAGTTTTCTGGGACCTCATACACATGATAGTCAGTGATAAGAATAACAGCATCCGCCTCACATATTTTGTCTCTCAGCATGTCCTCAGGTTTTTGAGAAACACTTCCCGTCATCGGTGACAATGGGTGTTTCAGAATAGGGATGAGTGCTAGTCTTCCCTTAGAAGAGCAAGCTAAAATAGAGTAGAGAAAAATGTTTTATTGTTTTAATAACAACTAAGCACTCCAATAATATTTGTACAGCAGGCTCAGGTAAGTTATAATTAATTATCAGAATGTGGCATTGGTTAATAAATTGCTGCCTGTATCTTGAATAATGATGTTTCATGTTTTATATATCTTTCTGAATTTGTTAAAACATGGCTAAAGAAATTTCCCGTGCATTTTAACAACTTGTCATCTAAGTCGAATGGAAAGCAGTTAAAAGTCACTAGTGGATTTAACAATCAGACAATTTATTGCTGGTAACAGATAGCTAATTGCTGTCGCATAAGTAACAGGATTTTGAGAAGAAATAAACAACATTTGAAACATCCAGAAACTATAACCTTTTAGTCAGTCAAACCATGAGGCCCATAGTGAAGCGTCTGTTGAAAACAGATTAAGAATCCAATCTTTGAGCACAGAATAGCTAGGGCTTCTAAGACAAAATCACCTCAACTAAACACTCATGAAGTGTTTTTATGCTTGGCACAAAGGATTCTGGTAACACGAGCTCAACCACATACCTGAGTTTAGTCTGTCAACGCCTTCGCTAAATCTCACAACACTTCCAACAACCATTCATAATATTTCCACATTTAACAAAGGTGAAACATTGTCAAATTACTCCCAAAAGTCTAGCTTTCTCCACATAAATGGTTGCATAGAAACATTTCTCAACTGCACTCACACAGTCTATTTTAATTCACTATCCCAGATGTAAACCAGCAGTTGAAAAGGAGACATGGAGCCCCACAGCCTTCCAAACAATTTTTAACTACGTCTTTGGCCTGTTCGGAAATCAGCATCAATTTCCATCTCACTCTGTAGATTTCACCCCTGGAACCTACCGTGAGGTTGAAGACTTTTTACTGCCAACAACAAAGCTCGAAATATCCAATCTTTCCGTCTCGAGCCCAGGACCAGCTTTTCACCCATGTAGCCAAATGAGATGAAATGCGATAAGATATTGGATGCAGCAGACTTTGCCAATTGAGAGACTTGTTCTTTTATAAGGCTTAATGATGCCTTCGGGAAAACTTTGCTCAAGGCAGCTATATAAAAGCTCTAAGACAACCCACTACTATGAGTTCACTCTAATGCGTGCACTGATTTCACACTGATGTACAGAAATGTTTATGGGAAATTATGAAAAGCAAGACTCGGTAAAGGTATATGAGGGAAATTTCTATAGCCATGTTTTAGCAAATCCAGTCAGATAAATTCATGTGAAATCAGAAGGAGCCGCTACATTCGTCATATATTGCTTAAATGTCTTCACTGAGGCATATACTGTATGCAGGTAACGTGCAACGAAAGCTCTTTCAAATAAGAAAGCAAATTTCTTGGAAGCTAAATTGAAGCCCCACTCAAGAATGTGACCCAAGTCAACATAAATGTAAAGCAATAATAATACTAACTACAAACAGTAAAAATCCTTTCATGGCATAACAGTCCAGTATAAGCTAATTAAGGGTATTTTTGTCAGGCCTGAACTAATGATGAGACAGCCGTTTTTAGGTCCTTGGTGGCAATGTTGAGAGGGGGTCAAGAATCAATAATTAGATGTTTATTATTACCCGGCCTTCCTTTCAGGAAGAGACAGGTATAGTTCTGGGCTTGGTTTTTCCTTCGTCGTCGAATCGCCCTCTAGTCTTTAAAGCGCATGCCTGTACTGGCGGATTATCACGTGATCGATTTCCGGCAAATTCATTGGCTTAGAGGCAAAATCAACTTGAGATGTTGTCGAGAACAAAAGGCAGCTTTTTTTGTCGGTCCTTAGCGTTAACGTTGTGGTTTTGTTGCCCCTATGAGAGATCGACAATTATTTTGGTCGAAATGTTTAGTGATATTTGTTGTCTAGAGGATAATGTATCCCGGAACTGTCAGACAAACACACTAGTGGCTGGATCCGTTTAATCGAGATCGGCGTTGCGATCGGCGCTGGTTGCGAGAAGAAGACATGCTAAAAAGGTGGGTAATGTTCACTTTTTATGTTTAGTGCAAGTCACGAGAATTTATACAGCAGTTGAAGAAACACTACTGGGCTTTGTTTTGGCGAGTAAGCGTGTACCGAGGTGCAAGGAAGAAGCAGTTTTATATAAACGTATGGACCGTTTTTGTGCCAAATTGTACAACTTGACTGTTTGATCTGTACAAACACACAAGTTCACTGTAAACACCTTAGAAATTTTATGCTTTATAGCTTTTATCGCAAAACAGTAAGACACGTTAGAAAATTTAAAAGCAGAGAAATTGCTTTGATTTAGTAATGTAGCATAGTTTGCGCCTAGTTGCAGGAAAGTGGCGGTAAATTACCGATTCGGTGCATTAATTTTCATTCATCAAAACAAACAAATCTGTCTGTTCATCGCAGAAGTTTGTGCTTGGTCCAAGTCTCGTGCATCGCGGCGGTATAAAAACAGAAACTTACTATATCGATGGAAAGAAATATTCTTTGACTTTTTTTGGCATATATGGATAAACTTCTATCAAGCTCGCACGGAAGCGGCAGGTTTGCAAAGCACGTAGAGTTGTTTGATGCTAAAATTCGACATGATTTTAACATCTCACTGTTAAATTAACTCAAAGATTACATGGAAGCTTATAACTTTTTAAAAAATGGGCGATCGCTTACTATCGACTTTCGATCTTGCAAAACTCCATTTTGATCGATCCAACATTATTAGAAGTTTCAAAGCTATCTATGCTAGAAATGTTTCTCTCTGCTGTGTTCAGCTATTGTACATTCCAACTTGCAATTAAAAGGATCGACAAATCGATTATAATATTCTGTATTTTGAGTTGGTTTTGGGATTATCCTCAACGAGGCACACAAGGGTATAGGTTTGGGTTTTCTGTGGTTACTTCTTTGCTTGTTGTTGAATCAATAACAAGGCAATGAAATATTGACATATGAATTTTCTTTATTTATTTCCTTTTTTATCAGAGAAGATGAACTTGATCCCAAATCAAACGATAAGTGCAGCAACACTTTTCGAAGTTTTCTGAAGATGAATTAACTAAAAGAAGATGCCGGTAGTTTGTCTTTGAGGTAGTACCTGTATCAGAGTGACAATAATATGAATAAAGATCTTACTCATGGAAAGATCTGGGTTTTCTACTCTTTTGTAGTAATTTAGCATGTACAATAAACACTTCAGCAACCAGAACAAATTTAAAATCCTGGCATAATTATTCCAACCATTATGTTCTCTTCCTTTTCATATAGGGTGTTATTTCAAAGATTTTTCCCTCAAAAATAATATTCGTTTACTACCTAAGATTGTGACTGAAGCTCATGCTAATTTGAAGAAAAAGAAAACTAGCTGCAACACCACTTTGAAGCATTATGCAGTCATGGTCAAGTACACCCCTTTGGACCGTTCGAGTCTAATTTCCAGTCTGATTTGCCAGCCGGTAGCATTTTTTTCCATTTATTCATCATCAATTCATCATCAAAGTTCATATGGGTTGTGGTGCATTACTGCATAGTGCACATTTACCTCCGGTGCTCTATCATTTTATGAACTAAAAGAAGGCCGGGTTCACGCACTCGTGCGTCTTGTTATACATTGCTTTTGTTATTGAAATTTGCCATTAACCAATAAAACTACAAAAACTTTCGTGAGCCCATAAGCCACGCGGTGACGTAAGCATTATTTAGTCAAACGAGTTTGTTAATGAATTCAGAATTTTGTTGCCTGCGTCTTTAATAGGACAATTGCACGATGATGATGTTTGACTACAACTAACAGAATTCATTTCGGTTTTGCTTTGTTATTTTAATTTGTTAATCCCGCTGAGAATTAAAGAACAATAGCCTTAATTTGCACAAGAAAACAACAAACTCAAGGATTCTGGTAGTTGGAGTAAAATGACGTCATCGTGCAATTGTCCTATTGATGATTGTTTTGGTTTGGAAATTTTATCCACACTCTGTCGGTAACACATAGCTACTGGGTCGCTCGAAACTTACGATTTCTGCCCTTTGAGACACGGATCGCTTGGCTCCCCAGCTCGAAACTTTACAAACGCTTGCAGGACGAAACCCGGACAAAAACCATCAAAGTCTGTGCTATTAAATTACATCTCACCGGTCCGAGAAAAATTAATTCAATACAACAACTGCGTACGTACCAAAACAACGTCATTACAAAATAAAATGAAATTTCCCTTCGCTACATTCTGTTTTCTCTTAGAGTCCCAAGCTTAGTAGCACTGTGGCCTCTTCTTTCCTGGTATTCGGCGGGCGGGATTCTTCCCTGCCAGCAGAGGTCTCAGACCATCAGGACGAGGAGAGAGAGACCACTGCTAGCAGGGATCGGGATTCAAGACAGACCGGTAAAAACGCGTACGTAAAAAATACGAAAATAATACGCAGAAATACATTAGACTTAAAAGTATATTAACCTCTTACCAAACAAAGTGATGTGGTGTCCAGCTTCGTGCAGTCTTCGTACAACAGACTGTGCACACTGAGGGTTGTTTTGTTCCAAATTCATCACAAGAACTACATTTAAAGGAAAAGTCTTCTTCAGCGCCATAGTTGCGCGGCAAGGAAGATGCTGTAATTCTGGAAGGCCTGTGAAGTTAACGAGCATGTTTGGGTGAGGGAAAGCCTAGAAGTGTCAAAGAAACTTTTAAAAAAGGCAAAATAGGTAACAAGTACGAATCCTGCCGCGAAGACCAAGACCAAGGATAAATATTTTCTCTCTTGACATACAAGTTTACGAGTCACACGATACTTACGGTTCCGCCAAGATATCTTGTTGCCCTCTTGGACCTCAAAATTGTTCGCAAGAGAAGAGGAAATCCACGATCGACTGGTAGTTTTGACCGTTTTATTTTGATCATCTACATTGCAAATGAAGGAGATATAAACAACATCCACCGATGGTCACGTCTGGCACGAAATTCATGTGAGGTGCCAACGTCGCACTTCACTACACGTGAGTTCACATCAAGGTTGCCAAAGGAAGCGTCCAGGAAGGAGAGAAAAATGAAACCAAAAAAACCAACAGGACAATATTTAAAAACAGCCTTTTCCT